TCATGTTCCCACTCACCAATCCCTCCCTGAGCAGCAGCGTCTTAGCCCACAGCTAACATCAGATTCATCCCCTGGTCCACGTTCAGGAAATACAGGCTGAGTATTCAGCTATAAAGAAATATCAAGGCAGGAGGCAGGTGTGATGAGTCCACTGGCTAACTGTCCGCCTGAAAGCACCCATGTGGGAGACCCAGGTAAGTCTCAGAAATGGCCAAAGCTAATACAAATAATTTAAAAGGAGAGACAGACAAACTTGGAAGCAGGTAAAGGTGTCAGGGAACTTTGAATAACATTTTGCACTCCTTTGAAAAGCTCCTGGTTACTTCAAACTGAACATTTATAAAGGAATAGTAACTTCAGCATCAGGAAAAACAAAATCTTTAAAAAAAAAAAAAAAGTGTAGGCTAGAGCCTGCACTAGGCACGCCTGGCACAGCTTCCTGCCCCATAACTGGCAAAGCTGAGCACGCTGCCCGCCTGCCCTCCTTCGAGGCCAGCGTCCCAGACACAAACAACAGACTCTCTCCAGGGCTTTTCCTGAAAGCAGAACGCTGCTGGGGCCTGCAGCTCATCACAGACCGCCTCGGGCCCCCCAGGTAGCCGGGAGGGGCCGCTCAGCCAGAGCTCAGCCTAGACAAAAGCCAGAATAGCGCCTGCTTCTTTTAAGTCCCACTGTGCAGCTGGTGTGCCCTGCCTGCCCAGAGCAGCCCCTGGGGGAGGCCGCTGCTGCCCCCTCCCCAGGGAGGCCGGGAGGTCACGGCCAAAGGCTGCCTCGCCTCCGAGGCTTCCTGCCAGATCTGTTTGGGTCAGTTCAGAAAACCAATGAAATCGCCAAGGTTGCTTTTACTGCTAAGCCACTCTTTGTGTGTGTGCTTAATGTATTTATCTGAAAGAGACACAGAACTCCATGCTATTTCAGTCATGGCTGCAGCATCCAGGGCTGGGCCAGGCTGAAGCCAGGAGCCAGGCTGTGAGTGCCACCCCCGCCCCCTCCCCGCCGCTTCCCGTGGATGGATGGCAGACAGCCAAGGCCCCCCTTCCATTTCACTCTAGAACAAAGGGGTAACACCTACTCCTCCCCTTTACACACACACACACACACACACATTACACCGAAATCAGGTCCTGGGGAATGCTTGCACCAGGCTGAGGGATTAGGGGACAGGGGGAAATGGGGGTCTTCTGTCCACAGCTCCTTGCAGGGCAAGGGGTCGACTCCTTGGCGTCCAAATTTTCCCACAAATGCAACTCCCTGCGGGTGGGCTCGCCCAGGCAGACCGCCCCGCTGACCTAGGGAAGTGCTAGCTCTGGAACGATGGCTCCTGGCACCCGGGGTTCCCTTCCAGAGCGGCTGGGGTTGGATGTCTCCGTGGAACCCTCCCACCCCACCCCTGGCACCCCTGGCTGCCCTGTCCCGGGCGAAGATGCTGCGCGGCCAGGGCCCTCCGGGGCTGGCACGGAGGCACAGTGCCCCCGCGCGGCCGTCCACCCCGGGGCGCTGGGCCTCCGCCCCTGGACCTGGGGCACGTCAGCCTCCCGGATGACAGCTCGGGGTCGGCTCGTGGGCGTCCGGACGGCTGGGCTAGGAGAAGGTTCCAGACGCGGGGGCCGCGCGGGACTGTCGGGGCAGGGCGGAGGGACCCCCTTCTCGTGACCCGCCGTGCTCTGTCCCCTCCCGGCCTGCTGACCTTGGCCCTGAAGCCAGGCTGGCTTCTTTTGCTCTGCGTGATCCCGGGCATCCCTTCCGCGGCTGTGCTCCGGGAGGCTCCCCACCAGCTCGCTGTTCGCCCCAAGGCTGGTGGTCTAGGGCCCCCGAGCCCACCCTCCCTGAGAGGGCCAGTTTCTCTGGGGGCCCTGATCTCTTTATAACTAATCTGCTCATAGTAGAAAAAAAAACTGAGGAGGAAGAATCCGATGAGAAGGCCTGTGCAGGAGGCAAGGGAGCGCAGTGGTTTCTGCGGGGACCCGGCGCCTATGGCTGTCACAGAGCTGGTTCACACCCCACTGGTACACTCCCACTCTGGTTATCCTAACCAGAGCTGGGCAGAGCCGGGAGCTCCTTCCAGGGCTCCCACGCAGGCCAGGGGCCCACAGCTGGCAGGGCCGGGAGCTGCCTCCACGCGGATGCAGGGGCCCAAGGCTTTGGGTCATCCTCTAATGCTCCATGAGCAGAGAGAGATGGATGGGAAGCAGAGCAGCTGGGACACAAACCGGTGCCTCTATGGAACGCTAGCTGAGGCTTAGCGTACTCCACCGTCATGCTGGCCTCTCCCTGCCGCTACTTTTAAAAAAGTGAAACCGGACAGGCATTTGGCATAGTGGTTAGGAAACCAAGAAAGGCTGCCCTCCCTGTCCTGCCGTCCTGTCTTCCAGGGCACAATTCTAGCTCCTTGACGGCTCATCAAAACCATTCTCAAAATTTAACTCTTAATGTCTTCTTATAAGTTAAGAGCATGTCACGTGTGTTCCATAGTGAGTGTAGGCCCTGGGGCAGGGGTGGAGCAGGTGATGGCTCAAGGGAGCTGAGTCCTTCTTACTCAGCTAGGACACCTGCAGTGAGTTCCCTGCTTTGGCCCAGTTGTTGCAGGCATTTGGGGGGTGAGCCCCAAATAGTTTTGTTTTCCATCTGCGTCTCTTTCTCAAACTTTATGTCTCTTAATTTAAAAAAAAAAAAAAAAATTGGGCCCGGTGTGGTAGCCTAGTGGCTGAAGTCCTCACCTTTCATGCACTGGGATCCCATATGGGCGCCAATTCTAATCCCAGCAGCCCCGCTTCCCATCCAGCTCCCTGCTTGCGGCCTGGGAAAGCAGTCGAGGACGGCCCAAAGCTTTGGGACCCTGCACCCGCGTGGGAGACCTGGAAGAAGCTCTGGGCTCCTGGCTTCAGATTGGCTCAGCTCTGACCATTATGGCCACTTGGAGAGTGAATCAATGGACAGAAGATCTTCCTCTCTGTCTCTCCTCCTCTCTGTATATCTGAATTTCCAATAAAAATAAATAAATAAAATAAATTTTTTTTTAAAAAAAAGCCTTTACGATAGCAGGTAATTGTGGCACCATCATCCCATATGAACACGGCTTGCGTCAAGCCGTGACAGTCAAGGGCCCTGAGCCCCGCCTGCACGCAGGCCTGCAACCCCACAGCATGAGGGGGCAATATTAAATCCATCCTGCTCGCCTTCTTTTGGGACGCTGTCATCTGCCTGTTGGCCACGAGAGGGTGCTGTGGCTCCGTGTGTGTGCAGCTAGTGCTGCTAAGCCAGCGCGGAATTTGGGGCTTTTACTGTGGCAGCCCCGGGTCCCTCGCGGCCTCCTCCCTGACCTCGTCTATAGGACGAGGCCACAGGGGTTCTGTTACAATTAGAGGGGGAGTGGGGTTCAGCTCCTGGAAGCCCGGCCCGTGTCAAACGTTTTTCTCCTAACTCCAAAGACTCCGAGGCCAAGGTCAAACTGGTGGTCAGTTTGATTTCTTCTGGAAGCCTCTTTTCTCGGCTTGCAGGTGGTCCCTTCTCACTGCGTTTGACGCCCCTCATGCTATCAGGACGACACCCAACAGCCTCAGTGGTCTCCAGCCACTGTTCATTCTGAGACCCTGGGGGCAGGACAGAGGGAGGCAGAGCCTGTGGAGTTAGCGCTGTGTTGTTTTCCACTAAAGACCTCAAGTTACTGGATGCAAGGGTCTTTTTTAGCATTTATAAATCTATTATTATTATTATTATTATTATTATTATTATTATTATTATTAGAAAGATTTGCAGAGAGAAAGATCTTCCACCTGCTGATTCACTCCCCACATGACCACAACAGCTGAAGCTGAACTGATTCGAAGCTAGGAGTCAGGAGCTTCTTCCAGGTCTCCCAGGTAAGTGCAGGGTCCCAAGGCTTTGGAACATCCTCTACTGCTTTCCCAGGCCACAGGTAGGAAGCTGGAGGAGAAGCGGAGCAGCGGGGGCGCAAACCGACACCTCTGGGATCATGGCGCATGCGGAGTGAGAACTAGCCACTAGGCTACCACCCTGGGCTCTGTTCATGTTTGCGAAAGGAAGAATGACAGATCTCCCAAGAACTGGTCCGTTCCCCCAAAAGGGCTGCAACAGGTAGGGCTGGATCGGGAGCCCAGAACTGCATGCAGCTCTCCCACTTGGGCAGCAGGGGGTCATCTTCCTTTGCAGGTGTACTCGGAAGAAGCTGGACGGGAAGCAGAGCGGACTCTTTGATGTAAGATCCCGTCCTGGCAAGCAGCAGCCCCTGGGTGTGAGAACCTAACAAGTGATTATTATTCCCAGTGCCCCAAGCCCAACACTCCTACCATACATCCTTGTGTCCTCTGCCCCTGCCAGTGATGCTTGGTCTCCTTGGAAATGCTGGTAGGGCCTGGCCTCCCCATCGGTGAGACACAGCACCCCCCCCCCCCCCCCCCGCAGCCAGCTCCTGCCTCATGGCAACGGTTTTCTAACTACTTTAAGTCACGCATCCACCTACATTTTCATTTCTATATAGTCTTACAAAGAACCCAGCTATCTTAAAAAAAAAGAAGAAGATTCATTTTGGTTTTATTTGAAAATCAGTTACCGAAAGAGAAGAGAGAAAGCAAGAGATTTCATTTGTTGTTTCATTCCCCAAATGTCAGCAGCAGCTGCAGCTGAGCCAATCCAAAGCTAGGAGCCAGGAGCTTCTTCCACATCTCCCACAATGCAGGCAGGGTCCCAAGAGTTTGGGCCATCCTCCACTGCTTTCCCAAGCCACTAGCAGGGAACTGGATTGGAAGTGGGGCAGCTGGGACATCAACTGACACTCCTATGAAATGCTGACAAAGGTTTAACCAGAACTGGCCAGGCTCGAACCCAGATATCTTAAAAGAGACAAAGTGGGGGGTGCATGCCATGAAATGGGGCTGGCGATCACATAGAACCCAGCCTAATGGAACCGCTGATTTCAGTGAAGCAGAAAAAAAAAGTATACTCTAGAACCTTCGCTTTGGATGCCACCACGCCCCCATGTCAGGGGATTCAGGGTGCTGTGCTGCTCGTCCAGGTCCCCTGTGGCCACCCCTCAGTGGGCCCGGGCATTCTGCTTCAGGTACTCCGTATAGTGTGTCAGGAGCAGTCTCTGGGACCAGCTGCTGTAGAAGATACAGGCCGGGATCAGGCCCAGGAAGCTCGCCTGGAACAGACAGAAATCGTCATGAGTGTCTGGGAGAAAGGGACAAGATGGACGCGAGGCCGTCACACCTGGGCCACCTCGGCAGGTGTTCCGTGGGCGTGAGCGATGGTGCCTGCCCCTTGCTCTGGGTCCCAGCACGGGGAGGTCATTCTGCTGTCGGTACTGGCCCCACGTACAAGCACAGCCATGGGACAGCTGCCGTGTTCTCCTCCCGGGGATCTCCCTAGGGGAGAAGGAACCTCCAGATGTGCATGCTGGCTCCGGCTTCAAGGGCTACAGCCTTCCAGAAAACTCCAGGAGGATGAGAATCCTCTGTAAGGGCTCTGTACTCTGGGTACCAGTGTACCTACCTACAATCAGGGCAGGCAGGAACACCCTGCCGACTTGTCACATAACTAGGCATTTCTTCTGACTGCCGGAGTTCCTGGTGGCTAGAGTGTAGAGACCGCAGGACCCTTTGCTCAGCAAACAAGGTGTTGCGTAGACACCAAAACGATCGTGCCTTTGGACACCCTGGTAGTGTTAACCCCCAAAAGACTCAAAGCTAGGAAAACCACACCAATACCTACAGCTGCCTGACTCATTCTTGCCGTGTGAGCACTTGCTCACGCTGCTGCCGGTCTCATCAAAATAATATTCCAGGAAAGCATCAGAAACATTCCTGCCAGCTGGCCCATGCCTGGGGCAGGGTACCAGCGAAGCGTTGTGTGAGGGCAGGAAGTCATGAGCAGGTATGGCTTATCAACCCGAGACACTGGCTTCTAGAAGTGCTTCAGAAACCATAGCAAGGCAGAGAGAGTCAGGAAAGGACGTTTTGTGCTGTAGGAGAGTTTGAGTGCTCAGTTCCACCTGTGTGCTTGCTCTAAGGAGGTCCAGGCTCCAGGAGCCCTCGGCATGATCTTATTAACCTGTCACTCCTCAACCTACCTGCTCCCTTGAGACCCAGGAAAAACAGAAATGGCCCAGGAGCAACTATCATTTCTCCAGGAAGCTCGGTCCCTCCGATCCTGGAGCCCCTCCAAGGCTGGATCTTTTGGCTTGATGAGGCCAGCCACAAAGCAAATCGAATCCCAGCCCCCTTGAAAATATTATACAAGGCTCACCTTGCGTCTCCATCTCTGTCGACCCAACCTAGGAAGACCACGCAGGAGCAAGCAGGGAGGCTCTGGTGCCAAGCAGAAAGTGGACAAAACTGGCTTTGTTTAGGCAGGGACATCAGGCTGGCAGCCGGACATCAGCTGTGGTGGGAGTGTTTATACCCCAGGGACATGGCCAATGCTACACATCTAATTGAGCTTTTTTTTTTAAATCCATGCAGGGCTGAGAGCTGAACATTCAGTCAGGCAGCGGATCAAGCAAGACTGTAAGACGGCACTTTGCTCTTCCCTGCCCAAGAACTCCTAAGAACAAACTGCTTTCTGCTGGGAAAAGGGAGATGGTCCAGAATGGGATCAGCTCCGTTGAGCATTACACACGGGCTGGACTCCCAGCCTCCCTTCTCGCTGGGCAGCATGCCCTAAGACAATCTCTGAGCTCCCCAGTAGCAAGGAAGGGCTAGGCCAGCCTGTCTCCTGGGCTCCAAGGAAGAAGTGACCAATTACCAAGAGTTCATGGGCAAGGCAGCCGCAGACTGCATCTCTGCTCGTGATGTAGTTGAGCGACTCCTGCACAAACTCGTCAGCTGTCTTGGTGATCGCGTTGGTGTTTAGATGCTTTGTCATGGAGGTCGAGACCGCATAGGGCGTCAGCACCTGCCACAGGAAAAAGACCAGGGAAGACTCTGGGCAACCAGTACCCACTCCCCCCCGCCTTCTCCTTCTCGGAAACAGACCAGGGTTCCTTGGCGATTAAAAGTGAAGACCTGGCCCAGAGCTGGGGCCCAGAGCATGTTGGCTACGGGAATGAAACTTCACCCACACAATATTGAACAGTTCACATGATTCAGGGACCATGAGCTAGTAAGTTAGTGCTCGGAACAGGACGACCAGACTCAACAAACACAAAAAAAAAATAGAACAACGGTTCTATGAAGATAAACGCCGGTTCAAGTCCCAGCTGCTCCACTTCCCATCAAGCTCCCTGCTAACAGGCCTGAGAAGACAGTATAAGATGGCTGAAGGGCTTTAGCCCCTTCACGCTTGTGCAAGACCCAGAGAGAATTCCAGACTTCTGGCTTCCTCCTGGCAGTGGTAAGCATTTGGGAAGTAAGTACGTGAATGGAACTAGTACCTATATGGGACGCAAGTACCGTAGACAGAGGCCTGCTATACCACCACACCAGCCCCCAAATAAATAAGTCTTGTGGGGGGGAGGGAAAGGTGAAATTCATTTTGGCCACATGAAAAAAAAAAAATCTAGCGTAATTCTGTCCCGCGGATAGCATGGGATGAATTAAAACACTCTTCATATTCACTTTAAATTGAAATCTGGCTACATTGAAAGGTTTCATCCTGCAACCCCATCTTAGAATCTGATGGGTGACACATGACCACAGCTGGAGCAGCTGGAAGCTCTGTGGATCCCCACGGTCACACCTAGGTGAAGTGCCCGGAGGGTCACACCCCGTACCATCACACCTCTCATGGAGAGACATGTAGCCAGCCACATCATGCTCCGGAAATCTAGCACCACACCCCGACACCCTGGTCTGGTGTGAGGAGCACCATGGGGTTAGAGAAGGAAAAACATCTGTGGTTGTTGTCTTGGCTTTATTTTTTCTTCCCGTCGCATTAGAAATGACAGCTCTGTCATAGCTGAATTCAGATGGGAGTCAATAAATTCAGGGGAATCAGTTCTAATGGAAATCAGTGCTGTAATGAAAACTTTTCTTCCCAGGACCTCATAACGTATTACTCCCTGGGAAATAAAAGGAAGATGTGTTCCCAACTCCAGTCTCCTGCTAGGGAAATAAGAGCAAGTATTTTCATTCTAGCAGCGAGCTTTGGTTGGCAAAACACCTTCACATGCAAAACAGGGACATGGGAAGAACAACAAATGCCAGGGAAACAAGTGGACCCACCATGGCTGCCACTACCCCAGCCACGGTCACTGGAACCCACATGGGGGTCTCCTTGCGGGCTGCCTGTGCACAGCCAGTCCTGCCGAGGTCAGGAGGTCTCTGACTCCCTAGTTCCACCACTAGCAATCCTGAGTCTCAACCATGGAACACTCACCTGGATAATGATTCCTTTGTCTTTATACTCGGCTCTCAGTGCCTTGGAAAATGTGCACACAAAAGCCTAGGGCAAGAAGGAGAAACCCATCAGGCCCCCAAGCTCGCTGGCCCGGCCCTGCCACCGTCAGCTGACTCTCTCCGAGGGCACCATAGAGGCGTCACCTGCTGTCAGCAGAAGGGTACCAAGCCTCAGCAGTGTCGGGGCTGGGCTGAGAGCTGCTAACTCAATCCAGGTCTCCCAGGCGGATGACAGGGATCCAGTCACTACAGCTGTCATCGCTGCCTTCCAGGGTACGCTTTAAAAGGGAACAGCACTGTCGCATAGTGGGTTAAACGGCAGCCTGCAGCACACTGGCTCGAATCCCGGTTGCTGCACTTCCAATCTAGCCCCCTGCTAACGAACCTCAGAGACTAGCAGAAAATGGCTCATGTGATTGTACCCCTGCGCCCACATGGGAAACCTGGAAGAACTCCTGGCCCCTAACTTCAGCCTGACCTAGCCCGTACAAGTACAGCATTTGGGGAGTGAACCAGTGGTTGAAAGGCACGCGCACGTCTGTGTGTGTGTGTGTGTCTCCCTCTTTCTGTGCAACTCGTCCTTTCGAGTAAATAAAATAATTCTTTAAAAGAAGGAAGTTGGTGTGGAGTCAGAGCCAGGCATTGAACCCAGATCCTCTGAGATGCAGAATGCAGGAAGCAGGTGCCGTAAGCAACATCTTTTTGTTGTCAATTATACCTTAATCAAGCTGTGCGAGGAGAAAAGTGAGAATAAGGGAGGGGCAGCTTATCTTGATGGAGATTACTGCCTCACTCCATCGGTGGCACACACACACCTTTTGGAATAAACGGCCCCAGTGCCATGACACACAGGCTCACCTACAGAAAGCCTCATCTGTTTCTCCAGGGACTGTTGGGCACACCTGGTTCAGGATTAAAAAGAAATCACCAGGAGAGTGTCAGCCTGGGACGGGTGTTGCTGGAGTCCTGCGCTGCCACCTGCACACGGCCTCCTAGAGGGAGTGCCTGCTTTTAATTTATATCTGTTTACTTGCATGTATGAAAAAGGCAGAAAGCCAGAGAGAGAGAATCAAATAGAGATCTTGCAAATACTGGTTCACTCCCCCACCCCTCAAACACCCATAATAAGCCGGTGAGCGGAAATCAGGAAGCAGGTGTCCAACTCAAGACTCTTCCGTAGGCGACAGAGACCCAAGGACTGGAGCAGTACCTGATGCAGTGTGCGTGCAAATGGAGGCAGAGCTCAGCCCAGGCCCTCTGATCCGGCATGTATCCAGGGGCATGTCCGCCACTGCCCCAAACACCTGTACCCGGGTGTTTCTACTTAGCACAGATTCCCCCCTGTCTACTTCCGCCTTCTGCTGTGACAAGGGGAACTTCGAGAAGTTCATGGAAACTGAAAAGATCAGCTTACTGGAGTGGAAGTAGGGGTACAAAACCCTTCTTGAAACGTCTGCAGAGGAGGGGTGTCCCGGAAGCGTGCAGACACAAACCTTTCCATCCACTTGCCAGGATGATCCAAAGGCCAATGCAAAGTGGGAGAAATGAGCGAGGAAGGGAGAGAGTTGGACCACAGGGCTCACCTTGGATGCTGAGTAGAGGGAATAGAGAGGCCAAGGGAACAGCGCCACCCCCGAGGAGATGTTCAGGATGAGGCCTTTGCGCCTAGAAAGCAAACAAGCCATATCCCCATTGCTTTGCTGCCCAAGCTCAGGCAGGAGTGTGCCAAGTGCTTCCCGAGGAGGCCATCAACCTGATCCCTGCCCAGTCCGGGGTGCCCAAGACTAGGAGTCACACCAGAATCCACACAGGCTCACCCACCTGCATAAGTGAAATCAAGATAATGCGCTGGGCTTAGATGGGGTTCAACCTTTGGGGGAACCCCCCTAAGAGCTCTAGGTCCCTCCGGTCTCAACACCTAGACCCCTGGCAGGGTGGATGTCCCAGGAGGGAATCCTGTCTTGGCAGGAATTTGAAAGTCCAGTGCTTGCTTACACTGGCAATGTGCTTAATCCTCCCCAAGTTGTTGGCGGGAGTGGGGGAAGGTTGGGTTGGGGAGGCAGGGACAGCAAGCTATAGATTAGAAAACAAAGCCAACTAATAATAATAAATGACTATAATATAAACATAAGCAGCAAAGCATGGTCTAGGACCCAGATTGGCTTCTGGAGCTTTCTCTTGCAATGCACATGAGCTGATGGTGCGCCCTGTAGTCAGCAGGCAGGTGGCCGTGTGGCTCTGCCATGTCTTACCTCGACTCCATGTGTTTCAGAACAAGCTGCGTCATCTGCGAGAGAAGGTCAAAGTTGATCCTCCCCACGAACGAGGAGCCAGCGTGCCGGGTGCAAGGTCACCTCAGCAGCCCAGCAGCTCATGTGGCCTACAGGTGGGCTATGGCAGTGGACACAGTACGTGACACCTGCCCAGTAGGATGACAGTGGTGGTGGTCCAACCTGACACCAACCCCTTCCCTGGAGCCTGGGCAGGATGGAGTCAGCTTCTGTTGACACCTTTCTGGAGGACACCTGCGCAGTCCCCATACCCCACCCCCTTCCTCCACCTGCCCAGGCTCCCGGTTGGGCTATGAGAGTGACCCCAACTCAAAGAAAGGGCTGGACTGGGTAGGCCCAGCTCAGAGCTTTGACCCATTCTCTTGTTGCCTCGGGCCCACGATTCTGTTTCTGTCCCTGAGGGAGCATATGGGGAGCATTTCCAGGTGGGTTCCAGGTGCCAGCCACTCTGCCAGCTGGCATGGTTAGCGGGGCACAGCGCATGCAATGGCATGTCCAGGGGTTTCCTTCAAAGTCTTCCCTGTGGCTTAGGGAGTGTGGGGTCCACCCGTGTGCCACTTTTTTTTTAAATGAACAAAGGCGTTTCTCTGTTGAAGACCCGGGGATGATCCAAGCCATGATGGATCTCAACGCCCAGAACTGAAAGACCATGATGTAAAACGCAGCGCAACAGCTCAGCTACTTTGCACTACTTCTGCTAGAGGGTGGGGTGGGCTGCAAAGAGCCACAAACGGCTCCACCTGCTAAGCAGTGTAGACCCAACCGAAGTGCGCAGGATGTTACTGAACACACCAGCCTGCTTAAAAAACCACACAGTGCCAAGGCATTTGCTGTCTGCCCTAGAGACAAGACCCAGACACTAGGGAGAAAGAACCCACAACCAGCTCTTCCCGGTGGAAACAGAATGGGGCGATGGAGAGACCACACCACGACCTTCCCGTCAGGTCCAGTTCCACTTGAACCGATGTGCCTCTACAGTGAAAGGGGGTACTTCTACGGCCGCCCAGTTCTACCGGGTGTCACACTTCGGCCCTTTAGCACATGCATTGGTTACATACCTTCATAACTGAGGTGATGTTACAATGGATGAGGCCCTGTAATAAAAAATAATAAATAATACTCATCAGCCCAAACATTAGAGAAATTCTCTCGGAAAGCAGGCAGTGCCAGAGACCACAGAGTGGTCACATGGTCACATCAAAGCGCTTCCATCACCCATTCAGCCTGCAGAATCAAGTCTGAATGAGCTTCAGCAGGTATGCACTAAACTGGTGAACATCTGATGTCCAGTCTAGGGCACTCTGCACACACAGTGTGGACTAAGAACTTCCTTCGAAGCTGGCATCCCCTATTATGAAACTCACCAAGGACATCCTCTCCACCAACAATGACCATTCTGCTGTGCATCCTCCAGGCTCCCTGAGCACCCAGGCTCCCCGTCCCCAGCCTGTGTCACACACTTCCTACAGCCATTGAACAAATGTCATTACCTCGCAGAGAAGACAAAGCCCCAGAGGTGGCCTTCTCCCTGCGCCTCCATTAGATGAATCTGTAAGGCATCGTCAACCTTTCACAGCGCACAGCATAGAGCCCCAGAAGGACAAGCTGCCAGGTAATCACCCAGTGACTCCTGGATGTGGTCCCCATTTGTGTATCAATGAGCAGTGGGGGAGCAAGACATGCTCTGAGCAATACTCAGTCTTGGCCAGACCTGCTTCCCATCACCACTTCCCAGGCTCTAGTGACAAACCAGATGGAGGAGCTTTGAAAGGGGCCCCATACCTGGGTGAGTGGAGACCAGACCTACCTACCTGGATCTCATCCGCTGTGTTAAGGAAATGTGTGGGGAGGAGGCTCGGCAGCATTCCAACGTTGTTGACTGCAGAAGGAGGCAGAACAGACATGCATCAGGGGAACAGGTGCGAGTTGCCATGGAGAAGCAGGTGCACAAAGGAAATGTACTCTGTTGACTGGGGAAATGTCCAGACACAGGGGATACCATGATTGGACCACACTGCAAGACAGCCATCACAAACAAGAGCTGCTTGATGGGGAACCATTGGTGATGTAGAGTTTCAAGATTTATCATTGGGTTTTTGTTTGTTTTTTGTTTTGTTTTGTTTTGTTTTTTGTTTTTTGGGGAAAGACAGAGTTACAGAAAGAGGCAGATGTTGTGATTTTTCCAAAGGCTTATGCCACAGCTCCTGCAATGCTGGAAGGAACCCAAAAGTTAATCGTTAAACTTGTGAGCTGGATAGCTCCAAAGGAGACAATGGGTCTACGTGTGCAAGCCACGGGTAAGCCAAAGCAAGATGCACTGCCTGCCAGCGTCTTTTGTCTCCACTAAAAAAAAAAAAAAAAAAAAAACTACAAAGTTATTTGACGGAAAGTTAGATAACCTGGCAATTGCAACATTAGGTGGACATGTCCAGGATCTGAAAACAAAAATGTGTTAAAAACACTTGCATTAATCAGATTGTTCTTTAAGGCATATGTGGTAAACAAACACAGTGTCGAAATCTGCTGTCTGATGTCCTTCTTTGTAAGCTGTAACGATTAACTAATGACACTAACTCTGTATGTGATCCATAAGAACAGGATGTTAGGGTAAGGTTCTTGGCTCTGGTGTCTCAGAGCCCAGAAACACTTGGTCCCTGCTACTCTCAAGTCACTGCAGGCTCTCACTTCCTCAGCATTCATCTTTCAGTCTTGTTTATTACAGAAGTTTTGTGTGCCGGCGTGCAACAGACAGATCTCCCAACAACCGGTTCACTGTCCAAGTAGCTGCAATAGTCAGGGCCGGGCCAGACTGAAGCCAGAAGCCAGGGACTTCACCAGGGTCTCCCAAGTGGGTGCAGGGACCCAAGGACTTGGACCATCTTCCATTGCTTTCCCAGATGCAATAGCAAGGAGCTGGATTGGAAGTAGAGCAGCCAAGACTCAAATTGCTCTAGGAGATGGCAACACAGTAGCCAATGGCTTAACCTACAACACTACAGCTTTGGCCCTTGTAAGGTGTTTTGTTTTTCTTTTTCAAAAGTAAATTACAAGGACTCAGTAGTACATATAACCCGGCTTTGACGATACATGTGTGTTTGCCTAAAAACATATGCCCCAGAATGCTCTCTCATTCCAGACTACTGGAATTGCAAGAAATTTATATTTCTTTTCTCTGCCTGTCCTTTCTTTTGGTTCTTGTTGCAATGATGTGGTTTACATTTTTATCTGCAAACATGTCATTGCTTTTCAAATTCAGCAAGAAGTTCAGAAGTCAAATTGTGTGTATACAATATAAATATTGCACTTATAGGTGACTATAAAATATTTTGTCTATAAATTATTACAGAAAAAAATCTCACTTTCTAAATAAGACAGAGGATCAACTCTCAACCACATGTTCATTCTATTTTATTGATCAGTCATAGCAACATTGGTCAGCTAGACAAATTCTCCCTAATCCATGTTGCTGGTAGTCCACTTTCTATAGAATGTCGACATTAAATCTATGAAAAAATGCTCATTCTGGGGCTGGTGCTTCAGCTTCAACTGCCATTTGTATCCCTGGCATTTCATATGGGCATCAGTATGAATCCTGGATGCTCTATTTGTTATCGAGCTCCAGGCTAATGGCTTGAGAAAGCAACTGAGAATGGTTCAAGTCCTTGGACCCCAACACCCATGTGGGAGACCCAAAAGAAGCTCCTGGCTTCAGCTTGGTCCAGTCCCAGTGGCTGTAGCCATTTGGGGTATGAACCAGCAGATGAAAGACCTTCCTCTTTCTCCTCCCTCCTTCCCCCGTAACTCTGTCTTTCAAGCAAAATAAATAAATACATATTTTCTAATTAAGGAAAACGTATTCTGATATGAGAAGATAGAGCTGGCAGGCTGGAACGAGGAAGTCCAATGCATTCCAAAACCAGATGCAAATTTGTTTTGAAGATTTGTTTATTTTACTTGAAAGTCAGAGTTACAGAGAAAGAGAGGGAGAGGCAATAGCTGGTTCACTCACCAGATGGCTGTAGCCAAAGATGGGCTGGTTTGAAGGTGGGAGCATATTCTTGGTCTCCCTACATGGGAGCAGGGGCCCAAGCACAGAGACCATATTCCCCTGCTTTTCCAAGCCACATAAGCAGGGAGCTGGATGGAAAGTGGAGCAATTGGAGTTGAAACAGACAAGATGTCAGCACCGCTGGTGGAAGATTAGCTTACTATACCACTGCACCAGCCCTGAGGAAAAAAATTTTCTAAGTCACTGGTGCCTCCTGAGAAACCGATCTTTAGCAGTCATTTGAGCGCAGCAGCTCAAAATGGTTGTTTCAGTCTCAACTCCCAGGAAACCACTGAGTGTTGCTAAGATCACTACTGCGCTGACAAATCACAAGCTGGGCATTCTGTAACTTACCTAAAATTCCGATTTCTAAACCTGCAAGCTCTTCTTGAATAGACTCATAGATATCGGCCCTGGTGAAGTCCGTTTGTATAATCCTCACGCTCCTCCCCGTGGTCCGCTCTGCATGGAAGACAAGAATTCCTTTCGGGGACCTGGTGGCCTTCAGGCTGCGAAGGCCCCTGTGCAGACATTGAAGAAGACAGGCCTTTGTCTCCCAATGGCAGGTGAGAGGTAGCGCCGGTCAACGCTAGAGGGCGCTCCCACGGCCTGCAGGTACTGCAGCGGGAAGAGAATGCTTAGGTCTCTAAGTAGGTCTGTAATACGCAGCAGGAGCACCCTTAAGGGAAGCCTGGGGAAAGTGGATCCCCCCCAGGCTCCACACACACCTGCTGAACCAGAGATCATGGGCGGGAGGCCCCCTGGTGGCTGCGAACTCCAGGTATCCCCTGGTTGCCCAACTCTGCTCAGCAGTGGCCGGTCCCCCCCCCCCCCCGCACAACCACAGCGACCCTCTCTGTGCGCAACGCTTGAACACTCGTGTACACAATGACTTAATTTTAAATATATGAATATAAGATATGTATCTACATAAATATATTTATAAATATGAATGAAATGTGTCAATAGACTATATAAATGTACACAAATATATGACACAATTTTAAATATGTATCTATTACCCCAGAAAGAGCAAGAAGATTTTGTGCATTCTGTAAACACATCTTCAAGCAGACATCTGCGCGTCTCTCGCTTCCCTGCTACACGCTTAACAGTTTGGGAGTTAGGGGAAGCTCTCAAGATAATCATGTCCTTGCTTTTCAAAATGATGACACCAAGTGCGTGTGTCGCCTCGTGAGAAAAGCACGAAGGATGTCTGGGTCCTCCACAGTGTTTCTTTACTATCAGGACCCGGGACACAAACAGAATTCATCAGCTCAAGGACATCAGGCCTCCCGGCTGTGCGGGCAGAGCACAAAACTCCCACATCCGTCTTGGCTGCCTTCGATCCCAAATCTCCCCTGGGATGGGAGCATGACTCCAAACAACTGCCTTTCCAAGTCTTCATAATTGATATTCACCGCTTTGAGAGTCTGTCCACTGTCACCTTGTTACAAAAATTCAACACCCCTTGTTGTTTTCAGAGAAAATTTGTTTTCAGGAAAAAAAAAAAAAAAAAAAGCAGCCTCTTAGAGTGGTAGGATGTTTGTACAACCCTGCAACCACACAGGACAGCCCTGGATTGATTCTTAAGATCTGACAGCCAGCACTAAGCGCTGCCCCTTACCCTCCTGTTTCAGGGAACTGGGATCCCAAATACAGGCTCTTCCAAGACGTGGCACAACAAGCAGCCAGCTGCAGCCTCTGCCTGGGCCAAGCTGCTGAAGGTACGGGACCCTAGGAGAAAGGGGCCCTGCTGTATGCCTGAGTTCCTGCCAGTGACCGTGGGAAATGAGCACATGTGTGGGCTTGGGTGTGCACCCCCAGACAGGAAGCGAGTCATCTTAGCAACAGCACCTGTGAGCAGGTCAGTACTCACCGATCTCCGTGGCAACGGCCTGCAGCTTTTCCAGCGTCCGGCTAATTAGCACAACGTTGAGTCCTTGCTTTGCTAACTGGGAAGGAGATAGGAAACGCTGGTTTGAAAGGTGGAGTTGGTCTTAGGGCAACGCCGTTGGCTGTAGGGTGAGGTCCTGTCTTCAGGCGGCATTAGCAAGGCCGTGACCAGGGTTCTGGGCCCTGAGCAAAACTGCCATTGAGGGCCTGACCTTGACATCTCACTGGCAGGGAGCACTTGCTGTGTGTTTTTTTGCAGGCCAGCAACAACTCTGAGTGCCTGTCAGGCCCAGGATCTGACAGCCGCTACTCCAAAATGCATGAGAATTCCAACTATTTGGCCCTCCACAGGCTCAATCTACTGTGAATTGAAATGAAAACTTTTGGGGGAAAAATGTGCCTATGGCAGACATATACAAATCTTTTTTTTTTAAGGAAAAATAATGTATTAAGGCTAGCACAATGGTTCAACTAACTAATCTTCTACCTGCAAGCTTTGGCATTCCATATAGATGCTGGTTCCTGCCCCAAATGCTCCCCTTCCCAACCAGCTCCCTGCTTGTGACCTGGAAAAGCAGTTGAAGATGGCCCAAATCCTTGAGACCCTGCACCCACGTGGGGGACCTGTAAGAAGCTCTAGTTCCTGGCTTCAGACCTGCTCAGTTCTGGCCATTGTGGCCATTTGGGGAGTGAACCAGTGGATGGAAGCTCTCTCTTTCTGTGTCTCTTCTTCTCTCTGTAAGATCTGTCTTTCCAATAAAAACAAATAAATCTTTTAAAAATGTATTTCTTTGAAGGGCAGAGTAAGACAGCAGTATGCTCTAACTGCTGGTTCACTCCCCAGATGTTGCAACAGCCATACTGCTATGAAGTGTTCAAAGGTTACTTGAGAGACAGCGAGGACTCCCATTTGGTTCCTTCTCCATATATCTGCAGTGACCAGGCTAGGCAGGGCCGGGCTGAAGTCAGGAAGCAGCTATTTCCTTGAGATCCCCCATATGTGCCGTGGAATCCCAGTCCCTGGAGTCATCACCATTTGCTGCTATTCAGGGTCTGCAGTAGCAGGAAATTAAGAGATGGCAGCTGGAGCAAGGACGCAAACCCAGTTTACTCCACTGGGGCGCAGCAGGCTTATGTTTTAAAATAAATGGTGTCTTGGGGTAAGATTCTGCTTCAGCTTATGCCTCTTGTTTCGTGTTTGGAAAATCACTTCTTTGGAGTGAGCAGTTGTAGGACATGCTTAAAGCAGAGAGGACAACTTACCTGCAAGGAATATGCCTTTCCAATCCCGTCTCCCGCTCCAGTGACCACTGGGAAAAGCAGAAAGACTTTGAATGACAGACTGCGTCTTGCACTCCCCCTTGCATGCTTCCCGTCCAAGTCCTGTCTCTTAGGACATTGGCCATTCCAAAGTATCACAGCATGTATATCTTCATTTTTTTAAAAAAAGTTTTAGTTTATTTTTTATTGGAAAGGCAGATTTACACAGAGAGAGAGAGATCTTCCATCGCTGGTTCACTTTCCAAATGGCCACAACAGCTGGAGCTAAGTCAGTCTGAAGCCTGCAACTAGGAGCTTCTCCCAGGTCCCCCATATGGGTGCAGGGGCCAAGCACTTGAGATCAACTGCTCTCCCAGGCCACAAGCAGGGAGCTGCTGGGACACAAACACCCATATGGGATGCTGGTGCTTGAAGGTGAAATATTTAACCTGTTGTGCTACCATGCTGGTCCTGACACTCCCATTATAAACATTCAAGGTGAAGTTATTTTTAAAGTGTCATTATTTGCAAAGACAGGTGAAACTGTGGCAAATACCTCCAGAATGGAGCAAACAAACAAACAAAAAAATCAACCAGCAAGCATTTTAGCCAAACTCCATAAGGATTTACACATGGAAAGCAGTGTGCCCTGTTAGCTCCCTGCCCATTCACCTCCCAGCCTTCAAAGGGAGATTTCATGGTTTTTCCTAACTTTTCCCTATTTTGTACTCCCCTAGGACACAAGCAGACAACGCCTGTGGAAGATGGGAGGCCTTCTTCCAAAAAGGAAAGCACCGAAAAGAAACAGAATACAGCAAAAGGAAAGAGCCTCAAGAATCTGTACCCAACAGAGCCATCTGGTTGAGTCCAGCGGACAAGGTGTTCCCGCTCTCTGCCAGCCAACACCGCGCTCAGACTTAGTGGCTGCAATCCAGGATGAACCTCCTTGATGTAAGTGCCACCATCTCAAGCACTCACCACAGTTCAGCCTGCTGTAACCTGCTCTTCACTAGCGTGCCAGTCGGCTAGGGAGTGTTTCTTAGACAAACAGAAGAGAAAGCCCTTGGTCAGGGTTGTGGCGTCGTAGGTAGAGCAGCATCTGTGACGCTAGCATCTCGTAAGAGCACCAGTTCACAGATCGGCTGCTCTACTTCCAACCCAGCTCCCTGCTAATGGCCTGACAAAGCAGCACAAGATGACCCAAGTGCTTGGGCATTTGTACCCAAGTGGGAGACCCAGATGAAGGCTTCATCCTGGCCCAGCTCTGGCCATTGAGGCCATCTGGGCAGTGAACACACAGATGTTCACTTATTTCAGTCAAGATCATATTGTTAAACATGATGACAAAAATATTTACATCCAAGCTGTGTGACTTTGGAGTCCCAAGTTTGTCAATATACACCAATGAAATAATTAAGACTTCAGTTCAAACCTGGGAGTATGCTGTCCAAGAGTTAAAAACTTTAGTCTCCTCTAACCAGGTTTCCTTTTGTCCCCCACTCAAAATATACAAAGGTACTTCAAAAAGACACAGAAAAGTAAATGAAAGATAAGTTTGAATGCAAAAAAAAATTCACCAAATGATTTTTTTTTAATTCTTAAAAAAAGTGCTTATGGCGGGGGGCAATTATTAGGGCGCAAGGACTGAGCCATATTTGGGGATGCCCGCATCCTATATCGGAGCGGCTTGGTTCAACTTCTAGTTCCCCCCTCCATTCAAGTTCCCTGCCAATAGGCACCCTGGAAATGAACCTGGAAGGCAGCTAGTGACAGCCACCCATCTGGGAGACACGGATGGAGTTCCAGAAGCCCAGTTTTAGCCTGTCTCAGTTCCAACTCTCACTTGGCACTTGGGGAATGAACCAACAGAGGACCTCTCTCTCTCCCTCTTTCTCTCTCTCTCTCTCTCTCTCTCCCTCTCTCTCTCCTTCTCTCTCTCCTTCTCCCTCTCCATATAAATAACCTGTATCCAAAAGGTGCAAAAACAATGTGTGGCTTTGAGAAAGTTTCCATACTGGAGCGGGTGTCACGCTGTGAGTTAAACCCTGACTAGCCATACCTGTTTTCCCTAGCAGTGCTGGTTCCCGTCCTAGATCCTTGTTGTCTGGTCCGGCTAATCTGCTGCTTTTCATCTGCCTAAGAGGGCAGTGCGGAGTGGTTTGAGTAACTAGGTTCCTGCCAGCCATGTGCAAACTCTTGAAATTCCTGGTTTCTAACCTCATGCTGACCCAACCCTAGCTGTTGCGTGCATTTGGGGAAAATGAAGGAAGAAATGGAAGATCTCTTTCTCTGGCTTTCCCTTGTTCTGTTACTCTGCCTTTCAAATGAATAATAATTCGTTAAAGTTTTTGCACCAACATAAATTTGTCTTTTCATTCCATGTTTTTCCATGAACTTCTTGAAATTCAGTGGTATTATCTCTCCCCTGTCTTACTATGCTCAAAGCCATTTTACTCTTGTTAATGATTATTTCGTTCAACCCTGACCTATAAAACAGGTTAAAATGGAGTTTTCCCCCCTGAGTACCCAGGTGCTCTGAGTCCCTGCCCCCATTTGAACTTCTGGATTGTGTGTCTGCGATTGGCTGTGCCTCCACCCTGATGCAGCAGGTATATAGAGTTCCAAGTGCCCTCAGCTTGGGTGTTTGAATCTGTGTGGAGCCGGTTCCTGGATCCAGAACACAGAAGCTAACTAGCAAGTTCAATGGAGACCATACACTCTTCCTAAAGGGGATACGTTCAAGGCCAGTCCAATACAGTTCAATGGAGTTGAGCAAGGGTATGTGGCCAGCAGCCAAAATGCTAGTGCAGTTGCTCATGTCCTGCGTAAGAGGGCATGGTGTCCGAGATGTGACACCTAGCTCCTGACAGCCGCTCCCTGCATCTGGAGAATGAATCAACAACTAAGAGCTCTGTCCATTTCTCTCTCTCTCTCTCTCTCACACACACACACACACACTACAGATAAAAGAAACAATTCAAATTCACCTGTCATTCCAAACAATTTCTCATTTGTGAATTGCTGTCATTTCCATTGCTAAGTTCATCAAGTTGCCAGTTTGGCAAGAGGAACCATAGAATGCCCAATTTAATTTGAACTGCAAGTAAATAATAGAAGTTACCCCTTGTGTAGCTGAATTTCACATTTATCTAGCTATCCCATAGTTCATCTGATCATCTTTAAGGTAGGAATTTACATCTTTAGTAAATTTTTAATCACAGCGCTGCACCTTGCTTGGTGTCTGCTTTGAAACACAAACCTGTGCAAAGATCTCTGTCATTCCTTCAGGGTGATACAGGCAGCGTGACCTCATGACCTCCAGCTTGCTCCCAAGGGACAGGCCACTGGGAAGTGGCATCTAGTTGGCACAGCCAGCCCCAGAGTCCATATCTAATCATCTTGAAAATGTAGCTCCAGGGTGACCACTTGGCATAGTGGTTGAGTTGCCAGCTAAGACGTCTACGTGCCACATCATAAAATCCAGATATGATTTCTGGCTGCAGCTCCTGCCTCCAGCTTCCGGTTAACGCACAACCTGGCAGGCACCAGGCGATGACGGGTCAGGGGACTGTGGCTCAGGAGGAAGGTGGGAGAAGCAGTGCAAGCATTTGAGGGACAACTAATTGATAGATGTCAGTTCTCACTCCTACTCTTTCTCTCTCTCTGTCTCTCTCTCGTGTACACACACATGCTCTCTCTACCTCTCCTCATCTCTCTCCTCTGACTCTCACAGAGATCTCTGTTCTCTAAATGTTATGACACCCTCATTTCGTTAAAACATTTGGACAGATATTGTCCAATGAATTAAAATGATGCGAATGTCCCAGCTTTGAAATACTCTTGAACAAAACAAAAGCACCTGGATTTTTGTCCATCTGAGGATGAGGCTCTGTTGACCATCTAGAGCGTCTAGAAACTCCACAAGTCAGCAAACCCAGTCTGTGGGGCGGACTGTTACTCCCCCCACCGGACCCCTCCCAAGGTCCCCATAGGATCAGGCATTTTAAGAAAATTCTAATTTCACTCCCACTTCCCTGCCCCACAATGAAGGCACCCAAAACAACAGCCCTTTTCTCTCCCAGAGAAAAATTGCAAGCTGTCTTCCAAGCCATAGTAATCGCAAGAAACAACCACCCCAACCACAAAACAAGAGCCGGGCCATTGTCCCTACCTGCCCATTGTCCCATGGACCGCAAGAAACCACCAGGCAAAGCCGGCCAGTAGCTCGGGAGCACGCGTCTGCAGAGTCCCAGGCACTTGCCCAGGCACAGCAGGCACACCAGGAGCCCCACACACACCAAGAACTGCTCCAGAACTTCAGCCATGGCTGTGCCAGCCGAGAAACCCTCACCCCTCGGCAGCGTCGGCAGCACTCAATACCTATCGCTCTTTCTGGCGGGAGTGCCCAGGCGCTGTCCATTGGCTCTGGGGCACTGAGATTAGAGAAATCTTGCACAACTCGCTGATTCACGGACCTCTGACTGCAGTGTTCTATCTCAACCCTGCCCAGCCCGCAGGGACCCTGCCGCCGCGGGGCAGTCATTGGAGATGAAGATATTGGAGGTCACAAGGCCAGCTGGGGGAGAACCGAAGCCTGAGGTCCTGTCTATGGATTTAGGTAGGCTGTCAAGGAGTTTTCCGGAGGTTTTTGTGTAGGGGGAGCCAAGTCAGCAGTGTGGAGCTGGGGGAGTTGGTACCACCCTATGACAAAACAGAGCCTAGGAGGTCCTTGGGTCCCTAGGAAACTGCCCTCCGCAGAGCACCCAGAGGTCCTGGAGTGCGGCTTTTCTCCTACGGCTCAGTTGTGATAAAACGCCGGAGGCAGAAGCAGGTGTTTGGCTCAGCGCTTGAGTCACTTCTTGTCTTGGGGCACCCCTACCAGAGCCCCCAAGTTTGAGTCTCAGCTGCACTGCCAAGCCCAGCTTTCTGCTAATGGGCACCCTCAGAGGCAGCAAGCGCCAGAGCTTGAGTCCCTGTCCCCTGTGTGGGAGGCCTAATGGAATTCTGAGCACCTAGCTTCTGCCTGGCCAGCACTTGCCAGAGAGGGCCAACAGATGGGCTCTCTCGCTTGACTCTCCTTAAAAACGGATGCATAAATAAACAAACCAGTAATTTTTGTTTGTTTGTTTGTTTGTTTAAGATTTATTTATTTTTATTGGAAAGGCAGATAAATAGAAAGATCTTCCCCCTGCTGATTCACTCCCCAAGTAGCCGTAACGGCTGGAACTGAGCCAATCCCAAGCCAGAAGCCAGGAGTTTCTTCCAGGTCTCCCACATGGGTGCAGGGATCCAAAGCTTTTGGGACGTCCTTTACTGCTTTTCCAGGTCACAAGCAGGGAGCTGGCTGGGAAGCAGGGCAGCTGGAACACAAACTAGCACTCGTATGGGATCCTGATGTGTGCATGGTGAGGTTTTAGCCACTAGGCTATCGCGCCAAGCCCCATGATGTTTTTAGAAAGCAGTATGACCCTCTGCAACATTCTCTGAGTTCCTGTTTTGAGAGGCGACCCACACTGACACAAGGGCCCACACCAGTGCCATCTGTCAGTGAGGTTTGCAGCCGAAGGGACCTGGTTGGGAGTCTACTCTGTTCTCTGGGCTTTCCACCTCCATCACTATGAGTGAAGCAGGTCTCTCTCCTTTGTAAGGCTGGCCTACTTCAGATACTGTGTTACAGCCATGGACATTTGCCTGAGCTGGAAACAAAAAAGAATGCCAGAATGGAACCATTCATCCCTGTATTCATCAAATATCAACTGACTGCCTATCAGAGGGCAGTCGCGGGTCAAAGCACTGGCAATAGAATCGTAAATAAGACAGTTCTCATCTCAAGTGTACCTTCCAGGAGGAGAGTCATTAGGCAAATAGAGACAACATCAGGTGCAAGGGCTGTGAAAAAGTCGTACTGAGAGAGCTCCTAGCACAACTCATCAGCAAATACTTTAAAAGAGATTTTTTTTTTTCCCAGAGGTCTGTGATGTGGGTGGGACTTGAAAGCAAAGAAGCAGCCAGCCTGCAAGCATGAGGGTCCCTTGCAGGCTCCTGAGCCCAGTGCCTGAAGCGAGGAAGAAGTGCAAGTGTGAGGATGCAAGGGGACCATGCAATGCATAGACAGGTTGGGTCTGCAAAGATCAGGTGGCTAACGAGTGTGGCTTCTGCTCGCTGACTCTTCGCGCTGCCCCCCCCCGATGAAGTGTGTGCGGGATGCTCTGTGAGGAGGCCCAAGCAGCTGGGTGGGAGCTTATGCCCCAACAAAGGGACAAGTGAGTTCCTGCTGAGGCCTGAGGTTACTGCAGCCCTGTCGCTGCCTTCTTCGCTGTCCCCTGCGGGGCCTTGAACCGAGGAACTCAGCTAATCCAAGCCCAAGTTTCTGACCCCACAAAAACCGTGAGGTTGTAAGCCATGTCATTTTAAGCCCAATCATTGATTTAAATTGTTGCATAAAATAGATCATTAATGCAGTTTCTTTTTATATTTGTCTTTGACAACCTAACAATATGAAATTTTAATTTCAACAGAATATGAACATCTCGCACATTTCCATGGGTAGAAGATTCTTAAAAACATCTTATTAAAAGCATCAAAGCCTAACAAGACCAAAAAGTCAAGAACAAGCGAAAACACCAACACAGGGAGATAAATGAAACAAAGAAGATGCATGAGCTGGCCCTTGCTGACCAGGGTCAAGTTCAGCTTCAATGTCAAGCCTTGGCGTGGAAACTGAAGCTCAGAGAGGGTATCATTGGGGACCATCTTGCCGGAAAACTGGTGCCCCACAGGCTTTTACAATGTAGGGTAAGCCTGGCCCAGGAGAGACAGGCTCCTGAGCTGCCAGGAAAGCGGCTTGGCACTGGACAAAGAAAATGATGGCAAGGAGACAGCAAGAGAAACAGACTGTGGCTCTGTCAGTTCCTTGGCGCATGCCGATGCTGAGGGGTAAGTTCTGGGGCTCTGAGTTGTGTATGACTGGGGGGGGGAAATACAGCATGGACTCCACACATACACACAAAATGTGGAACAGACTTTTCCTTGTCTCTATTCTCTAAAACAACTGTGTAACAGCATCCGCTTGGTGTTATAAGTCATCTAGAGATGATTTAGGGTATGTGTGTGTGTGTGTGTGTGTGTGAGGATATGCCTGGGTTAAAAGCAAACATGTGTTCTTTTACCCATGACCTTGAGCATCAGCAGAGTCTGGTTTCCACGGAGGATCCAGCAGCCACTCCCCAGGGGCCTTCTGAGGGACAACTGTCCTCCCTGCCGTGTCTCCCATCCGATGACCCAGCAGGGCCAGGCTGGCCTTCTTGCAGCTTGCCAATGCCAGGTTCACCTGCTGCCCTGGCTAGTGGTTCTGCCAGGAAACAGCCAGGGCCAAGCCAAGCTCTGCACTGCCAATCTCCACACACTCTTATGCCAGAGCTGGGAGCCTGTAGGGGCTAGGAGGATAAGAACCACACCTTGCCAGGTCAGTGTCCAGAACCTGTGGGTTTAGTTTTCTTAAGGAGAGTAAGGGGCATGCCATCAGCTCTGACCAAGTGGGAAGCAGGCAGGACACAGGCCTAATGCCACGGTCCTTGGCAGGACACTCCTATGGTGTGCCACCACACTAGACCAGCATCCTGGAGGTGCCGATGGCCTTCAGCAGGACAACAGCCCAAAGGGTCCTAAGCAGGCCACACCTGCAAGACAGCATCACCATGTCATTCTTTTTTAAAAGATTTTATTTTTACCTTTATTGGAAAGGCCTACATACAGAGAGGAGAAGAGACAGAGAGGAAGATCTATCCACTGATTCACTGCCCAACCGACCACAATGGCCAGAACTAAAGTGATCTGAAGCCAGGATCCAGGAGCCTCTTCCAGGTCTCCCATGCAGGTACAGGGTCCCAAGGCTTTGGACCATCCTTGACTGCTTTCCCAGGACACAAGCAGGGAGCTAGATGGGAAACACGGCCTCCAGGATTAGAACTGACACCCGTATGTGATCCTAGCACGTTCAAGGTGAGAATTTTAGCTGCTAGCTATCATGCTGGGCCCCACCATGTCACCAGGGGCCTGAGAAGTTTTAGACTATTGTACCCGCTGTATACAACCATGCTAGGGCAAGGGGTGAGACAGGGTTCCTAGAGGAGGAGGCCACTTATGGGGTCACCAAGAAACCCAGGCTTTCTCAGGGGTGACAGGGTCTCAGGACCCAGAGGGTGGGGTATGTGTCCGAGCATCAGAACACACAGTGCCTGTGGTGCTGCCGCCTGGGCAGAGGAAAGGCTCCAACCCAGGGAGACACCAAGGATGAGTCGGTCTGTTCCTCTTAACCAGCTGAGGCCGTGGATGCCACTGCGAAAGAGAAAACAATACATGGGGACTTTTGCTTTTGCCATAGCAAGGATGCTGCTCTTGAAAGCAAACATGTCCTTTCTTACTTTTGATCTTTTGCAGAAACTGCTTCGGTGAGAGAACTGCTGGTGAGTTCTTCAGACATCACAGTAGGTACGGGTACGGCACCTGCACCTCCGTCTAGGAGCCTGAGTGTTGGCTCGGGGAGCAGGGAGGAGCCTGCGCGGTGACTGACACTGCTGTACTCACTGTGGGAGACAATAACGGCCTTTGTGCTCCAGCGGGGTGGCTTTTCAATCCGCACGGGGCAGTCTAGCAGCGCCCACATTTGGGAAACAATGCAGTACAATCTTCCTTCTCCGGAGCACACTCTACCCGCACTTGGTTTCTCTCCAATTTTACGCCATTTGACCCAAGGGCTCGAGCAGTGTAGAAAGCATCGGCTTCTCTCAGAGTGGAGATGGACACATTCGATGAAATAGGGACAGATGCCCAAGGGACGTGAAAGGCCTCCGCCCCTCACCAGTAGGAAGTAGTTACAGATGTGATGCATCCACAGCCTTCCGCAACTCAAGGATAAACTTTGAGGGGCCAATGACATGGGACAAGGAAGCAATGACTTGCTTACAGTCATGAATTAGAAGGCATATCCCCCACCTGTATAATACTGTGTGTCAATTAAATGATCCTTTCCCCACGATGGACTCCCCTCACATAAACCACTCACAAGAATTCAAGCAAAGACCCCAGAGCAATAGCCTAGCCTCACCTTGAACACGTCGGGATCCCATATGGGCACCAGTTCTATTCCCCGCAACCCCACTTCCCATCCAGCTCCCTACTTGTGGCCTGGGGAAGCACTAGAGAATGGCCCAAAGCCTTGGGACCCTGCACCTGCATGGGAAACCCGGAAGAGCTCCTGGTTCCTGGCTTCAGATCGCCTCAGCTCTGGCTGTTGTGGCCGCTTGGGGAGTGAATCATTTGATGGAAGATCTTCTTCTCTGTCTCTCCTCCTCTCTGTATATCTGACTTTCCAATAAAAATAGATCTTTGAGAAAAAAAAAAGTTAGGCAACAGAGAAGGGCTCTCTCTCTCTCTCTCCCAGACACCAAATGAAAGCAGAAACATCTCTCACCCTTCTCTTCCCCGCCTTCTCTGTCCCTGAATGCAGCCTGCCTCTATCTAAACAAACTTTCCAAGAAAAAGAGGACATTACCTTCATGTTCTGTTTGTTTAACACATGAAGGGAAACAGAGGAAAAAAATAGGAACACCACGCACCTTGCCCCTTGAGTCTTTATGAACACAGTAGTAAGAATCTACTAATTATCAGAGTACAAGCAGGGGGCAGATGACTTTTCTATCCAAACGAGAAAAGACTGCAAACACATCTGGAATTCTAACACGCACAACCACAAAACAAAATAAGTACAACCAATAATATTGTGGTTTTTGCCAGCATTCGTGTGGAAAGGAATGCTAAATTTGGGGCAGAAGTTAGGGATGGAGCAGGAGTTAATCTCCCCATCTAAGTTGATCAGTCCACTAAATTCCATCCATGAGTCCCAAATTCAGAACCCTATGTCTTAGGACAGGCAGTGCCTCTCAGATCCCATGGATTACAACATACCCTGAGACTCTGCACTTATTTTTAAGATCTCTTTATTTGAAAGGTGAAATGACAGAGAAGAAGCCCGGGAGAGGTCTTTCATCTGCTAGTCCACTCCCCAAAAGCCCACAGCACCGAGGATGAATGCTAGCACCATCCGGGTCTCCCATGTGGACAGCAGGGACCCGGGGACTTGACAGTGGCTGACCAGGAAGGAGAGTGGCCAGCTGCAGCAGCACCCTGACAAGGGATGTGGAAGGCTAAGTGGAGACTTCCTGGGGCACCACACAGCTGGTCGCAATATTTCCTTGTCCTGTCTGGTAACGATTTTTTTTTTAAATATTTCATTTGAGAGGGAGAGAGAGGAAAAAAAAAAAACAGTCCCCTCTCATCTGCTATTCATTCTTCAAAAACTTGCAGTGGTCAGGGCTAGCTCAGGCCAAAGCTAGGACCCAAAGCTGGGTGGCAAGGACTTCATTGCTTCAGCTGTCACTGCTGTGTCCCAGGGTATGCAGGAAGCTGGAGTCGGGAACGGTAGAGCAAGTTGAACCCTGGCAACGCGGGGAGCAAGCACCTTAACCACAAGCTGTCTTCCCCCTTTTCATTTTTTAGTATTATTATTTTATGATATAGTTCCATAGGCTCTGGGATTTCCCTTCCCCCCTCCCCAAGTGTCCCTATCCCCCCTACAAACACTGATGTCCCCTATATTATTACAATAGGATAGTTCTTCATAAGCAGTCATAAGTCCATCATTACTGGCATGGACAATGGCAGAGTCCAGCATACCGTTGTCAAGATATAGTAAATAGTTCCATTGGGAGTCCATCTTTAGCCTGGAAGTAGAGATGCATACTGCACTGTATCCTCACATCTGGATATGACAGTCTCCATTACACAATTACTGTACATCCCCTTAAATGAAAAAGCCACAAAACAAAATCAACAATAGGAAAGAAAAAAAAGAAAGAAAGAAAATGACAATGCCGGAAGCTAAACAACATGCTACTGAATGACAAATGTATTGCTGAAGAGATGAATGAAGCAAAAAATCAAGAACCTTTAAAGAAAATGATGCTAAGCTATGAGTGAAGAATTTAATGAGAAAAAAAAAAACTGTCATGAGCAATGGAAACAAGAGCAAAAACATCAAAATTCATGCGATATAGTTTCTGTTGATCTTTGCTGGTGAGATGTGTCTCCTGTTGATCCAGTCTACTAATGTATGACAAAAATGTAAAGACCTGGTCCCATGACCGTCACTCCTTCCCCCGTCTCCAGGAGCCCTCAGCGCCCTTCCAGCCACCCCTGGGAACTCCCTGCTCCCCACCATCCGCCCTTCGACCCCAGCCCTGGGGAACCTCGTGACTCGGGTGCCACTTCCACCTGGGCTGCTCTGAGCGCGCCCTCTGCTGGCGCACTCAGAACCAAAGGGAAAAGTTTCAGAACAACAATAAAAAAAAAAATCTTCCTTAGCTCCAAGAATAAGAAAGTAGAGAAAAGAAGGCCAAAGCTAGCTCTGTTTGGCTTAGCATTTTTGGCCTCTGGGTCTCGGAAAGGCTTTTGGTAGTGTAACCAAAGATAGATAACCTAACAGTTGAAAGTTGGGGGTCAGGCCCAGTGGTGCCACAAATTACGCCGACGACATCTCATATCGGGAGTGCCAGTTCAGGCCCTGCCTGCTTCTTCTCTTCCCATGCAGCTTCCCACCAATGCACCCTGGAAGGCAATGGATGAGGACTCAATTACTTGGGTCTCTCCCATTCTCCTGGCTCCTAGATGCAGTCTGGCCCAGAACTGGATGTTGCAGTCATTTGGTGAGTGAACCAGTGAGTGCAAGTTATCTGCCACTCCACGTTTCAAATAAATAAGCAATCTGTAAAAAATAAGAAGTGGAGCGGTGGGCATGTGGAGTGGCAGTTAGCATCCAGCCTGGGATGCACGCATCCCATCTCGCAATGGCAAGGTTTGAGTCCTGGCTCGGCCCCTGCTCATAGCTTCCTGCCAATACACCTGCTAATGACTTGAGCCCCTGCCACCCATCTGGTGCACTTGGATTGCATTCCAGGCTTGCTGGCTTTGGCCTGAGTGAACCAACTTTCCCTCAACGGCCCCATCACTCAATCTTTGCCTGTCAGATACATTCATTTTTTTAAAGCAAAGGAACAATAAAGAACTTGTGCAGCTCAACAACTCAAAGTGTTGGGTATGTAGGCCAGCACCCATGTTCCTGCGGATACAGAGCCCGGAAGACACTCATCAGGTTCCTGCCACTCACGTGGGTGACTAAGACTGAGTTCCAAGTTCATGGCTTTAGCGCATCCTAACCTTTAGCTGTGTGGGGATCTAGACAGCAAACCAACACATAGGGTTCTCTCTCTCTTTCTCTCACGCTCTCCATGTCGATATAATAAAAGAATAAAGGATTTGAATAGATACTTCTCTAAAAAAAGATAAACGGCCAGCAAGAACATGAAAAAGTAACCTCACCAACTGATTAATTCTGGAAACGCAAATCAAAACCATAACACCCATCTGGATAGCCAGTACTTGGAAGAAAAAAAAAAAGGAAACGCAAAATAACATATTCCAGAGAACACAGAGTCTGTTGGCAGGAGTGTGAAATGGTACACGCGGATACCGACACCTGCTAAAACACAGACGAACCGTGTGGGCATCGCTCAGCGGGATTAGCCACTCAGAGAGACACAGGTGATGGGCCCCACCTGCACGCGCTGTGTAGAACATTCCAGTCCACGGAGACGAGGGGGAGTGACGACACCCTCCTCCCCAGCTCCACGCCTGGCTCAGCTTCTACGCCCGACCTGGTGGCCGCTGGCCAGAGTCGTCATTGAGGTTGACGTGGTCCCGGCTGCACCACGTGTTTTGCGAAGGTCACCGCAGGTTGGCACAGGTGGGTCTGGAAGGGAGGCCCCCTGGCGCCCAAGCCTGAGATGTAGCCCGGGGTGAGGCTCAGGAAAAACATGACCCCGGGCACAGCACGTTGATACATTCATTGTTTCACATGGAGGTCATCCAGACGCCAGCCACTGCTGGAGGATGCTTCTCATCTTACATCCGGGTCAGCTCCATGAAAGAGCAGGTGCTTCTGATCCCTTTCAGGAAGTGCTGGGACCGATTCCAGAATAACCCGCAAAGACCTAGAGGGAGACTGGAAACCCAGCTCTGCCCTGGGTGCCCACTGAACTTGGTCCCGGCCGCTGGTGTATTCTTCAGGCTCATTCTCTCTTCCTCACCCCTGTAAAGAGAGGCTCAAGGTTCAAAAACCTGGCCGCACTCCCGGTTCCAGCTGTGCATTGTACAGGCACGGGTGGACACTGCTGAAAGGGGCGTTCCAGTCCTCTCTCTTGCTGATTCGCCCAATCGCAGGGCATCTCAGAGGAAAGCGAGAAAAACCACTCTCCCCAGCAACCCCCAGTTCCTGATGCTCTTAACCCGAAGGGGACACTCAACTGCTCATCCGGGGGCTCACCGTCTCACACCTGTCTATAGGAACAACGCGATACGAGGTCACACAGAAATCTTTCTTTATTTTGATGATCGGGGAGGGGAGAAATACCAGCGTAGCTTTCATCAAAGCTAACACAGACCTTTCTTGGGTGCCTGTTTATGGATTGGGTCATTTTATTGAAAACAAGAAATGTCTGCTGACACTGGGGGGGGAAAATAAGGTTCCCATTTGGCATTTTGCTTGGGTTCCAGCCTTTGGAATGAAGGTCATGGTGCTAAGACGGCCATAGCAGGGACCCCTCCCTGGCACAGGGCAGGGCAGGGTGGTGACAGAACAACAGGACCGTCCACAGCACCCAGTGCTCCACCACGGGACTTCGAAAAGCTCTCAGCAACAAACTGGAAGAAGTGCCTTCAGAGTCTTCCACAGATTCACAAAAAAAAAAAAAAAACCTGCTAAAAAAATTATGCCTCGCTCTCAAAAATAGATTTTTATACAAAACAAGTCCATCTTTCGATTCCATTTGGCTAAAAGCTTTTTAAAGAATCCTTGCATTTGGGTATCCAATGAAGCCACACAGTTTCATCATTACAACAGTTGAAGACCCCTCACATATATGCTAATTCCAGTTGTGAATTGCGAAGAGATGTATTCCCCGAATGCTGAGGCTGGGCCCGAACACACAGCCAGGGACCCAGCACGGCTCATGGGGGCAACGGGCTGTGAGGTAGCTCTCTTGGCATTTGGCACCAGTTCTCGTCCGGGCTCTGGCGTCCCACTTCCACCGGAAGCTCACAGCAGCTAGCTCTTCCCATCCGGAGGGCTGCTCTCCTCATCCACGGGGGGCTTGAACTGGCTGCGCAGGGTGAGGAAGGAATACCTCAGGCCCCCTGCCATGCTGCAGGGAGGAGAAGCAAACGGCCGGCCGTGAGTAAGCGGGGAGGCCACAGGGGCTGCCCCCACCCTCCCCAACACACTGATTCCATGTCTTTCGTATGGGTCTCCATCAGCCTTCGCAGCGCCCTGAATACAGGAGCCCCCCCAGCCACAGCGCCAGTTTAAGAACATCTCCCTGCGGCCCGGGAGGAAGTCAGATGGCTTAGGGGACTTCTGAGGAAGACAAAGGAATGGAATTCAGACCCCAACCCCATGAACGTTCATTGCACATCACATGAGGAGCTGGGTCAGAGAAGTTGGCAAGCCACCTGCAGTGCCAGCATCGCTTACGGGCTCTGGTTCCAGTCCCAGCTGCCCCGCTTCCCATCCAGCTCCCTGCTAATGCCTCTGGAAATGGAATAAAAGATGACCTAAGTGCACGGGAGGCCCCGAGGAAGCTCCAGGTTCCTGGCTTCAGCCTAGTCCAGCCCTGGCCATTGTGGCCATCTGGAGAGTAAATCAGAGGATGGACAAAAGAAAAACAAACAGAGAGATGGAAGTGGCTTGCTTTTAGAAGTTACAGTGTCACAGAAGCGGGCACTGCAGGAGTCAGGACAGCCCCTGGCTTCAAAGGCCACGGGCGGCTTTGCCCTTTGTTTTATCATGTGACAATCAGGCAGTTTCAAAGTCCTTCTTTGGCAACAACGAGTTCATAAGGAAATCCCACTCACCAAATATTTAACCCGATGAAGTTTAACATGGAGAAGATGTAGTCTCCACCAAGAAGCATTCCAATGTAGGCAATGGATACGTTCTGCAGGGAAAGGGAGGGTGGGTCACTGCCCAGGCGAAGGACCGGGGTGCAACCAGCTGGCAGGATCCCATCTCCCGACCACCACCTGGACAGTGACCACTTCAACACAAGAGTGGCCGGAGAAGCATCGCTCACTAAACCCACCACGCAGTGTTGCGTCGCAGCCTCCCCGGGAGGCTGGTGGGCAGCAGTGGACACTGCCGAGTGTCTCACGCTAATTCACAGGAGTGGAGGAATATACAACTGCAAGGGACTGGGAGTGGAGCCAGAGCACCAGCGTCCTCTCCTGGCTCAGGAGTGCACCTCTGCAGTACTGTGCACACCCAGGCCAGCTTGCCCTGCAGCTGAGCTGAGCACCTGCCTCTAGGGAGGGACCCCCGTCCTCCCCTCCACAACCCCTTCCTGGCCTCTCCTTCTTACAACTTAGCGGGCCCTCCTGCAGCTTCACGCTGCACCAGGAGAGGAGAAGCAGGGCAGGCTGTCTGATGCCCACAAGCTGTAATTCCTACCGAGCCTCCCTCCAGCAGCCAGAATCAAGCCCAGCTTCCCTCCCTCCCTCCCTGGAGGGCCAGGTCCCACCGCCAGGCTCAATCCGAGGCTCCACCCACTCACCTTGATGGCTCCTACCACGGCCGTGGTCAGGGCGGAGTTGTAATAGCTACACAGAACCGTGGAGTACATCAGCAGGAACCTAAGACAGGGAAGCAGACACCTGGGCGTGTGCCTGGCCAGGCTGGGTCATGAGGTCATGACACAGTGACGTGTGCACACAAGCACCAAGAACAAAAATAACCCAGGGCAGGTGGTTTGCAATTGGAAGCAGCACAGAGGTGCACCGCAAGGTGCCAAGGAGGAAGCTGGACCTGGAAGTGGAGCTGATACTCAAACGCCAGCACTCTGATAATATGGCAGGTGGGCTTCCCGACCAGTGTCTCAAACTGGGCCCTAGTGACACCTTAATGCGACCACGCACTAGATAGGACAGGTGCAAGATGCCAGGGTCCAGCTGCCATGAATGTGGGCATTCGTTCACCAGCAGGACAGAAGAACCCTCCATCACACTCGAGTGAATTCCAACCTTGGTGACCGCCACTGTCTGGACAGAAAGGTTGCATTTCCGCGTATGGCCACTAGATGGCCCCAGAGAACAAATGCAAATCCACCAGGAACGGCAATGTTTCTACAAGCAAATGACTATTGTCCAAAAAGAACCTGCACCAAGGGGGACAGGGAAATCGTGTCAATTCCAACACCAAAAAGTCAACCTCCACGGGACAGCGGTTTTAGAACATCTGTGGGCTGATAAAATGCAAGAACATTTGAAGCACTGAGTACTGTTTGAACATGTACAGCGGCTGTCTGATGCAGGCACTGGGCGCCGACCTCACGTTATGGCAGAAGCCATCACATCCGTTCTCTCTCAAGGTTCGCATTCCGAGAAAGTTGGAACTGGAAGTGGAGCCTGAACGAGAAGCCAGCACTCTGGGGTGGAATGTGGGTGTTCCCTGTAGCATCCTAGTTACTGAACTACATGCCTGACCCCAGGAAAACAGTTTTCATTTTCTATCAGAAAGGCAGAGAGACAGAGACTGGTCTCCCACTCGCTGGTTCATCCCAGAAATGCCTGCAGTAGCCAGAACTGGGCCAGGCTGGAGCCGGGAGCCCAGAACTGAACGCACGTCTCCCTCCCGCAGGTGCAGGAGGCCAACAAGGGGCCATTACCTGCTGCCTTCCGGAGTGCAGAAGTAGGCCCAGGACGCAAACCCAGGCACCAGAGGTCAGCCCTCCTCCCCAGGAAATGGAAGACCCGTACATGGTCTCTGCTCCAGGAAAGCAAGACAAAATCCTAAAATGGTTGGATGATGCGATAGCCTGCACATCTCGCTGGGACACTTTTTCTGGTTATATGGGCACAGCACCGCAGGTGGAGAAGGTCATGGCCATACAGATTGCACAGGGCCAAGGGTTCTAAAAAGCCAAGAGGCTGGTGAGAGAGAGTAGAAATGGCATTTAGCTAAACTTCGCAAAACACAGCAGAGTCACATACTCATTTCTGGTCTTTTTAGACCAGGCTCCCGGTGTCCTGGGCCCCAGTCCCTTCGCCTGCTACAGGAACACCACTGGTGCTCAGTATCCATGGAGAGGGGTGGGTTCCAGGATCCCCTGTGGATACGAAAATCTGCAGGTCCCAGGTCCCTATATCAAAGGGTGTGGTATTTACACACACACAATCGTAAGATGACTTTGTAATCCCGACAACATAAACACCACGTCATTCATTGCTGTGGTCATCACTAAGGCAGGCGTGGTGGCCCTTGGCCCTAGAGGACCTGTGAAATCATCTGGCCTGGCCCTGCCAAGGCAACTGCAGGTGGGACTTGAAATTCAATAAATAGCAAATCTCTAAGTTGACCATCCCTTATGGCGCACGGATCATGTTACCGCCAGCAGGAAACAGGCCCTGCCCTCTTGAAGCAGGGCATCGCGAGAAAAGTCCTGTTCAGGACACAGTTGTTAAAAAAAACATTTCTGAGCCATGAGTGGTTGCATCCATGGACACAGAGGCACAAATCCAGAGGGCTGACTGCAACGGCCAGAAAGTCAGCTGGACACAAGGCCTTTTCCATTACAGAATCTATGTTTTCCTTCGTCAAGAGATGTCATTGATGTGTCCACTTATCTGTGGTTGCTTACCCCAAAAAGCAAGACAGAAGAAACTGCATGATAAATAGAACATTCTTCCATTGGTTGAATTCAGTAGCCTGTAATTAAAAAAAAAAAAAAAAAAAAGGTTAATTTTATTAAAGTTCAAGTCTATGCCAAGGATCTACCTTGCCAAACAAGACACACAACTTTCAAAATCCTAAATGATTTGTATGAACTCGTGCAAACTTTTCTTCCTCCCAGACTCTCGGCATTGCTTTACAAAATAAGAAACTATTTTTTTTAAATAAGCAAATAAATAAAAGTTTGTCAAAAGGTGGGTGCAAGATGGGACATTGGAATCATCTCCCACTGCTTTCCCAGGCGCATGAGCAGGGAGCTGGATACAGAGTAGCCGGAACCCAAACCTGTGAAGCAGTTGGAGATGCTGGCACCACAGGCAGGGGCTTAACCAACTGTGACACGGTATCAGTCCCCCCCAAAATGATTTTTAAGGTGACTGAAGACTGGGCACAAGTGTGTGCTCAAAGACATGATGAACGCTCAGTCCTTCCTGGTTTCTATCAAGGAACACATCATTAACCAAGTTTCAGAAAATGGCTGTCTATGAAGCTACCTGCTTATTTCTTCAGCCTGTAATTCAAGCTTTGTTTACTTGAGAAGCAGAGAAAAAGGATAAAGGGTCAGAGTCACAGTGGAAAAGCTCCAATCTGTTGCTTCACTCCCCTCAAAGTCCACAGCAGGCACCGGAAACATAATCCAGGTCTCCCGTGTGTGTTAGCAGAGATCCGGTTACCGAACCATCACTGTTCCTCCCCTACGGCCTGCACCTGCAGGAACCCAGAGTCAAAGACTGCTTTCATTATGTCATGAGCCACGCCTTGCTACCTCTCTGATCAAGAAGTTACATACGCATCTGGCTGGAGCCCCAGGTCCACGGCTGACTAATGGCAGACCCGGCTCAAGGGCTTGGGTCCCCGCCAGCCGTCTCGGAGACCTGGCCTTGGCTTCTGACTCCTGCCTTCACACAGTCCAGAGTGAGCCCACACACTCTCCGCCCCCCTCCCCCTGACCTGTGTTTTTCTGCCTCTCAAGAAAATTAAAGAGGAAGTACTCCTTCAATGTAGCTAATAGTTGAAACTGATTAATGGATACATGAGGTTTGTTACAGGATTCTCTGTGCTTAAAAATTTCCATGGGGGCTGGCACTACGACATAAGGGGTTCAGCCTCAGCATCCCATAGGGGTACCAGTTCATGTGAACTAGCAGCTGGAAGATTTCTCTCTCTCTCCCTCCCTCTCTCTGTTAATCTGCCTTTCCCATAAAAATAAGTAAATCATTAAAAATAGAAAAGAATGTTTAGATGTTCTTTGAGCCAATCACAGCGATCCAAATGATTAATCCAATTCACCCACTGAGCGCTCTCCAAGGGCACAAGGATGTGCAGATTCTGTTGATGGGAGATGGAAATAAGGAGATGGAAATACAGAGAGGTGTGAAGACTGAGCCAGCCCAGGATCAAATTCTGGGAGCAATGAGTCACACACAAGCTCCACCACAGCCTCTGATCCTTGCCCCGCCTCTCCCAGTCCTGGACAACTGGGACAAATGACTCACTCAGTTCCTCCTTCTGTTAACAAGAGGCGTCCGCGTCTGGCTGCAATCATCCATCAGCTTTCAGTACCGGCGAACCAAACTTGGCCAGCAGAACGCAACTTTCCACCTCAGACTCACACGCCATCACACAGAGACTCACTGCCTTCCCGTACTGGGTCTCAGTCTCAGAGGGAGTCAGTCACGGGCACAAGTGACCAACTCAGGGGGCATTCAAACCATCAAAACGCCCTGCATGGTTCAGGGGCTTTTCCCAAGTTCCTGCCATAGCACAGACAGACAAGGCCACTCACACATGTTTCACGGTCATTGCTTTTCAGAAAATGTCAGGCCACTGCTTCTCACACCTCCAGAGAGAGTGCCAATGCAAGGACAATGCCAAATGCATGAGGGCACTTTCAAAGTTTAAGATCAATAAAACCAAAGGACGTACATTTCATTGGGGGTAAAAAAAAAATTTTTTTTTGAAACCCACGCATAGCTTTTTCATAACGCTCATTGTTCACAGATTGTTTTTGAAGACAACCACTAAGTAGGAAATGTTTTCAAAAGTCCAAAATAAATGTACCTATTTATCTGAAAGGCACACAGAGAGACAGAGATCTACCACGGACTGGTTCTGTTCCCCCAACGCCTGCAACAGCTACGCTGGGCCAGGCCAACGCCAGGAGCTTAGAACATGCTCTGGGTGTCCCCAGGTGGGCGACAAGGACGCAAGCACTTGAGCCACCAGCTGCTGCCTTCCAGGATGCCCATGTGCAGGAAGCTGGAAGCTGGAACTCCAACCCAGGCCATCCAGTACGGGCTGCAGGCATCCCAGACAGCATCTTCAACACCCACCAGCACTGTGCCAAGCTCCCTGCATGCTCTGGAACCTCTCCCTGTCCTGGACCCTCCTGGCAACTCCTATAAGTCTACCCTTTGTACTTTCATCAGGACCAAGTGTCCAGCCCTGGGGTTTCAGAAGGACCCCAGTAGGAGGACCAGGGAGAACAGGTGAGCGTTCCATGCCGCTCACCAGCTCACCTGCCGCAGGTCTCCGGTGGAGGCGCTGATGAGGAGCGTCGGGACGATCATAAAGCAGGCATTGTAGAAAAGCACCCCGTATTTCCCCAGCTCCTGCAGAAGCAAAGAAAGCCCCCTCAGACCTTAGACATAGCTCCTGGAGCTGCTCCTCTCACAACGCGTTTAGATCTACAACACGCGTACTGACCAATGCTAGGATGCAATGTTTCCGGCCAAAGTCCGATGGGACATGCCTCGTTTTGAACCTGCTGTGATTTCTAAAACAAACCTTGTTTTTTTTTTACATCCAAACTACCGATGAAATGGAGGGAGGCGGTGGGCGTCGGACGGGTCTTGTCTTTTTCGGACACGGATCACACAGGCTTTGTTTTCTCTCAAAGCATGATGCTCACAAGGGACAGTATAGAACCAAAAGATGGAAAACGTTCGCATCGACAGAAACCCTTAAAAGCATCTGCTCTTTCCATAAAAGAGCCATGTTGCATCAAAGTGGCTGCCTCCCCTGCCATTTCCACAAAAGGGTGACATACTGCAGCTTTCAAAGGGCAAGCAATACGGGTTTTGTGAAACTGCCACCATTAAGAAAAAAATAAATAAATGACCACACAGATTTTTTTTTTTAAAGCTCATGGAAATAAGTCTGTTAGTTAGAGCCAACTCCCTCGCTGCGCACAATGGATGCTCAACAAAGAACCTTATGTCTGCTTCGTCCTAACAGCTGGGCTTGGGTGAGGGAGCCCGCGAGACAGGCAGCTCCTACTGACCCCAAAAGATCGTTACAGCAAGATAGGGCCACACAAGTCACCCATCCCAAACGTCTCACTTCCAGACACGGCAGCCTTCAGCAGCTCAGGTTCAAAGTCACTACAGCCATTCATCAGAAAAGCTTGGAGTCAGTAGGCTGGGCTCTCCAGAGTCTCAAGCAACCCCTCTCGGAACAAACGGGCTGGCCCTGCCTTTGTCTTGGTCCCCCTGAAGATGCTGCAATTTTGGGATAGGCAGAACTGTGCATCTGAAATGGTCATGCCTTGTCCCGCCCCATCCAAAGTACATCCCCGATGTGGCAAGAGTGAAAGGAAGGGCCTGGCTGGGTAAAATGATGCAACACGAGCAGTGAATGAACAGATCCCATCACACAGATTCAACACCCATTCTGCTGTGTTAAGCTTGGGCACCAGAGCTCAGAGGCTGAAAGCCGAGGAAGGGAAGATGCGGTACCTTCGGGTCCAACTTCTGTTTGGTGTAAACCCCATTTGCCGCGGTGAAGAGGTCATTCAGGAACACGCACAGGTACCCTTCCAAGTTAAAGGCAAGGTCGGAGCTGGGGGACCGGGGGCGGGGTGGGGGGAAACCAGAGCGTGATTAGTCAAACTCCCCACTGGGTCTCCCCGTCTGCCTCTTCCACCTTTCTGAACGGAGTTCCTGGGCGGTGCTGGTAACGACTATTTTTTCCCCCTATGGCCATCTCTCCCTACAAGGCAGGGCATGGCTCATGCCTCCAAACAAAAAGCAACAGGTGGCTTTGGCTTCATCACCAAATGGCTTAAAACCCGAGGGACGCGAATCGTCCTCTTTTCCCTGCAAAGCCCTTTCATGCGTTCGCTGGCCAGTTGGGCCAGCATCGTGATGAACACGGTCTGACTCCCCCTATCTAAGGGAGCGAGCTGCCTAACCCACTCAGTGGCCGACTGCGACCAGCGGGACTGTCCCCAGGGTATGGTCAATGCGGCAGCTGGGCTGGGACTGGAGAAAAGAGAGGAGAAGAAATGACACTTCCATTGTCCCCACGGAGCTTCCCGCTCTCCTAAAAGGCAGGACAGGAGGCATCCTTGCCTTCTCTACAATTCTAATAGTGCCTTTCTCCCATTCTTCTTTTTTTGAAACATCTCTTCAATTTCCATTAGAAATTAACAGCACCAGTCAATAATGTTGGAGGGGATACAATGTAGCAAGCAGGACCAGGGTGGAGGACAACACCTGGCCCGTGATGGGCTCTGGCCACCTGCGCTTCAGGTGGCAGACTGTACCAGACCTTATCACTGTTAGGAGGAAAAAGCTTTTCCTCTCTCCTCCTAGATTCTATCACCAGGACCTACAAATCTAACTGAACAAAGACAGACTCACAGAAGAGAGGCAGGACAAACTGCAGTAAGATAGCATGTGCAGGCCCGGCACAATAGCCTAGTGGTTAAAGTCCCTGCCTTGCATGCAACAGGATCCCATATGGGTGCCAGTTTGTGTCCCGGCTGCTCCACTTCCCTTCCAGCTCCCTACCTATGGCCTTGGAGAACAGCAGAAGATGTTCCAAAGCCTTGGGACCCTGCACGCATGTGGGAGAAGCTCCTAGCTCCTGGCTTCAGATCGGCTCAGCCCCAGTTGCTGTGGCCACTTGAGGAGTTGACCACATTATCACACATGAGCCAAACCTAAGCCAATACCCACTCGCTGAGTCCAGAAACATCTAGACATCTAGCACCCAACACCATCCCTCAACAGAGGTTTACAGAAAAAACAAAACAATTTGGATGTACTTTTGTAAACCTGTGCCCCTGGCTCAAAGGCGCCGGTTTCCACAGTAAGGATCCAGAGGACTGGCTGTGCAGAAGGACCCCAGGGCCCCGCGAGAAGGGGACACCTCCTACTAAGCCCCTCCCTCTTTCAGGGACTTTACTCATGACAGCTAAGAGTCCGCAGGACTGCAGCGGGCTGGAGGCTGCGAGGGAACACCCTGAAGTCCGAGCGAGGGGGCACTGAGGCAGCTCAGCCCGGCCCGAGCCAGAACAGGGGCCACAGTGCCGGCCCAGCTGCAGTGTGTTATCTGAAATGATGAGTGCTCATCCTAAGCACTACTCCAGGTGTTCACGCTCCCTTGCCCAGTTGGTGTGTCCTTGGACCCGTGCCTTCTGCTCACCGTGAGACTCCGCCAACTGGAATGGGAGGTGCGCAGAGGCCCAGACTCCTGTCCACGTTGCTAACCGCTGAGTTCCCAATACCTCTAAGTTCACCTGGCACCTGGAAAATGCTCTGTGTGTTTTCGCTGAACTTGGCCAGGCCCCACCATGAGTTTTGTATGATCTCATCTCACTCTCACCGTAACCCCACTGCGGTGGGTGCATTTTTCATCTCGACTGTGAAGTGGGCAGACTGTCAGTATGGGGAGGTGGCAAACGGCTTGGCCCTGGGGGCTCCTGTGGCAAATGAGGAACTAGGAAAGACTCCAATATCCTGGCTTGCTGCCTGGATCCTTATTCAACATAAATGAATGTGCTGATAAGTTTTATGGAATTACTCCAATTCCCATTCCTTCTCTCGAAGTGACACACACAGTTTTTCTGCTTGCACATTCTGAGTAGGCCTCACTCCTGCCTTGTACGCTGAGAGGGAAGGCAGCAGTCACACGCCATGGTCACTTGGTACCCCAACATACAAGTGAACACTCCCCAAGCCAACATCAGCTTTCCACCATTGGAAATGGAAAGAGCTGAACTATCACGGCAAATGACAAACCCAATCCACAAGTAAAAGCTTTACAAATCCTCTATCTGTAGTCAAATGTTGACACTGAAGACAGTATCAGTAATAAAAGCTGGCAGCTCACTGCCTTTTAGATGAAAATCCGTCCCGATGTCTCATCACACCTTTTTTTCCCCCTCACAGCTTCAGCAATGTCAGTGGTGAAGGGGGGACCCAGTAGCACTTCTACAAGAACACAGGAGGACCCCACCCACTTCCACAGATTTGTCTCCCGGCTGTTGGATTCAACTGCAGCCAGATGGAAAATGAGAAGCCGGGGAAGGGGCCGGGCCCATTGTCATCGACACAAAGACGTTATTGAGCAGAAACCGTCCCAAGTCTTACCCAGCTGCTATGAAGGCCCCGAGGATGATGGCAAAGACACTGGTGATGATGTTCAGTGAATACTGCTTCCTGCATCGGAAAAGCGAATGCGGGAGAACAGGGCAGGGGGAGGAGAGAGTCACAGAGACAGACGGGAACGGTGCCCCACTTAGAATCTAATGAACAAAGCTTCCCAGAGCAATTGGATGTCAGACCAGCTCTACTCTCTCCAGGGAGACCCCAGGGCAACACACAGGGATGGCGGGCTGGTACAGATCGCACACAGCCACAAAGATGAGGTCCAAGGCAACACCAGGTCTGAGCATCCTGAACCAAGTCTTCCTTACAGTAACATCACACTCGCCTTGCAGGGTGCCAGGCTGAGTGGTCTCACTAGGAATGCTAGCATTAAAAAGCAATGTGCCCTGATGTTATAATCACCACATTAGGGCCAGTACCATTAAGCCTCTGCCCAGAGGACTGGCATTCCACACGGGCTCAGGTTCTAGTCCTGGCTGCTCCACTTCCCATCCAACTCTTTATCAATGTGCCTGGGAAAGCAGAGGATGCACCCAAGTCCTTGGGACCCTGTACCCTCTGTGGGTGAGTCAGCAAAGAGGCTTCTGGTTCCCAGCTTCAGACCAGCTCAGCTCCAGGCACTGTAGCCATTTGGGGAATGAACCAATGGAGGGAAGATATCTCTCTCTCCCCATCCGTCACTTTCTCTCTCCATCCCTGTCACTTTGCTTTTCAAATAAAAATAAAGAAATCTTTAAAATCTCCCCTTTGGGCCCTTAGGGCATTACAGACACAGGCGGCTTCTTTGAAGGCATTAAAGCCACTTGTCCTTAAGTTCTTGCAGCCGGAGTCTCAGATCAGCCTTTAGGTGATCGGATTGCGGGAAAAGCCCTGCCCGTCGTGGAGGACCCACCGGAAGGAGGAGGGGAGGGAGGGAGGGAAGCCCAGTCACCCGAGGATCATGGTCTCCAGGAGTAGGGTGAGTGGGATGGTGAACTTCCTGAGCACGGTGAACATCGGCAGGCTGTGAGGACGAGACAAACAGCACATCAGGTGACAAGATTCACTGTGTTGTGTCCGTTTTGGTATGTTTTAACGATCACTCGTTTACTGAATTCAATCTAAGGAATTCACCTTAATTCCCATGTTTACTGTTAAGAAACCATATTAAACATGAAAAAGGTACAGAGATTAAATAATCTCCTATCCCTTCCCCTACTAGCAATGTAAGACATACATGCTAGCGGCGTAAACGCAGCTGGTCGTGCGCGCTACAAATCCAGCCAAGATTACAAAGCAAGCCGGGACTCTGCATCACCAGACTCCCCCACATATGGGACTCTGAAACGGTGATAAAATCAGAACCATATGCACATAAACAAATCCACCTGCACTTCTTACTTCGATGACTGTCGGTGTCATAGTCTGTGCTTAAGCTTGAATACAAGAACACTTATAAGCTCCTTAATATCCAAAAGATTGGGACATTAAGCCCAAAACTCCACCTCAGGGAGCCAGCACTGTGGTGCAGCAAGTTGAGTGTTTGCCTACAATGCCCAGTGTCCCATATTGAAGTGCCAGCGCAAGTTCTAGCCACTTCTAATTAAGTTCCCTGTTAATGCGCCTGGAAAAATAGCAAAAGATGGACCAAGTGCTTGGGCCCATTTTACCCACATGGGAGAGCTGGCTTCAGTCTACCCCAGCCCCAGTCACTGTGGCTATTTGGGGGGTGAACCAGCAGATGGAAGTTAGACATTTTTCCTCTCTCCCTGCCCTCTCCAACTCTGCCTTTCAAGTAAACAGATATATATATATTTTTTTTTTTTAAATAGACTTTGGGGGAAAAAAAACACGTTAACTTCTTCAATTACTATACATCAGTCTCTTCTCCGTACAGCCCAATCCACATCCTGGAAAGCCTGTCACCCTCCACAGCATGAGAGGAGATGGCCGAGCAGTCCTCCAGCAGCTCCCACTTTGTACCCACCTTAATTTCCCTGTGCTGGACAATCCGCTGATGTGGTTCCCAACGTAGAGGAGGGGCAGAGGAAACAGCTGCCATTTCAACAAAGGAAGAAACTTTGGTTAGGCGCCAATAACCAATAACTTTCCTACAGAAAACAAAATGACAACATACACCACCTCCTCCACCAGCAGGCCAATCATGTTAGACGATCCAGCGCCTGCAACGGTTGAATTTTCTAGAATCCAGTAGACATCCACAAGATACTTCATGTGCTCCAATTACATGAGCAGTGACTAATGCCATTTTGCAGTGAGGGGGAGGGAAACGGCTTATACATGGAGAACAAGTCCCCTAAAGCCAGGGTGTAAATAAGGAGCCGGGGTGTTGCACACAGGATGGACTAAGGTCTGTGCGCGAAATTCAGAAAGCTTCTGCGTGACCCCCCAACACATGGGCTCTTCTGTGACACTCCACTACACACGTGTACACTTTGGTGACCTGCACACTTGAGTGCTGTCTTTCAAAGGCAAGGTTAAGGTCTCCTTCCGGAAGCCACATGGCTACTGAACCTTTCCGAAAGTTTGGGTCCCCTAGCCATACTCCTTCTAGACATCACGGTACTTGTTTAAAGACCCGGAATGATTCAGCATCCACTAAGGTCGCACGAGGCACCAACAGCACGTGCATCAGGTGGGTTGAGCTCTGAGTATCATTTAATAAGTCTTCACCATCAGCAGAAATGCTGTTCTGAATGGACTGAAGACAGACAAGATACAGAGTGTCCCCTTCTACGGAGCCTGCTGCCCCCAAGCTCCCATGAGAGCTCAGAACCTTGAAACCCACAGAACATCCCAGAGCCACCAAGGGGAGGCCCACTCGGCTTTTCCCATAGACAACAAGCTAAGCCTCAACTCAGACATTTTTTTGGAAGCATTTCAAAACACTGCCATTCCCCCAGAAATGTTACAAGGCTAAAAAGCAAACAAACAAACAAAAAAATGCTACAAAGTTGTATTATCAGATGTGTTTAAGAAAGAAACTGTAAAGCAGGTACTTCTACTGCCGGGCGTGACAAAACCCGACACCAGGATCACACCACGCTTCATTCGTCAGTTTCCACCCATGGCAGGCAGGAAATCACATACCTTGATGGGAATTTTCTTATCAAAATCGGGGAAGTGGATGATTTTATTTAGCTTGGACACATACAGTATCATGATGGTGACTGCCATCTAAAACAAGAGGCAAGAAGAGAGGCTTCAGCAAAGAATCCGGGAAGATCGTTCGAGGTATCAATGACATCATCAGACTGAAACAGACTCCTCCACTAGGAAGCCAAGGAATCAACTCTGCAGGTTCTAGACAAAAAACAATCAGTCACAGAACACTAAAAGTGTTTTTTCTTGCCACCGAGTGGATTCCATCCAACCCGGAGGCAAAAACTAAACCTCAGCCAGACTCACAGACACACACATGACCCAGCGGCTCTCAGAATGGTGGCAGAGGAGCTGGGTTCCGTGTCACAGCCAAGAAGGCCACCTGCGGATCTGGCACCACACGGTGCCTATGTCTAGCATACCATGGGCACCCTGCACCAGCAAGGTGAGCGACACAAGCCATTTAAAGAAAAGGAAATTCCACACCAACACACTTCGTAAAACTCCCATATTTCCTCAACGCATAACGTGGTGCAAAACAGACTTCTCTCTCCAATCTCGACAGTACATCAGAAATATGTCATTCAGATCTTATTCAGATCTGATTGAGTGTGGAATACATTGCGTACATGAGAAATACCCCATTCGGAGGGGGTGCTTAACTTACTGGTTGACATGCCCAAGTCCTACATCCTACATCTCAGTGCCCGGTTTGAGCCAATGCCAGGTCCAGCTCCTGACCCGTTTCCTGCTAAAGCAGAGGCTAGATGAGTCTCCCTTCATCTCCCCCACATTCTTCCAACCTGTACAATAGCTTAATGTTTGTTTTTTTTTTTTAAGTTAAATGACTGGGTTTTTAAAGATTTGCTTATGTATTTAATTCGAAAGGCAGACTTCACAGAGAAGGAGAGACACAGAGAATGAAAGGTCTTCCATCCCACTGGTTCACTTCATCGATGGCCACAACAGCTGGAGCTGAGCTGATCCGACCTTGGCTGCTTTCCCAGACAATATGCAGAGAGCTGGATGGGAAGCAGAGCAGCTGGCTGGGACGTGAACCAGTGCCCATATCGAATGCTGGCACTGCAGGCAGAGAATGAGTTGCTACGCCACCAGGCCAACTCCCAATAGCTTACTTAAGTATCAAATTCAAGATTCAAATGGGATGAGAATTCTCCACACTGCCTCCTCCCTGGTTCACTGATGTCACCCACCAGGCCTTGGAATCTTGAGTGCTCAGACCCCTGGCTTTGTTAGGGAACATGCAGTGAGCAGGTGGCTTCCCTACAAACACAGCTACCCTGTGCTCATGACAAGCACCTGTCATACTTGGCAATGTCACAGCACAGAGACCACGATTCCTGGCCTCAACACACACTGACTCCATGCACGATCATAACCAAAAGGTCAACTCCCATTGGCTCGGTTCATAAACCCTGCTGTCTTACCCAGGAGCACGGACCCATCGTCATGTACCTGAAGATAGAGTTACTTGTCTCTTACCTGTCCGACTCCAAGAACAATCGGTGATGGGAAACTATAAAAAACACAGAACAACAAAGCTTAGCAACATGTAAGGACTTGAAGACATTGCATAAAACATGACAGGAGCTCTTGAAGTTCAAGTGATGAAAACTTGAATCTCGTCACAAAGGATCCTCCCCTCTCCCCACTGCCACCAATGCTTTTATTTATTTATTTATTTATTTATTTATTTATTTATTTATTTATTTATTTATTTATTTATTTATTTATATTGGAAAGTCAGATATATAGGGTCCCAAGGCTTTGGACCAATCTCAACTACTTTCCCAGGCCACAGGCACGGAACTGGATGGGAAGTGGAGCAACTAGGATATGAATCAATCCCCATATGGGATTCCAGCACATGCAAGGCAAGGACTTTAGCCACTGGGCTACTGCGCCAGGCCACAGAATGAAAAATTTTAAACAGAAAGGCTTGGGGCCGGTGAATTGGTGTAGGATGTTTACCCTCCACCTGCACTGCCAGCATCCTATATGGGCACTGGGTGCCCCACTTACAGTTCAACTCCCAGCTGATGGCCTGCAAAACAGTAGAGGATAGTTCAAATCTTTGGCCCCTGCAGGCATGTGGGCAAACCAGAAGAAGCTCGTGGCTTTGGCCCAGCCCTGGCTGTTACAGCCACCTGGGGAGTGAACCAGTGGGTGGAAGAACCTTTCTCTGGCTTGCCTTCTCTTTGCACATCTGCCTTTCCGTTAAAAATCAATAAATACAAAAAATAGGAGGAGGAGGAGAAAGAGAAGGAGAGAGGGCTAGCCCGTTAAGCAGCCTCACATTTTAACTCGCTCTGCTGGACACGATCTTCATCTTCAAAGTATTAGATAGTCTGCTGGCCCCTGCTTCCAACAAGACACTTGTCTGGGGAGGCACCACGGCCGGGCCACTCAGAGGGCACTCACTCAGGTGCAGGGCATGCATGAAGATTTCCAAAGGTACTTTGAAAAGTCCATGGAGCTAAACGATAAGATAAAGACTCTTGAACTCATGCCAGTTTTAGGGCCCAGCACACTAGCGTAGTGGGTAAAGTCCTCGCCTTGCGTGCTCCTGGATCCCATATGGGCGCCGGTTCTAATCCCAGTGGCTCCGTTTCTCATCCAGCTCCCTGCTTGTGGCCTGGGAAAGCAGTTGAGGACAGCCCAAGGCCTTGGGACCCTGCACCCGCGTGGGAGACCTGGCTCCTGGCTTCGGATCAGCTCAGCTCCGGTCTACCTAACTCCTTACTTCAGCCTGGCCCTGTTTCAGTCCCAGGGCAGAGAACCAGTGGCTAGCGCTCCCCAAAATCCCTACCTCACCCCATTACTCTTTGTCACTCTGCCTTTCAAATCAACAAATCTTGAAAAAAAAAGTTTTGAAATCCATGCATACTTTTTGCACAATGCATTTTCCATAACCTTTTTTTTTTTTTCTATGAAACTGGTTTTTCAGTTCCCTTCTGTACGACTCTTTGCAGTCCTGTCCTCAGCCTTCATCTGATACCACCGCTATCGGCCACTCCCAAAGCAGCCTATTCCTTACATTGTCTTTATTCAGAGGTAGGTGGTTTCTGGTCTTTCATTGGCTTGCATTGTGTGTGTTAAATGATTCGGCTCTCAGTTCATTTGGAGGTGAGGTTGTATTTCCTGTGCACAGTAAGAAGCTGTCTCTCTCTCACACACACACACACACACACACAAACACACACACGTCAAGATATGCACAGCTGTAGGATCACCAAAACGATCTCAAATCCACATCCTCCATCCACAAAGCGGCCCTGTCCACAGTTCATGCCGCCTATTGCTAGGGCACAATGGCTTCCCGCTGCCTCCCCTGGAGCCCACACCACAGTTCTCCAGCCAAAGGAATCTTTTTAATCACAGCCCTGCCATGCTAACCCCTAGTTAGACCTTCCCCAGGGGCTTTCAGATGCATCTGAACTAAAATTTAAACTATCTGCGTGGTCGTGCTGCTGGCACCATGGCCGTCGCCTGGGCTCAGTGGAGACCGGGGACTCCCTGGGCTGTCTGAGCGATGGCCTCCGAGGCCCCCTGGCACTGTCTGGCTCTCAGGCTCCCTTGGGAAGCCAGTCTGCCTTTTGCTTCATCTTCAGCACTCCCCACCATCGCCCATCAAGGCTCTCTCCCTGCAGGGGCTCTAATCTAGGCTTCAGGGTCCCCTTCTTGGGGGAGAGAGGAACAACCTCACTGCCACACATACACCCCCTAACTTCCCCTCCTGCCTCATTCTTCCGCAGACCCCCAACTACATCCAGAGGGTTCATCTGTCCCCTACACTGACTGCTCCATGAGGCTGGGGCTTTGGACCCGCTCTGTCCACTTTTGTTTCCCACGCCTGGCATACCCTAGACACTCAGCCAATGCTACCGAGTGGATGAAGGATTTCCTCTCGCCCCTGCCTGTCTCCTGGACCTCTCAGCTACCCTCTCTGGCACATGCCCATTTAGCCACCACACCCCCACCCCACAGGCTTCTCCACGCCTCCAGCAGGCCACACTCCTGTCTACTCCAACATGCTATAATTGCTACTGCCTTCTGCGTGGAATGTTCTGGCGCCAACCACTCCACCCAGGGCACCCTGAGGGCATATCTGAAGTGGCCTTATTTACATCCTGAGCTCACTTGCTTTGTCCCATCACTGCAGCAGAGTCTCAGCGGTTTCCTCCAAGGGTGGACTGGAGCAGGTGCCCTGGAACCTACCTGTTGGGGGTGCAAACCTTTCCGTGGGGTCTTTCCCTGGGGTCTCAACCAGAAAACAAAAAGGTTCCAGACAGCCAGGTTTCTGGGTTCTGAAAGTCTGCTTCTACATTCTGGTGGCCAAGAAGAGCCCTGGCTTGCAAAAACCCGCCCTTGTAACACCTGGCGCCAGGCCCTGGGAGGTGATTACCAGGGCTGTCATTTCCCAGAGTTCGCCGCTGAAGAAAGTGCTGACTCTGTCCCGGGGGCAGTACTGTTAACCAGATCCACAGTTCTTTCCATGCCACCACCACCACCCACGCGAGCAGAAATGAAACAGCATTTCTTCGTCCTTACAAGTGGCTTCCAGGAGGTCGCAGTCTGCCTCAGTTTACTTCATTCAATGTGTGACCATCTTCCCTACTTTTCTGAGTACACGCTGGTAATTCAGCAATGAAGGACCAATCCGCACAGATTTATGGCTCAGAACTAATCTGGCTGAACATTTAGATTTGTACCAAGTTGTGGTTCTCCAAACACACACATTTAGACCACTCTGTTCCACCCACTGGGATATGCAAACACATCCAGTGTGGCACACGTGGGGCTTGCCCGCGGTTAAAAGGGAGTGCGGTGTGCCCGGGGGCCCGCGGGCTGAGCTGGGCCGCTCTGAACCTCCACCTCCAGGCGGGCAAAGTAGGGCCCGAGAGAGAACTCGGTCAAGGTGTGCGCTGGGGCCCCAGGCTCGCTCGCCACCCGCCGCCCACTGGCCCATGCCGGACCCGGGGCGCACGAGAGCAGGAACAACCGGGCGCCTCTCCAGCACTGCTGCCCGCCCCGCTGGACCCCTGCCCCGCCTCACCCGTAGGTGGTCAGCAGCGCCTTGTTAACCAGCACGATGAGGAAGGAGCAGGTCCCGTAGAAGAGCGCCGACAGCAGCTGGGCCACCCGGGAGGGCAGCCGTGCCTCGCCGGGCTCTGCGCCCGCGCCCTCGGCCGTCATGTCCCGCCGGCCACCCGCCGGCCACAGCAGCGCGCTGGCCGGGGCTCGACTCGGTCCCCGCCCCCCGGCCTGCCCGGGAAGAGGGCGCGGCAGGAACAGGAAGAGCCAGCCGGGCGCGAACCCCACACGCCGGCGCCGGTGCCTGCGGTGCGCTGGGACTTCCCCACGCACCTAGAGCCAAACACCTCCGAGGCGCGACCGGGACCTTAGGGGGTCTGGGGTTGGCCTCTTACCTCCAGACTCCGTCTTCGCGTTTGTTTTGCTTTCTTCCGTGCAATACTTTCTTTAAAGAGCGATTTACAGTGCAGTGAGAAGCATGCATTTCCCCAAGTTTGAGATGAGTTTTGACGAATGCATGCACCCAGGGCGGTCCTGCTGTCCCACTTCCCACTGGGAAAGCAGCGGGATGACTCCTGCACCCACTGGGAACACTTGAGGAAAACTCCTAGCTTTTGGCTTTGGACCGGCCCAGGCCGGACTGTTTTCATGACTTGGGGATTGAACCAGCGTAGGGAAGAGCTCTTTCAAATGAATTTTTTAAAAGTTCCTTTCGGTTAGATCTGCCTTTTCTGGAATATGGCACAGTCTGAAAGCTTTGTGCACTGTTTTATTTTTGAGTCACATCCCTGCTGTTTCTTTGCCCATCCGGTAGGAAAGCGGGGTTTGCCCCTTTCCCACCGCCCAGGGGGCTCTTGTGAAAGCACGCTACCAGGAACATTTGCAGATGCGTTCAAAAGCAGCACCAGAAAGTCCAGGAGAGTCCACAACATGCAAAACTAGAAACACTACACATTAAGTATAACCAAAAAAAAAAAAAAAAAAAAAAAAAAATCACCCAATTCATATTCATTTTGGATAATTCCCTCAGAATGCTCAATTAAATTTTGACTTCAAAACCTTTTGCTGGGCCTACTGCGGTAGCCCAGTGGCTAAAGTCCTTGCCTTGTGTGCTGGGATCCCATATGGGTGTCAAGTTGCATCTAAAGGCCCCGCTTCCCATCCAGCTCCCTGCTTGTGGTCTGGGAAAGCAGTCAAGGACAGCCCAAAGCCTTAGCACCCTGCACCCACGTGGGAGACCTAGCGGAGGTTCATGGCTCCTGACGTCGGATCAGCTCAGCTCCCACTTGGAGAGTGAATCAGCAGTCAGAAGATCTTTCTCTCTGTATGTCATTCCAAAAAAAAAATTTAAACAAATCTGGACCCAGGAGCTGGGAACAGCTCTTGGCTCCTGGCTTTGGGTCAGTGCAGCACCTGGCATTGTGGTCACTTGGGGAGTGAATCATCGGATGGAAGATCTCCCTCTCTGTAAATCTTTTTAAAATTAGACAAATCTTTAAAAAACAAATGTTTCCCAAGTCGGGAGCCAGGGTGTGAAACAAAAGGTGGAAGAAGGCACTGCCCGCCAACCCCTGTGAGCCGACTCCTGGCTGCTTGGCTTCCCATCTAACTCTGGGCTAACATGTCTGGACAAGCAGCTGAGGATGGCCCCTGCGTGGTTCCCTGAAGACCCGTTGGAGTTGTAGACTCCTGGCTTGGTCTAGCCAGGCCCTCACCATTGCAGCAAATGGGATTCTCTCCCACCAATTCTTTCAAATAAATCGATCTCAAAATCGAGCCAATCTTACCACTTTCAGCGATGGCGTTCATGCTATCTGCATTTGTTTTTATTCACAGTAGTTCCAGGACCTAGTGTGTCAACATCCTATCCTCACCCTGTGGAAACCGCTTCTCACGCAGCAGGTGTGGGGAGACCCTTACGTAGAAAAAAAACACAAGAGGCTGGTCCTTGCCATCGGTCTACCAAAAGTAACAGATTCAAAAACTAATTTGCTAGACCCAGAAAATTGAACATGCTCCAAATGTATTCTGGGAGAGGTGGACCCCAGATGAAATGCATCCCTCACTAAAATCCCAATTGAAGGCCGAGGAGAGAGCTGGCGATGGTGTGGTATACATCCAAACTCTTGTATCTGTAAGCCCAGAAGGAAGTTAAATGTTGCTAACCCGAAAGGCCATAAAGTACGGAAACGCAAACCCCCACACAACAACTGCGCTCAGGCAAACACGCCTGGCATGGGATTAGGACATAAAATGTACCAGAATGTCAGAACAATAGGAAGAAATAAGGAATGTTCTTCACGATTATTACATTTCTGATAGGAAGACAAAGTAGAAAGGCTTCGGGAATGACCACGTAAATTAAAATAAATTTTTATTCAAAGCATCTTTTTAAAATTACAGCATGTTTATTTGTATGCTGGTAACTCGGCAAACTACAGCTTAGCCATGTGAAGCATAAAACACTTCAAAAATCTGAATGTAAACCACATTTTTAAAACAAAAAGCAGTCTTAACACACCTCAAATTTTAGATGCCAATGTTTTTTGTCCAAGTAAATAGCTTATATCAGAAAGAACATTTTAAATGTTTCTAAACAGTTTTACTAATTTCTTAAACTGCCCCAATTATGCAATTAAAAAAAAAAAGTTTGTGAATAAAACTATTATAGTTGACAGAAGCTGACTGGAGAAAGCAACCAACCCCTTACTTTTAATGGCCTTAAATTTTATCATCTGTGAACTGGCAAGTATTCCTATTTTTAAAACTCTTACGGCCTTTCCTTCTTTAGATGATCAAATTTTAAACTTCCCAAGACTGAAGAGTGTTGCTTTTCGGTTCGTCTAAATCATATCTGAGAATAAATTCTAGAGGAAATGTTGAAACCTAAACCAACAAAATTCAGATACTATCGCCTGTCTTACCATCCCTGTAAGTGCTCCAAGTTAAAATTCTATATACCAGGTTACAAACGAAATTCTTAGACCATTACAAATATAAATTCTCTTATTACAAAAAAAAAAATCCCTAAAGGTTTGTAATTTACTGTACAGAGGAATTACATTTTAAAGTATGTCCTCATCATACACATTATTTGTTATCACATCTTTCACACTTCAGTTCCTCTTCACCACACTGACACACCTCCTTCCCCAAGGCCATGCATTTTTAAATGCCTGTGTGTACTGCAACACAAGGGATATTTTTGGGAAAAAAAAAGAAGCCTACGTTCTAGATGTTTCAACTCCATCTACCAATAATGCCACTTCACCTCAAAAAAGCAAACAAGGAGCTGAAGAGCCCAGTGTTCCCTCCATCACTCCAATGACGCGTCTCCAGATGCCGTGCCACGCGTGTCACTCGGTGCTCAGAACGAGAGCTCAATGAGAGAGCTTTTGCGTGAAGGAGGTGACTGCTCGGCTCTCTCCTTCCTGTTCGTGCTTCAGCACATAAAGTGATGCTTGGAAAAATGGTTTAAAATCACCACAAAAGTTCACACACTTGCAGTTAAAACTATTCCAGAAGCCTACATATCTGAGTAGCGATTTTTCTTTTCTGCAGTGTTTAACTGATAGCTAAATTTAGTGAACACAAAATAGCTTGGCAAGTTATTCTGAAGTAAAGCTAGAAGGTGACTTTATGCACTGAAAATATAAATATGGAGGCTTCCATTTGCTAGTAATTCTAAACAAGCAGTACAATTAAAATTTAGTGTTTGCTAAAAACATGTCACTACGAAACAACCCTGTAGATGTCCCTTTTATTACTAAAATCCAAGTGCCAAATCTCCTTACAGGGCCCATAATACACACGTAAAAATGACCAATTACCATGTTACCTAGACTTTGCAAGATTAATCACTCAATTTCAGCAAATGAGAAATATGAAATGTGCAAACGTTCCCAAGTTAACATGCTAGGGATGACAAGTGCTTTTCAAACTTAAACATTCTGATGCGTTTTTATAAAGCCCCAGAAAGATAGAATAAGACTGATTTGACTCCAATTCTGAAGATTCTGAACTACCATGCATCTTACCAAGGTCCTCAAGTACCTATTTTATTCCATGTCCGTAAGTAACAACATCTTCCAGAACTCATGTCCCCATTTCTCTGGCCTTATTGGGCACACTATTTTGCAATTTAAAAAAATATCTATTTTACACACATATCATACTTTCTTGCTTGCTTCAGTGTTTACAGTATCATTGTTAGACATCCTAATATACATTGTTAAAAATGATCTTATAAATAACCCATTTCCACCTTCTTTGGCTATTTGTACCATTCTGTTTTTTTTCACACACGTCTTATTCAGAAAGTGCTTCCTGTGAGAACTGCTTCCAATGAATGCATTAAACTTGCAAAACCTAGCTTCCCACAATACGTAGTTTCTACCCTGTACTGTGCAGTCCATATTTACAAAATATTTTAAACTTTACAACAAATCCATTTCCATATAAAAAAAAAGTGCAATTCTCTCTCACCCCATATTCAGGGGCAATGACATTCTTCATAAATTTCTACAGAATAGCAGCCTATGATAAGCAAATAAGGTGCTTAGCTTATGCCCAAGGATCTACTTTTGAAGTACGCTGGGCAGTACTTTCGTACAGTGGAAGCGCCAGTGTCCAGCTACTGTCGGAGCGGTGCCCCCGTCAGGTTGGCCAGCTCGATCAGCGCCAGGGCTCCGTGCAGGCGCTCCCGCTGCTCCTGCAGGCGGCGCTGGGCGCCACTCTTCCCATCATCCTCCTCGTCCGACTGGAGGTACTCCAGAGGGTCCTGCTGCTCCTGGTCAGCCTTCTGAGCCAGCTTGCCTTTCAAGGTGGGGGTGCGCTGCTCTCTCATTTCCCAATACCTGTGCAGAAGGGGAGGAGAGCGATTCACTCCAACTGTTGCTTGTATACATTTCCCTTTACAAAGTATTGAGTCACTCACACACATCACATGTATTAGTTAACATTTACAGAGGGGGGAAAAAAATCTCAAATTCAAAGAAGTCGATGGCCTTGCTCAGACTTCTGTTATTAAAGGTCCAGCATGGTAGCCTAGCAGCTAAAGTCTTTGCCTTGCACCTGCTGGGGTCCCACACGGGTGCTGGTTCATGTCCCGGCTGCTCTACCTCCCTCGCAGCTTCATGCTTGAGGCCTGGGAAAAGCAACAGAGGATACCTAAAGCCTTGGGACTCTGCACCTGCACGGGAGACCCAAAAGATCTTCTTGGCTTCAGATTGGCTCAGCTCTGGCTGTTCTGGCCACTCAGTGAGTGAACTAGCAGATGGAAGATCTTCCTCTGTCTCTCCTCTCTGTAAATCTGACTTTGCAATAAAAATAAATAAATCTTAAAATTAAAAAAAAAAAATTGGGAGAACCATGAGCTCCAGCATCCCACTTAAGTACCACTTCTAGTTCTGCCTGCTCCACTTACAATCCAGCTCTCTGCTTGTGGCCTGGCAAAGCACCCAGAAGCAGCTCTGGGTCCAGATGAGCCCAGCTCCAACCACTGCAGCCATCTGAGGCAGGTGGAAAAGCTCTCGGTCCCTCCTCCCTCTGTAAAATGTGTCTTCAAATAAAAAGAAACAACGATAGCAGTAACGGGGCAGTGGGAGCCAGCCAGGAAGAAAAAAGGAGAATGACGAGACATTTGGTTCCAGAGCCCACAGGGTATTCCACCCACAGAGAACATTTCTGGGACTGGTAGCACGGCATGTAAGTCTGTGCTTGAGGTGCCAGCATACTGCATGGGCTCCAGCTGGAATCCTGGCAAGCTCTATCTCCAGCTCCATGCTAACGCCTGGGGAGGCATCGAAGAATGGCTCCAAGTCCTTGGGCCACTAAACCCTCATGGGAGACCAAGAGGAAGCTCCTGACTTCACGTAAGCACAGTCCAGCTGTTGTGGCCATTTGGGGAGTGACCCAGCTGTTGGAATATCTCTCTTTCTCCTCTCTAATTTCAACTTTTCGATAAAAAAAAAACATCTTAAAAAAAAATGAAAATGAAAAGAGGCTACACTAATGACAGGTGAAATTTGAGACAATGAAAACCTTTCTTATCAAACAAACTATAGCAGGGACACTCAAGCCAACTGCCATCCTGCAATTTTCAATCCCAACACTAAACCCTGATGCATTTATCACCATTCGGAAGAAGCAAAAGTCCATTACAAACTATCACAAAGTGAGTCAAAAAGCAACTGATTCAAATGAGAAAACTACACAAAAACCACAAAGTAACCCAAGCCCTCCTCCAGCCCCTGCCCGGCAACCTAGGTGCTGGGGGCCTTACTTGGCCAGCCACTCGGCGGCAGCCTTGTTGTCCACAGCCTGGTGCTTGCTGAGCGTGTCTGTGAGCTCCTCCCGCTTCAGCCTGGCGTAGGGGTGCTTCGGACAGTGGCGGTTCGCATGGGTGAATCTGCTCAGGCAACCTTTAAATCATCAGGGAAACACTTGTCAGAACCTCAACATCCAGCAAACAGATACATGGAGATTACGCATTTGCACTGGTGCCCAAGAAAGAACATTACCACGGTGAGACCAGGATTCCGGTACTTGGCAGAGAAAGCCATCACACCCCCGGTGGGAGGATGGTCGTACCACATTCTGGTTCATACCACACACAAGTGCCAAACCCCACCAGAAAGTTATAAAAACATTCTTCAGTGATACACTGGTCATTCAGTAGCATGTTATTTAACTTCATGGTGTTGTAAATTTCTTTAACTTTATTCCTGCTGTTGATTTTGTTTTATGATTTTTAATTTAAGGGGATGTATAGTAACTGTGATAGACTCACATCCAGATGTGAGGATACCATGCAGTATGCATCTCTACTTCCAAATCAAAGATGGACTCCCAATGGAACTGTGAAACAGATGCTGACAGTAGGAAGCTGGACCATCTGCCACTGTCCATACCTACAATGTCAGGATACACTTACACAGCAGAATGATGGACTTATGACTGCTAATGAAGGACTACTATTGTCTTAGTACAGGAGAAATCAGTGGGGGGAGGGAATTTGGGGAGATAAGGAAAATCCCAGAGCCGACGGAACTGTATCATAAAATAAACAAACAAATCTTTTCCTGTCTCTCTCTGTGAATCTGCCGTTCAGAAAAAATTGTAAAATCTTTATAAAAACAAATATTCAATGATATCACATTATGAGAAATTCAAAAAATTCATGGAAATTGTGCACAACAAAAAAACAATGGCTCTATTTCTAAAATTTATACACCAAAAGTTTCCTTTAATTCCAATTATTTACGAACTTTTGAAAAATTTTCATGTGCCTAAGCAAATTCATTAAATGTATAAACATCTGTAACAATAATCAAGAAAACTGGGGCCAGCATTGTGATGTAGTGGGTACAACCAGCACCTGCTTAGCCTTTTTATGACCGAGCTTCTCCAAATCTGATCCAACCGCTCGTTAATGTGCAGTCTGGAAGAGCGATAGAGAATGGCCTGGGGCCCCGGCACCCCCGTGGGAGACCTACAGGAAGTTCTGGGCTTGTGACGCTGGCCTGCTCCAGTCCTGGCCACCGCAGTACCTGGGAGTGAATCAATGAGTGGAAGACTGTCTCTCTCTCGGCCTCCCCTCCCCTTTCCATAATTCTGCCTTTCAAATAAATGATAGATAAATAAATAAATATCCTTTAAAATAAAAAAGAAATTAGTAAGGCTCCTGGCTTGAGCCCGGCTCAGCCCTGGACACTGTGATCACTTGGGGAGTGAATCCCCAGGCCCAGAGCGCATGCTCAGACCCCAACCCCGCGGCATGTCCACTTGGGTTCTGCCACTTTCTTTACAGAAACAGGTGGAAGGACAGAGCCCACTCAGAGGCGTGTGTCTTTCTCTTCCACCACAGTCCACTCACACAGACCTCTCCTGCTCTCACTCAGAGGTTCCAATCTCGGGATTTTTTTTTTCCTTTTTCTCATTTATGGGCAACCTTTTGGGCTCACTTATGAAAAGTCATTTCCCCTGTGTGAGGCAACCCGCACTTGGGGGTTGTGGGTTCAAATTCCATCACTGTTCAATAAAATTTGTTCCTATTTGCACACAATGCTATTCTGCTCAGTGTTTCTACCTCTGTGAAAAAACAAGAACCTGACTTGGAAATTAACATATTCACTGTCCACTTTGCCAGGAGCCCAGAACACAATCTGGGTCTCCTACACGGGTGGCAGAGGCCCAGGCACTTGAGCCATCGCCCACTGCTCGTCCAGGTGCCTTGGCAGAAACTGGAGCATCAGTGGAGCAACCAGCACTCAGACCAGCACTCTGACGTGGCACACGGGCATCCCAAGTCATATGACGTAACATCCACCCCAACAGAGCATTTTATATAAAAAGAATTCTTACATAAAAATCAGTCATTTCTAAGACATTCAGTATAGATCACAATTAGCAAGGAAACAGCTTAACTTTTGAATAAAATTTATACTAACAACAAATAAAGAAAAAAACTGTCCCCACCCCCACTAATATTCAAGTTGAGAAACATAACTGCTTATTCACAGTTCTTCTACACACTTAGCCTGGAACACCATACCGTTTTCTGAACAGACGAAAGGCTTCTCTCCAGTGTGAAGACGCTGGTGTGTCTTGAGCTGCCCACTTTGAACAAAGGCTTTTCCACAGTCTGGGAAGTCACACAGATAGGGCCTCTCACCTAAGGGACCACAGGAGGGCAGAGGATGAGGTGAGGAAGGAACCAGCGCATGACCCAGCCCCTACAGGGCTGCCGACAGTGAAGGCCGACCTTTACATGGATACGGGATGCCAGTGGGTCAAGCCGCGTCTTTACGCATTATAGCACAAAGCTGCCATAAAAATCAGTCTTAAAACAAAAAGTCACACTTGCCAGTGCCCACCATGTTAAGCTACGGAATCTAGATCTAGTGGTAGCCATTTTTTTGTTATCTCGGTTTCCTCATCTGTAAGCTATTAGATGAGCATTAAGGTTCTTTCCTCTAGGGCCAATTCCATGAAGAGAGCAAGGTCCGAATATTTTGTTGCTGCTAAAATTTCTCTTTTATTTATTTGAAATGCGGAGTTATTGTGAGTCACTGAGTGAGAAAGGTCTTGCGCCTGCTAGCCCACTCCCTGAATGGCCACTACAGTTGGGACAGGCCAGGCCAAAGCCAGAATCCAGGAGCTTCTTTGCAGTCTCCCACATGCCACATGGGTGCAGGAGCCCAAACTTGGGCCATCTTTTGCTGCTTCCTCAGGCATTAGCAGAGAGTTGTATTGGAAATGGAACAGCCAGGACTTGAACCAGCAGTCATATGGGATGTAGACATTGCCAGCAGCAGCTTAACTCACCAGGCCACAGTGCCAACCCCTCCCCCAAGATTATTTTTGGCTCTTTATCGAGTATTTAAAATCAGATAAAATTTATAAACAGATAAAAGTGTGTGGTACTCTTGGGATAGCCACCTATAATACAAACAATACCTAGTTTTAATTTCTGATAACTCAAGGTTCACTACAGACTTCACAATTTACAGGTCAATTACTGATACACTTAAAACCCTAGAAATTGTTAAAAACTTAGTAACTACATTAACACACAGATAATCTAACATGTTAAGTAAGATTCAGGTAGATACAGAAAAGAACTAAATTTAACAATGACTGACATATAAACTAATTACCATAACTTCAGAAGTCACACAGAACCAGTGGTGAAAAAAAACCACCATTTCCCCCCAAAAACAAACAACTGTACAGTACCTATTTTTTAAAACTTCACAACCAAGAGGGCAGTATGAAGAAGTAATAGGTAACTAAAACACAAACTTACAGTCCTCCCACTGAATTGGCTCTCAGTGTAGTATGACTTCTGCAAGTCCCCGTAAGAAAGGTTGTTCCACTTGCCTGTGTGGGTCCTTTTGTGGGCCTGCAGTGACTTCTCCCGTGGAAACACCCTGTTGCAGATGTTGCACCGTATTCTGCTGGAGGAAAGCTCTCCTTCGTTGATCAGGTCCCGCACAGTGTCTGCTCTGGGTCTGCCACGCCGGATCCCATCCTGTTAGCGACGTTCATAATAAACATGAACATAGTTCTTCATCTCTACTCACTAAAGCAATATATCATAAACCACAATTTGAAAAACATCTTGAGGAATGCCAGCAAAAGTGGTGTAGTGGTTCCAACAGCCTATTCCTCCAGAGTCCTACAAACCCAAGTGCAATCTAGCAGATTAAGCTTGGTCACAACTCCACGAAGTAGAGATTTACAGCAACGCTGCAAACACTGGACCAAGGCCAAGGCGCTTCAGGCAGAGGACAAGCTTTGCTGTGCATTGATTTGCTTCTTCCTTTCCCTTGCCCAATGGTGGCTTTGAAGTGACCAGCTGCATTCTCACTGTGGAGCCCAAGACTCAGGACCCAAACAGAACAGATCTCATTCTGGAACACATGTCCGTCTGTTTTGTGGCTCCCTGATAACGGTAGCGGAGAAGGGCCCTCTTACACGGGAGATCTAGAAGAAGCTTCTGGCTCCTGGTTTTGGACAAGCCCAGCTCCAGCTATTTGGGGAACGAATCAGTGGATGGAAGATCTCTCACTGGCTCTCCTTCTCTCTCTGGAGCGCTCCTTTTCAAATAAAAAATGAATCTTGGGCCCGGCGCGGTGGCGCAAATGGTTAAAGGTCCTCGCCTTGCACGCCCGGGATCCCATATGGGCGCCGGTTCTAATCCCGGCAGCCCCGCTTCCCTTCCAGCTCCCTGCTTGTGGCCTGGGAAAGCAGTCGAGGACGGCCCAAAGCTTTGGGAACCTGCACCCGCGTGGGAGACCTGGAAGAGGCTCCTGGCTTCGGACCGGCATAGTATCGACCCGTTGCGCTCACTTGGGGAGTGAATCATCGGACGGAAGATCTTCCTCTCTGTCTCTCCTCTCTGTATATCCGCCTTTCCAATGAAAAAATAATAAAAATAAATCTTTAAAAAAAAAATGAATCTTAAAAAAAAATCAAATAAATAAATACAAACAAAGGAGAGAAAATTTGTCTCCAGGTCCATCACGACAGTAACCGAGTCCTGCCTCACCAGCGAGCGGAGGAGCCAACAACCTGGGGACAGACCTTGATGAGTCACAGCAGGAAGCAATGCCGGCAGCAAACTCGAAGCGATAATATGTTACTAAGTGAAACTTCTAAAACAACCGCAGTGCCTCCAGGAAGCAGGTTAGTAATTTCCAAAGTGTGTAGTCACGGTGCAACTCAAAAACCAGAAAGACCTCAGCACATTTTTGTGTAGTTAAAATTCAAATAAAAAGGGCACGTTTTCGGGTGATACAAAGGGAAAGCAGGACTGGTGGCTGGCAGATCCTGAAGAGTGAGTGGTTGCCAAGCAGCCTGACCCTGCACTTCTGGCTTTGCAGTAACCTCCTAACTTCATCACTGCCGTCAGAAGCGACCACACGAGAGAGTGGGGAGTCTTGGAATACCCCATGGCAGAAGAAAAGTTCCACCTGTTCTCTTCCCTCCCAGAAAGCCTTCACCCAGGAAATTATATTAACATACGCCAAGCGGGTGACAAGGGGCCAAAACATGTTGGTAACATGATGGATGTCTTCCCCTGGCAGGGGAGGCGGAGCTGGGAAGGCAACAACAATACAGCAAGAGAAAAGCTGCCCCGGGGTGTTAACATCTCCTCTGGGCTAACAGACAGACAGCGAGGAACAACGGACCCACAGCTGTGACCGACAGGGCGCACGGAGGCTGCAGGGAGTGCGGGTGGCAGTGCTGCCTGTTACAAACTTGGCTCAGTCTCCCAAAAAGATGAGCAAGCTCAACACAACCACGCACCACGCATGTGCAGCTCTTTGCCTTTAATCCACTGTACAGGGTGTTTTAAAAGTTCCTGGAAAACGCATAGCAGGAGAAAACAATATATAATAGATCCAAATCTTTTGTAGCAAAGCTAACATCTTTTAACCACATCTCCATGAACCTTTTAGAAAGAACCCTTGCACCGACGATGGATTTTTGGATTTTTATCTACTTTCATTATCAATTCAAAGGCAAACAGAGTGAGCTCCCAGCAGCTGGTTCACCACGAAACCCACGTCCAATGCAGGACTCCCCGCCCTGACATGCCCATTGCCGCTTCCAGGGCTGACACCAGGACTCAAACCCAATCCTTCTGACCAGGGACAGCCGTGTTCCACATCAGACACTCATCCTTCGAGCACAAGCTAATGCAGCCAACATTCTTCAAAAAAAGGTTTATTTTCCCGTAAGCTAGAAAAGCTGCATCAGTTAACTTTCGGACTATTCAACGGATTGCTCCATCAAAAGGGCAAGTGAAAGTCAGTTTATCAAGTAATTTACGAAGATTATGATATGAAAGGCAGCAGGGGGGAGACACAAAACAGCCTCTTCACTTAACCTGTTCCTAACCTCTAGTAAGCATATTTCACTTCTGAAAAGAAGTGGCACAGCGGCAAGAAAATTCAAACCTATGCACTGTATTATGAACTCAGTTTTAATTTACTGTTTTGGAGACATTCTGGTTCATTCTTCAAATGCCCACTCCAGCCAGGAGGTGGGAACGCCACAGGGGTCTCCCTCATGAGGAGCTGGCCACCAGCTGCCATTCGGGCTGTCACCTGCTGGATCCCTGGGCTGCAGCCTGGCTCAATGCTGGCTTCAGTAACTCTCAAGGTGTGTGTGCAATGCTTGGTTAGTCTCAGGTGTTCAAAGAAAGCATCTTACAAGGATACTTACTCAAAATTAGATTGCTATAAATTAAGATGTGCAAGGTCTGTCGCCAAGTATTTGTGTAGGTATACCTTTATATTGGTCAACTATACGGTTCTCTCCTACTTCAGTAGCAAAGTGCCTCGCCGTCCTCCAACTCCTTTGAGGACGCGGAGGTTTCCACCTGCACTGTGCCACTGCACACTGGTTACAGTGTACACAGTGTTTCCCAACACAGCAGCACTGATCTGCCAGGCCACGAGTGTCCTCTGACTTTACCCACGGTTACTGCACGCAGAGCCAAAGTCCTACACAAAGCGGAGGCCAGCGTGCCGAGGGAAGGGGGTCCTCTCCCCGCCCAGGCCCCGAGCTGCGCGCCCGCCCGCCCGCTGCACCTGCTGCCCTGGCGCCGCCCGCGCCTTGCCCGCCGCTCACGTGACCCGCCCCGCCCCGCCGGGAAGTGGGGGGGCCGGTTTTGGCGCGCGGCAGTGACGTCAGCGTCCTGTCAGCACCCCCCAAACCCCGCCGTCCGAGGGGCCCGCCCCGCCCGGCGCGCCGTTAACGGGCCCCGCGGCCCGCACCCCCCACCACCACCACCACCGCACACCCGCACCCCGGCCGAGGCCCGGCCCGTGCGCCCCGCTCACCTTGAGGTGGCCGCTGTCCGGGCTGCTGGCCTCCTCCTCGTCCTCGCCTCCCGAGGCGGCGGGCGGGGGTGCGGCGCGGCCCCGCAGAACCGGGTGCTCGGCGGCGGGCAGGGCCGGCAGGGCGGGCAGGGCGGCCGAGGCGGCACCGCCCGCGGCCCCGGGGCTGAGCGTCACGTTATGCGCATTCTCGCCCCAGCGCCAAGGATACACCATGAAGTCGCTGAAGCCGGGGCTGGTGGGGATGAGCGGCGGCGGCGGCTCCGGCTCTCCCGCTGCTCCTCCTCCTGCTCCACCGCACGCGGGCTTGATGGGGGTCGTCCTGATGACCGACACCAGCACCCGCTTCGGGGAGTCGTGGCAGAAGATGACGGGGGGAGGTGGCGGCGGCGGCGGCGGGTGCTCGGCCATCGGCGCCTCCACGCCCCGCAGCATCGCCCGGCCCCGATCCGCACGCAGCTCCGGGGGGCTGCAGCTCCCTGAGCCCGGAGATCTGGACCCTCGCTCGCCCGCTCGTTCGCTCGCCCGCGCCTGCTCCGAGGGGACGGCTCAGTCCCGCCGGCTCATGGCGGGCGGGCGGGCGGACGTTCCCCGGAACCCCTTGCGCAGCGGCCACCGGAGGAGTTCAAGTGGCGCGGGATCGGACTTGCCCGGTTTACCGGGCGGGCAGGCGGGCAGGCGGGCGGGCAGCGCTGGACTCCGGAAACCTCAGGCCAGGTTAAGATTCCCAGCCGCAGTCTGCAGGAGCAAGGAAAGCAAGCCGATCACTTGGCTCTGGCGCTGACAGAAAGGATGAAAAAATAAATAAAAACCAAAACAAGCACGCGCGGCGCCGAGCCCCCCGAAAATAACAACCTGCCGCCGCGATCCCTGCTCCGGCTTTTCCCGCGTTACATTTCGCGCCTGGGCGGAACCAATGGAGGCGAGGTCCCTGCCCGCTGGCCGGAGCGGTGAGTAACAGCTCGCGCCAGCCAATGGCCGGGCCCGGACGGGTCTGTCTAAGCTGAAGGGGGCGGGGCCGGGCTCCCGGAGCGCGGGTCCTTGCCACCATGTCATTGGCTGCCGCTCTTCTATTTTTTTTTTCTTCCCCCCCCCCCTCAGACCTCGCGGCCAACCGCGTTCGAAACACCCGCCGCGGGCCCCGCCCCCCGCCGTCCTCTCAGCGGTTTTGCGGGGCTCCGCCCCCAACCCCGATTTCCCTCCTCTGCAGACTCCGGGCTGGCGGGGGGGCGGGCCGAAGAGGGCGGAGAAGCCGGCGCTGATTGGAAGAGCGAGAGGGGCGGGGCGGAGGCGCAGGGCGGTCGTTGGTCGGCTGCGGCGCGCGCGCCGCTCGGCCCCGCCCCGCCGGCCGCGTCGTGCGGGTGGCTGTTGGCACTGCGGTTCCCGCGCTTCCCAGAGTTTAAAGGGCTCCGTCCGGAAGGCGCGGCGGCCGCTCCTGTGCCGGGCCCCCGGAACCCGTGTGGGAAGCGGTGTCCGCGGTCCCCTGTGTGCCAAGAGCGAGCCAGAGCCTTCGCGAAGGCCGCCGGGCGCCTGAGGGAGCCCGCCTGACCGAATAGGGCCCCTAAAGTGAACAAACGGATGTGTGAGTAACCCGCTGGGTACGGTTAACAGGGATGCCTGTTTGAGAATACGAGCTCCGTTAGTCACATGGCTAGGCTCAAATCTGTCTAAAAGCGGATACTGATAGGAACGCTTTGCAAACGTTAAAAAAAAAAAACCTCCCAACGGCCAATAGTGAGATTCACCATTCGTTCGAAACTTGAAGACGCAATAATAGGTACAGCGACTGACTTCCAAAGAGGGAAAGTGTGTGGCGAGGGCAACGGAAGTGGAAACATATCAAAAAGATACAACGTGTCGTTGTTGACATCTTCTGAGCTTTGAAGTGAATACTTTTCAAGAAATAGAGACCACACGTGGCCCTGCATCTCCCGGAGGCCCACTTAATACCGCATGTGTGTGAGTGGACACGCACCATTCTACTCTCCGTTTTGCAAGTGGTAAAAGTTGAGGCTAGTCTGAGATTACATAATGCAAAAAAAAAAAGGGGGGGGCGCTTAGGAGGCTGGCCCTGAAAATTGCCCTCAGATTGTATCTTAGAAACTACTGGAGAAAAAATAAGGAAAGACTGAAAATGGATACCTTCACCCTCCTCATGCCTATTTTGGAGTTTATTTCTCATAATCCAAAAGTCCCAGGGCTGTGAGAATATCTAGTTGTGGTATTTTAATAAATACTTGATCTGGACAGGTAACTGTTTGGCTCGCATTTGACTTAATGTAGTAAACATTTTATTTATAAAGTTTAATTCCAAACAGTCGCACCATATTGAATCATTTTAGAAGGAAATGTGCATCAATTTTATATTTGAAAAATGAAAAAAAAAAAAACTATCCTTCATGAACGGTCAGACTGTTGCATAAGATCCAACGGATTAAATGCCAACCAACAGTTACTGTTTAACATTGATAGCATGCCCGAGAGACGGGGCACAGACTGGCTCTCAGTGACAAGAGAATGAGAGACATGCCAGGAATGTGTGAACCGGGCCAAGGGCAGTTCCAGGAACAGAGCTGAGGTCATGCGAGAGGTTTGCTCATTTGGCTCCGTTTCCGTGCAGGTGGGACACTCTCTGAGGTGTGTGTGTAGACCATATCCGTGATGCCCGGTCAGCCGCCCATGACTGCATACTCAGAAGGGCACAAATATCATCTCTGGCTACTTAATATGATTACAGTGGTCTTTCTGACTGTTGATAATGATGTGAGCTGCTTTCCGTAAAGATTTATATAGAGAGGGAGAGAGATTGTGTCTGATATATGTGTATCTATTTTGAATCCTCTTTAAAATGGGTTTTAGCTGGCTGACGCTGTGGGGCACTGGGTACCAGGCTGCCATCCCAGTGAGCGTGCTGGCTGCTCTATTCCCCTGTTGATGGCCTGGAAAAGCAGAAGATGGCCCAAGCACTTAGGCCCTGCACCCATCTGGCAAACCAAGAAGAAAGAAGCTTCCTGGCTCCTGGCTTTAGACCTGCCCAGCTCTGGCCACTGTGGCATTTGAGCATTGATCCAGTGAATGAAAGGCTTCTTTGCCTCCCTCTCTGTAACTCTGCCATTCAAACAAATAGATCTTTAAAAGATACATGTATTTTAGGAACAAGCGTCTGGCACACTGGTTATGAAACCACTTCAGACACCTGCATCCCCCGTCAAGAGTGCCTGATTCAAACTCCAAATCATCGGCTTCCGGTTAGTGCACACCCCCCAAGAGGCAGACAACAGCTGCAGTACTTGGCTCTGTGCCACCCACTTAGGAGACCCACAATGAGTTCCAGGCACCCCTTTCCAAGCCTGGCCCAGTCACGGCTTATGGGTTCTGATGGGTGTTGTGGCTTTGTTGGGGCAACCCCTAATAACCCCCCACCAGGCCTGCACCAAGCTCCAGTTTTTGCACATGCCAGCCATTGCTGTGGCCTACCAGCCCAGCCCATACCCCACGGTGCCCACAGTTCCCCCAATGCACAGCATGCTCCAAGTCCAGGATTTCTGCACCTGCCAGGGGTTATTGTGATTCAGCCTGACATGATTCGCACCCAGTCATGGCACTTGCCAGCTGGTGCTGCAGCTTAGCCCTAACTTGCCCACACCCATTCGGGCTCTTGTGCATGCAGCCCAGTGAGTGAGTGCAGCAGCCTAGCCCAGCCCGGTCCATCCTCAGTCCCAGCTCTAATGCTCAACAGTGGAAGCAGCGGCCTAGCAAAAGTCCCCAGTTTCCCTACCAGACCCACTCCCAGCCCCCCAAGTCTTGTGTATGCCAGCAGGGGCTGTGGCCCAGTGTGATAGCCCATCCCTTCTTGGCATTCACAAACAGGTATTATAGCCTGGCTGAGCCCTGGTGCACCCTAAGCTCTCATGTGAACTGGTAGATGTTGCAGTCCAACCCAGCCTGAACTGTACCCTGTCCTAACTCTCACACCAACGTGAGCTGTGGGCTGATCCCACCTTGCCTGTTCCCTGCTTGGCTTGCCCTCAGACTGAGTTCACACATATGCCAATGGGCGCTACAGCCCAGTCTGGTCTGCCCAGCTCCCAGCCCTGGCTCTTGCACTCACCAGTGGGAGCTGCAGCCTGGCAAGCCTCCTTTACCAGGCCTGCTCTCAGCAACAGATCTCACATGTCACAGCAGGTGCTGCTACCCAGACTGTCATGGCTGGTTCCAGTCCTGGAACACTGGCAGGTTCTATTGCCTAGCTGGACTGGCCCACACCCATTCTGGCTCTGATCGGTACTCTGGCCTAGCCCAGCTTGTACCACACCCATTTTGTCTCTTGAGAGTACCAGCAAGTGTTGGAACCTAGCTCTGACTGGCCTGCCCCCAGACCCAGCCCATACTCATACTGATGGGTGCTACATCCTTGCCTGGCCTGGTTCTCAGACTCATTCATGGGAGTCACAGCCCAGCAGGGAGTCTCCAGAGTTCTCCTACCGGGCCCATTCTCAGCCCTGGGGCTGGTGTGTGCTGAGTGAGTGCTTCAACCCTGCTTGGCACAGTTTGCCCTCAGTCCTGGCCCTTACATGTGCCATCAGGTACTACAGCCTGGCCTTATCTGGCCTCTTCCCAGCACCAGTCCCATGAAAGCCAGTGGGGGTTCCTGTCACGTGAATTCTGTGGTCCAGCCTGGCTTGGCCCATCACCACCCCCAGCTCTCCACTCAAAATGGCGAGCGCTGGAGTCCCACAGAGGTGAGCCCACAACTCCCCTATAGAATCTGCCCCCAAGATCCAGTTCTCTCACACACTGGTGGACACTGCAGTCCAGCCTGATGTGGCTCACCCCCTGTTCTGAAACTCATGGGAGGGTACTAGAGCCTAACCCAGCCAGGCTTGCCCATCAGTCCCACATCTGTGTGCCAGTGGGCAACGACAATGCTATGTAGCCTAGCCCAGGTCTTCCAATTGGGCAGGTACCTTGATCCGAACCAGACATGCCCTCTGGTTCCCTCCTCCACACCATTCCATCTCAGCTCCCTCACCTACCTGCAAGTGCAGTGGCCTGGTCCCTGGAACACCCTAGGAGTCACTCCTCATTCCTTTCAGACATGCCCTCAGCCTCTCCTACTCCAGTATGTGCCCAGACGTCTGGGCAATCTGCAGCCCTACCTCACCCCCTTGTCTGGGGGCCAAAATGGCACGTCCTGGTCCGAGTTCCCCTCCTTCCCCACATATTAAAGAGAAAAAAAAAAAAAGGGAATAGCTCTCAGCACGTAGTGTTGACACGCTGATGACACTGGTAACACAAAGTTGGTATTAACCAGGCCCAGACCACCTGCTGTTTTTCTCCCAGCAGTGTTAACACTCGCCTAAGTACAACACAACTTAAAGCAGTTGCCTACAACTGGAACTACTTCTTCTCCTTCTTTTAAAGATTTATTTATTTTTATTGGAAAGGCAGATTTTATAGGGAGAAAGAGAAATAGAAAGATCTTTTATCCACTGATTAACTTCCCAGGTGGCTACAAGAGCTAGAGCTGAGCTGATCTGAAGCCAGGTGCCAGGAGCTTCTTCCAGGTCTCCTACATGGGTACAGAGTCCCAAGGTCTTGGGCTGCTTTCCCAGTGTGGGCAGGGAGCTGGGTGGAAAGTGGAACAGCTGGGACACGAACAAGCACCTTCATGGGATCCCGGTGTTCGAAGTGGGAAGACCACTGAGTCGGTGCACTGGACCCTCTTCCTTTAACAGATGATACAGGGGTAGATATTAATTTAGCAGTTAAGACACCCCTACCTTTATCAGGGGACCTAGACTTCCACATCCACAGCTCTTACTCCCCACGCCAGCTTCCTTCCCCTGGCAGACTCTAGGTGGCAGTAGTGATAATTCAAGGAATTGAGTTCCTGTGGCCAGCGTGGAAAATCTCTCCTGCCTTCACACTATTTCATTCTTTATCTGACCAAATAATATTCTGTTGTGCAATATTTTATTTCTGCATTCATCAGCTGACATATATTTGCGTTGCTTGTGTTTTTTTTTTTTTTTTTGGCCGTTGTGAGTAGTGCCACTGGGAAGTATGTATTCAGGATGCTCTAACCGGACGCTTTGCAGAAGGCTGCAGTGGGTGAAGCAGCTCGACACTACCAAGCCATCTTGGTCTTCCCCACGCTTTTGCCACATTCTCCTCGTGGTCACCTTGAGGACCAACAACTGGCTTCATGTTTTCATAGGACAAGGACCAGAGAGCAGAAGTGGGGGACACATGAGATACCCCTCTTCCCAGCCTCAGATGCATGTGTACAAGTCTGTTTCTATATCAAGGGAGAGATGCGAATGCTTTCAGATTAATCAAGTCTGACGCTGGCAGGGACATCGGTACCCCCCGGGGGTACACAGCCATCTGACGCCTAAACCAAACTCAAAACGTCAAAGGCAGAAAAGAGCTGCAGGATGGTCAGCCCAGCCTGTCCTCACTGAGGTCCAGGCAAAGTGTCCTAGATGGAAGGCATGCTGCCCAGCACGCTCCTGACTGCCAGGGCTTAGCCGAGTCTCTCAAAAAAACAAGATCTCACACTAAGCAGCTGCAGAGATGGAGCTTTTTGGCGTATTCTTGCCGGTTTGAAAGCCAGAGATGGAGATGTGCCATCTGCTGGTTCACTTCCCATGACAGGCTCGCCACGGCGAAGACTGGACCAGAAGGAAGCCAGAAAGCCAGGAATTCAACCCAGGTTTCCTACGTGGCTGCCTCAGCTGCCTGAGCCACGATCACCTGCAGCTTCCCAGGGGCCGGCATCAGCAGGAAGCTGTGGGGCAGGCAACAGCAGTGGGACACTGCTAGATTCCGCATGAAGGTGTCCCACTCGGTGTCCCTGCTGCTCGGCGGAGCCCTAGCCTGTCATCTGCGGGTTCTATGTCGTGATTAGCACTACCCTTCCAGATGCCTACACCAGAAACAAACAAACAAAAAAAGTCCTCGTCCTTTTCAAACACAGAGACCAAAAAAAAAAAAAATTGCGTATGCAGAAACCCTAGGATAAAGAACCAGGACCAGCAGCTCTCCCCGCCGCCGCCAGCTCCGCACCCTGTAGAGCTTCCCGGCTCCGCCCTGAGCGCGGATTAACCGGCCGAACAGCATCCGTCCCAGCCCGGCGCCTTCCCTCGCCGTCCCCTCACGGGGAGACATCCCAGGCTCCTGGCGAAACTCTGCCGCCCTTCCCCTAGCGCGCTTTTCCTCAGTTCACAAACCGAAAAGAAAAAAAAATAGGAGCAAGACGGGCCCAGCGGCGACGCGCCCCGCACAGGCGTAGCGCTCCAGAGACGGCTGCGGACGGTTAAACGGGGCCGTCAGCCTCCGCGGACGCCGACCCGATCGCGCTGGGCAGCCTGGGCGAGGCGGCCTCCCCGCCCGGACCGCCTGGACCACTCCGAGGCGTCTCTCCTCCCCGCCCTGCGGCTCCGCCCTGCGGCTCGGGCTCCGCGCCCAGCCCGGCGGCGTCGCGTGACGTGATAGCAGCCGGCCTGTGATTGGGCTTCCTGACGTGTCCGCACACGCTGATTGGCTAACGGGCGCCAGCTGGGCGGGCCGCGGGAGGGACGGGACCGGGGTAGGGCACGGGAGGGCGGCGGAGGCGGCTGAGGCGGAGGAGGCGGCGGGCGGGTTGGGTCTTCGCTGAGGTTCGATCGCGTGGGCCGTCCCGCGGCGGGGCCCACGTCCCTCTCCCTCCCGGCGGCGTCCGCGGCAGCATGAAGGGCGCCCTGGGGAGCCCCGTGGCCGCGGCCGCCTCCGCCGCGATGCAGGAAAGTTTCGGCTGCGTCGTGGCCAACCGCTTCCATCAGCTGCTGGACGACGAGTCGGACCCGTTCGACATCCTGCGCGAGGCCGAGCGCCGGCGCCAGCAGCAGCTGCAGCGCAAGCGGCGCGACGAGGCGGCGGCTGAGGCGGTGACGGTGGCCGGGGCCGCAGCCGGCAGCCGTGGCGGCGTCCGGAGCCCGGCCGGGGCCTCGGGCCACAGACCCGGCGCGGGCGGCGTCCGGAGGGAGTCCCAGAAGGAGCGCAAGAGCCTCCCGGCCCCCGGGCTGCAACAGCCGGACAGTCCCGGGGGCGGCCCGCAGCCGCTCGGTACGCACGGTCCTCCTGTGTGGGAGAAGGAGGTCGCCCCTCTGCCGTCCCCCGACCATGGTGGGGCTGGGGTCCCCCGTTCCCGAAGGAAAGCGACTGTCGGTCCCCTTGAAGGGGGCGCAGAAGGAGAGGCCGCTCTCGGGAGTCCACGCTGCTCGGGCGGAGAGCGGGGGCGGAAAGAGGGGGGTCTCCTCCCAACCCTTGGCTAGGCGCGCGAGGGGTCGCCGCGACCCCGGGGCTTCAGACGGCGAGGCGGCGGCGACCTCCGTCCATCCGCCCCGGAGCCGGCGGAGAAGGAGTGAGGGAGTCTCGGGGGGCTCTGGGCGAGAGGAGGCGCTCGCGGGGGGAATGGGGGGTGTTCCGAGGCCTGGCCAAGGTTGGCAACCCAGTGGGTGACGCCGGACGGGGCGCCGCGCAGGTGGACGCACCTGGCCCCTCGGCGCGATGGCTGCGGGCGTCGGCTGTGGGGTTAATGGCACAGGGGTTCCTCCCAGGACAGGCTTCTCCAGCCTTTTGCAACGGGAACCGTCCCAGTTCTCCGAAGCCCCCCGGTGCCACCCTTTCCTAAACACGAAGCGGGGAGCCCACTCCCCACTCCTTGGGGTTTGCTGAGAGCCTGTAGTCCTACTGCGTGCGGTTCAGCTCGGTTTGATTAGCTTGGGTTCTGCTAAAGGAGCATCCCGGCTTATTGAAGCAAGGTTTGGGGCTGTGACTTGTGCGACCAGGTAGGTGGTGAGCTGCAGGCTAGCCATTTTATGAGTTTACACAATCTGCAAGACTGGAGATAAATTTTAAAAATATGTGTCTCCTGTTTTTCTCTTACATAAATAGAGTGGCAGAAAATTCAGGAAGGCTAAACTTTTCCTCTCCCGTTTAAAAGCAATGGAAATAGCCCATCGTCTCGGAGGATGTGAAATGGCCAACGAGTGTGGTTAATGTGTTTAAAAATTAAAATAGGGTACAGTTGTGTCCCGGGAGTGTTAAGACCCTTCTGAACCAAGTGAGGCTGCTCTTTCCCCAGTTGTTAACACTTTGCATGCATTGGTGCAGAGCACGCTCTCCTTTAAGGTAAAACAGCCGAATCTGGGTTGCAACCTACTTTAGCTCGGGGTTGTGGTCAATTACACCTCTTTTTTCCTGTGGGCCCCTGGTGCAGGTGATCTGACTTTTGAGGTCCTCACTAAACAGTTCCAGTTGTTCAGTTGTGTGCTTTTTTGTTGTTAGAATGGAAATTTTGTCATTCTAGGGTTTTTTTTTCTTTTTCCAGTATTATTACTTCAGGAACAAATAGCTAATTAATTCCTGTTTATACGGTTGATGTACTGAATCTGTCTGTGTTAGGGAGGTATTTTCTCAAAGCTGTGTCATGCTGGTTGGTTTGAAGGACCATGCTTTTGTAACATTCAAGCTGTTAAATCTCGTTAGGCTGATATGAGTCCTTAGTGTTATCAGCCAAACAGATCTGACAGATCATGGAGATGTCTGTTAATGCCATAAAAAATGGGAATATCATGAGATCTTGTTCCATGGAAACATAGATTTATGGAGTCCTTGGCTATCTAATGATATACATGAATCCCGGGGCAAAGCTTGTTCCTGAAATTTGGTTTTGAAGTTGAGTCGGTCAGCTTTGCTTTTCCTACTATTTCAGCCACAGCTCAGCCGTGTTTCGTAGGGAATCTCACTGCAGATTTTGTAGCGTTCTGTTTGAGCCTGTGAACTTGGATTCCGATCCGTGGTCAAACTGCGTGCGCCAGCCCTTTCTTGGAGAGAACTGCAGTGTTTGCGTTGTCTGCTTGGACTGCTGACGCAGCGCACGGAGACAAGCGGGCTCAGTGGCAGTCGGGCTCGCTTGGGACTCGGTTGTGGAGAGCACATTGGACAGTGGTTAACTGACATGTTCTGGGAGGGGAGGCTTGGGAAGAGGATGACATTTTTTGCGGGGCAGTTGCAGTTATGATGATGCTTGTAAATAGCCAGGCAGGTTTTCAAGTTTTGCATAAGCTTTGGAGGAGACTTTCAAAGGTAAAGGATGCAGGACATGGGATATTTTTTCACTTTTGAATGGCACATTTCAAACTATTGAGACAATTACAAAATAACCCAGAGAGTACAAAGGAGATGGAACAAAGTACCTAAGTAATTCTGGATTACAGTGGAAATGAAAGATTGTGTTAGAATGACAGGTTCCAAGTAGAAAATCTAAAATCGTTGTCTGTGTATATACACACACATATATATTACATATATATTACATTGAAGGGAAAGCATTGTTACTGTTAATTTCCTGATAACTGTGTCATGTTCTGTTAGTTTGAACTTGTTAGAGAATTGATTTTCCTAATGACATTTGCTAGCCTGTATTTGCACACTGCTTCCAGGTTGAGCGCTTGCTACCACACGCGCCCTCAGGATGCTTGTGCAGTGGAAGCCTAATGCTCTTCCTCCTCCTCCAGGAACGTTCAGAGTGCGACCTCAAGGCGGGATACAATTGGACTCACACACTTCTAGTTTATGGGGCACCAAAAGCACAGCAAACTGAACTTAAGCTCTGTTGTGCAACTTGCCACATTAAAAAAGCAAACCATTTGTGAGCAAGAAATATAAGTTGCAATAACTGCTTACATGGGAGAAGAATCCTGCGGGTTCAAAAATGATCCATTAACTTTAAGTCAGACATTTGATGGCCGTACAACCCACGTGAGTGATATTGTTCCACTAACTTTAAGTTGGACATCCGATGGCCACACAACCCATGTGAGCGACACACAGAGCAGTCACAGCTGCTACAGTGAACATTGCCCGTAATGTCTGAGATCTTTCAAACACATGCAAAAGAACTTGACCTTGCTGGCAGAGGAGTGAAGTAGCAAGAGTCGTTCACAGCAGGTCGGCCGACTCTTAGCTGGTTTGGCGCGTAAGCTTCACTGAACATTTTCAATACAGCCAAACTAAAGGGGATGAAAGTAAAGTCCCAGGAGACAGAGGGGAAGAGCAGGGTGACCCGAGCGCTCTGGCCCCCCTGGCCCAGCTCCATGTTTGCTGGGCTCTCAGTGGACACTCAAGATGTTTCCTTCAGTAGTGACTGGCCCGTGGCTGAGTTGACACATTCCCGCTCAGGCTCGTATTTGAGAAGTTAGATTCCAAATGTAGAAACCCCATCAGAGAGCAAGCAGAGCTTTGTAAAACAAACTCTATACTGCAACTATTTAAACACAAAAACCTTACAAAGCTGTTGATAAACCACAGTTGCCCTTGATTTATGTGCAGTTGGTTCGCTAAAGTGATAGTCTGAAATGTAGGGTTTTTTTTTTCGCCTGGGTGAGACTTTTGTTGTTGTTGCTAGATTTATTTTTATTAGAAAGCCAGATTTTATTAAAGATTTATTTTTATTATTTTTTCATTGGAAAGGCGGATATACAGAGAGGAGAGACAGAGAGGAAGATCTTCCGTCCGATGATTCACTCCCCAAGTGAGCGCAACGGGCCGACACTATGCCGATCCGAAGCCAGGAGCCTCTTCCGGGTCTCCCACGCGGGCGCAGGGTCCCAAAGCGTTGGGCCGTTCTCGACTGCTTTCCCAGGCCACAGGCAGGGAGCTGGAAGGGAAGCGGGGCTGCCGGGATTAGAACCGGCGCCCATATGGGATCCCGGGCGTGCAAGGCGAGGACCTTTAACCACTTCTGCCACCGCGCTGGGCCCTAGAAAGCCAGATTTACAGAGAGAAGGAGAGACAGAAATATTTTCTGTCCATTGGTTCACTCCCCAAGTGGCCGCAGAGGCTAGAACTGAGCCATCCAAAGCCAGGAGCCAGGAGCTTCTTCCAGGTCTCCCACGTGGGTACAGGGCTTTCCCAGGCTACAGTCAGGGAGCTGATGGGAAGTGGAGCAGCCGTGATAGGAACTGGCGCCCATGTTGGATCCTGGCAATTGCAAGGCAAGGATTTAGCCACTAGGCTATCACCCTGGGTCCTGGGTGGGACATTTGTATCATGTGTTTTTTTTTTTAAGCTCACTTTCATGAAATGTATGGAAACACTTAATAGCATAGACTCCTAGATGTCCTAGTGTTGCTGATGATTGATGCCTGTCGTTATAGGCTAGAGCTGGTGTGGTTTTACACTTTCTAGGTCAAGGGAAAGCATAAGCAAGATCAGTAGTGAAGTTTTTACTAAAATGTGGTAGACTCCAGGCAGTCAGATTATCAGCAGCTTTTGGCTTTGCCATTTTGCATTTTTCTATGACCTGGATTTCTAGAAGAGGGAAATGTAACATTTCACACTCCTAGCACGGTGTCATGTTCCAGTTCTCTGCTTTGGTTTCCCACTGGCAGGCCAGAAGCGAACTCTCAGAAGAGGGGAGCAGCAAGGCTGGAGCGACAGCCGGGGCCCAGAGGTGACAACGCCCGACAGAGCGGAGCGGAGACCCTACCGGGAATATCGTCCCTATGAGACCGAGAGGCAGGTGGATTTTACAGCGGAGAAGTTTGCAGATGAAAAGTAGGTACTGCACTCCTTGGTGGGGGGCAGGGCCAGAGCCAGGGGGATTTCAGAAAGCCCTTAGCCGTTGGGGCCCTCTTGGCGGGGCACCGGTCCTAGGAGCATTTTGTCAATTTAATTAGCAAATTGTATCACCTTAGGTGACAAGTGAAAGATCTCACATTTATCTCATAGTCATTCATGAGGCGAGAGAAGATTGTACAGTGAAAACAGGAATGATTTAGTGGTAACCATGAAAAGCATTGTGAAAATACATAGGCACGAGTAGAACTGACTCCTCTTGCTTTGACGTGCTGCTTTGGGGTTAGGGATATAGTGTCGGTTTTGAGTGAGCATGACTAACTGGACTGCATGAAAAGGGTGCATGATGTGTAATACCCACTGCTGGCTCCCTTGATTCTTTTAGTAGTAGTGTCAGCCACGTGCTGGTGCAGTGCCACGTCACTCCTGAGCTGTCCACGTCCCCACCTGTCCGCAGGTAGCGGTTATCTGTGTCTTACTCATGGCACTGGCAAGCTGGGCGCATGCTGCCTGGAGTTGGTGCTTGCCCAGAAGCCTGTATAGTGCAGGATGTAGGTGAGACAGGACTGGCTGGTGAGCACGGTTAAGGGCAGGTGCCGTTGGCCCTGGCTGTTTTCTGGGGGTTGGTCCCAGGACCCTGCACGTCCCGAGGTCCCTGATTCATCCTTCAGTGAAGTGGTACAGTGTTCACATAGAACCTGCACACAGCCTCCCATAGACTCAGGGCATCTCTAGGGTTGTTTTTTTTCAACTTTGTTTTTGTGAAGATCTATTCCTATTGGCAAGTCAGATAGAGAGAGGAGGAGAGACAGAGAGGAAAATCTTCCATCTGATGATTCACTCCCCAAGCAGCCACAATGGCCAGAGCTGAGCTGATCTGAAGCCAGGAGCCTCTTCTAGGTCTCTCACACACCTGCAGGGTCCCGAGGCTTTGGGCTGTCCTTGACTGCTTTCCCAGGGCACAAGCAGGGAGCTGGATGGGAAGCGGGGCCGCAGGGCTTAGAACCAGTGCCCATATGGGATCCCAGCGTGCCCAAGGCGAGGACCTTAACCGCTATGCTATTGCACTGGGCCCACAGGGTTTTTTTTAATCATATGAGAATGCCTCCTTAATCCCAGACATGTAACATGTATGTCCTAAGGACATGATGCAATAATCAAACTTACTGACAATGATGCAGTACTGGTGACTGATTCTCTGAACCCTGAAATCCACAGATTCATCAGATCTCCCTAACCGTCCTGGTGATGTGCTTCCGGTGGAGGTTACAGTCCAGGAATGTGCATTGTAGTCACCCTTCTTTACTCTGGAATAGCATGTGTGTCTTTCTCTTGACATTGAATATTTTTGTTTACTTCTGCATTTGAGAGGCAGAGAGAAAGTAACAAGGGGTTGGAGGTGGGACCTGCTGGGAGCCAGGAACTCAGCCCAGCTCTCCCAAGTGGGTGGCAGGAGATCCACTTGGGCCACTGTCCCCGCCTTCCCAGGTCCACGTTAGCAGGAAGCCAGAGGCAGGGGCTGGAGCCAGGAGTGGAGTCCACACCCCGCAGCATGCCCACAGGAGCATCCGAATGGTGTCTTCTCATAGTTTACTGCTGGTCACTTAAAGTCAACTCCAGTTTAGAAAGAATGAATCAGATCTTTACAGCACCCCCTCTTCCCCTTTCCAGAAGGAATTCTTTTTTTAAGTGTGCAGTAAAAATACACACACCATGAAGTGTGCTGTTGTGTTCCTTGAAGCGTACTGCCCACTGGCAGCAAGTGGCTGTTCCTGTCCTGCCATCACTCCAGACCTTCTCATCCACCCAAAGCGATGCGGTGAGCCCCTTCAACTCTAAGACCCCGTCCACGCCGTGGTGTCCGTCTCCTGGGGTTGCTCTGAGAACAAGCCTGGCAAGTGCATTAAGCAGCATGTGAGGCTCTGATGTCAACTCCCTTTGTCCCACTTGGGAATTTATCTCAGATAAAGCTTAAAGTGGAGGGCCTGTTTCCCCAGTGCTTGCCACCCTTTTAAGATTGATTAATTAGAAAGAGTCCAGTCCACTGATTCACTCCCCAAATGGCTGCAGGAGCCGGGGCAAGGCCAGGCCAAAGCCAGGGGATTCCTCTGGATCACCTCCATGGGTGCAGGGCCTGAAGAACTTGGGCCATCCTCTGCAGCTCTCCTGGATGCATTAGCCAGGGAGCTGGATGGAAGTGGAATAGCCGGGGCATGAACTAGTGCCCAGACAGGATCCCAGCGCTTTCAAGGCAGGGACTTTGGCCAGTAGACGACCATGCCGGGTCCCAGAAGGTGTATTTTTAAGAAATCTCTAGGAAGTAATTGAGGATGTTTAATTGGAGACCTACAGAAATAAGTGAAGGAAAGAGGAGATGGTTGAAGGGATTAAATGTCCCAGAGCATGCAAGGCTATTTTAGGGCCAGCGTCTACCCCTGCTTTAGCAAGTTGGTGTGGTGTGGGGTGTGACCTGGGTGTCTGGATGTGGGCCTGGCTGACTGGGACACTGTTTTCCTCTTAGGGTTTTGCCCTTCATTTTGCTCTCCATTTTTGTGTATCATTCTCTTCAACTTCCTGCTTAAAAGTTTGCTGTAACTTTTCAGTTGTTATTGTTCCAGGATTTGTTTTGGACATTGCCTGTATTTTAGAATCAGGTTAGGAAGATTTCTGTTTGGGAATCTGGTTTTGGCTGGGTTAGTGGGAGAAAGAAAAGCCAATTTGGAGAAGTTATTTAGAAGGATGCTTCCTGTAAGAGACTGGCGTAAAGTAAGCATCCTACTCCAGTATTTTCCAGAAAAGAAGTATAGAGTTTGTATCTTTTTTTTTAAAAATATTTATTTTTATTTTTATTGGAAAGGCGGATATACAGAGAGGAGAGACAGAGAGGAAGATCTTCCGTCCGATGATTCACTCCCCAAGTGAGTGCAACGGCTGATGCTATGCCGATCCGGAGCCAGGAGCCTTTTCCGGGTCTCCCATGCGGGTGCAGGGTCCCAAAGCTTTGGGCTGTCCTTGACTGCTTTCCCGGGCCACAGGCAGGGAACTGGAAGGGAAGCAGGGCTGCCGGGATTAGAACCGGCGCCCCTTGGGTTCCCGGGTGTGCAAGGCGAGGACCTTAACCATTGTGCCATCGCGCTGAGCCCGTATATTTTTTTTAATAAAGTTGTTTTTTTTTTTTTAATTGGAAAGGCAAATCTATAGAAAGGAGATACAGAGGGAAAAATCTTCCATCAGTTGGTTCACTTTGCCAAGTGGCTGTAACAGCTGGAGCTATGCTGATCCAAAGCTAGGAGCTTCTTCCCACATGGGTGCAGGGTCCCAAGGCTTTGGGGCGCCCTTCACTGCTTTTCCCACAAGCAGGCCACAAGCAGGGAGCTGGATGGGAAGTGGAGCAGTCAGGATACAAACCGGTGCCCATATGGGATCCCAGCGGTTAAAAGGCGAGGATTTAGTCACTGAGCCATCATGCTGGGCCCATATCCTTTTTTTTTTTTTAAGATTGTTTATTGTTATTGGAAGGATAGGTTTACAGAGAGAAGAAGAGAAAGATCTTGCATCCTCTGGTTCACTCCCCAAGTGGCTACAATGGCTGGAGCTGAGCCAATCCATAACCAGGAGCCAGGAGCTTCCTCTGGGTCTCCTATGCAAGGTCCCAAGGATTTGGGCCGTCATCCGCTGCTTTCCCAGGCCATAATGTAGGGAGCTGGATGGGAAGTGGAACAGTGGGGACGTGAACTGGCAGCCATATGGGATCCCAGTGCATGCAACATGAGGATTGCAGTCCCTGAGCCATCATGCCGGGCCACGGAATTTGTATCTTTTTTTCCTCACGTGGAATAGCGGCTTTTTCTTGTAATATTTCTAGCTACAGAAGGGGATTGCCACATGCCTCTGGTGCTCGTGTTTGAGCCAGTTTGCTTTTAAAAGGGTTTTATTTTGTTGTGAGAGTTAGAGGAAGAGAGAGGAAGGAGAATGTGTGTGGATTCTGCACCACGTTTGGATATTTTCCATCCTAAATGAGAAAGTGTGTGTGTGTGTGTGTGTGTGTGTGTGTGTGTGTGTGTGTGTGTGTGTGTGTGTGTGTGTGTGTGTGTGTGTGTGTGTGTGTGTGTGTGTGTGTGTGTGTGTGTGTGTGTGTGTGTGTGTGTGTGTGTGTGTGTGTGTGTGTGTGTGTGTGTGTGTGTGTAGGGGAAGAGAAGCCAGGAAAATTAGTGGTTGGCAAATGATGTGTGGGGGTCCAGTGGCCCTTTCCAGTTTATTTTCACTTCGTGTGACAGAGAGGCAGAGCTTCCATTCTCTGGTTTCCTCCCCAGATGCCCACAGCTGGAGCTGAGCCACAGGCCGGAGCTGGGAACTGGGATCTCAACCTGGATCTTGCACATGGGTGGCTAAGTACTGGGGTGTGACCTACTGCCCAGCAGGGTCCCGTGGTAGGAATCTGGAATCAGAAACAAAGCTGGGACCAACATCCAGGCTTTTTGATATGTCTGTCCTTCAAATGACAATTAAAACACCTCGTAAATGTTTTTTTAAAGATTGATTTACTTGGAAGATTGATTTAAAGGGAGAGACAGAAAGAGAAGTTCCATATTCTAGTGTACTGCCCAGAACTCCACAACAGATGAGGCTGGGCCAGGCCAAAGACAGGAGCCTGAGACTCCATCACTGGAGTGTCCCACGTAGGGACAAGAGGCTCAAGCATCTGGGCCATCTTCTGCTTCCTTCCCGGGTGCCTAAGCAGAGAGCTGGGACTGGAATCGGCATTCCCCGGCATGTGGCTAGACAGTTGCTGAGCCCACTGCACCACAGCAGCTGGCTTCTGAAGTGACGTTTTTGACCGTGTGACTGTCGCTTGTCTCACACCTGTAGTGGTTTCTGACAGCTTTTCCCCACTGGCCCGGGTACTTCCCTGAAGTGACGTTTTAAAAACTGAAGTCGCCGTAGGCTTTAACTAAGAGGTTTTCAGCTTTTCCTGGAAGAATACGTGTAGTAATGGGATGGAAGTCAAGTGGTAGCCAGTCAGCGTTGTTACTTACCACCTGGCCGTGTGTCTGGGAGAGACTGAAGAGGGACCATACTTTGAAACTTTTCCATTTTTCTTGTTATACAAATCATTGCAAACGTAGCTACAAGATTTATTACGACAGAAATGAGCTGTAGAGTTCCTTTATCTAAAGTGGGCATTTGACATGTGGAAAATGGAACTTGACATCCAGAAAAAAGGAACCCCTCTACCCAGAGAAGGGTGGTGGCAGTCTGGGACCCACCCACTCCGTGCTCTGCGTCTTCACCCCTAGGGGCAGGAGAAGGTCATTATGAGAAACTAAAAATGACTGGAGTTGTGGGCCCAGCATGGTAGCCTAGTGGCTACAGCCATTGCCTTGCAGGATCCATATGGGCGCCAGTTTGTATCCTGGCTGTTTCGCTTTCCCCGAGTTCCCCTGCCTGTGGCCTGGGGAAGCAGTAGAGGATGGCCCAAGGGCATACAGCTGCGTGGGAGACCTGGAAGAAGCTTCTGACTCCTGGCTTCGACTCAGCTCAGCTCAGCTCTGGCTGTTGTGGCTACCTGGGGAGTGAACCAGAAGATGGAAGATCTTTCTCTCTGTAAATCTGTCTTTCCAATAAAAATGAATAAGTCTTTTTTTTTTTTTTTTAGAAAAATAAGACTGAAGTTGTGAGGGACTCAGCAATCCTCAGTATTGGTCCACCGTTGTGAGTTCTCAACGCCAGCCTCCCTTCCACTATCCTGTAGCCCTAATGTTTTGGATTTTTTTTCCTGTTACCCAGTTCACGGCTCTTTGTTACACCCCTGTCTTGCCAGACCTGCTGAGAGATTCGAGAGGCCGTTGCGAGGGCGTGGAGGCCCGAGAGGGGGCGTGCGGAGCAGAGGCAGAGGTGGTCCAGGGAACAGAGCCTTCGATGCTTGGGACCCGAGGGGGAAACGAGATTTTGAACGCTATGGTGCAAATGAGAAGATGTAAGTTTCTTTGTGTTCTTTGCACTTAAGGAGATGTGCTTATCCGCAGTGCAGAGCGGATGCGAGATGGGGCTTGGTCCGCTGAAGCCCGGATGCTGTCAGAGCGGCTCGTGGGGGATGCGGAGATTGGGTGCGGGACAGCTTCCATCTGAGGGCTGTTCATTCTCTCTCCCCAGAGCGGTCAGACCTGGGCATCGGGGAAGGACAGCAGTTGTGGAGTGCCTTGAGTGGCCTCTGAAAGCTAGTCGCCTTTGCTTCTCTCAGCAGGGGTGTCCCCCATGTTCTGTGTGTCCAGCAGTAGAAATAGTGGTTGAGCTTTCAAAAATGCTTGTGTGTTTAGCTTTGAAAGGCAAGGTGTCAGGAAGAGAGGGTAGAAGGGGAAGGAGGGCGGAGGACGGGAGTTACCTTTGACCCACCGGCTCGCTCCCCAGACGCATGCAGCAGCCAGGGCTGGGCCAGGCTCAAGTCAGGAGCCCGGCACCCCATCCTCTCCTGGATAGCAGGATGCAGTAACGGGAAGCCACATTGGAAGCGAGCCGTGGGGGCTCAGACTGGCACCCTGATGTCAAACGCACTCTTGGAGGCAGCACCGGTTGCTGTACCACACCACCCACCCTCAGCGAATTCACTTCTAAAGACAAGTTTTCTGTTTCATGATGAGCTTTGCAACTGCTTTTAAAATTCTGTTATTTGGGGCAAACAAACTTGGGACAAATGCGCACACATACAGGTGCCCATGCCTTTGAATGCTGTTAATTTTCTGGATAACCAGTACTTTCTGTGGCTTCCCAAAGCTTTTATCATTCCTTGATGTTGCGGAGCACAGCTCAGCCCCAGGTCTCACCTGATGGCACAGTGGGTGTCTCTGAGGCTTCGGGGGGCACCAGGACTGTGCCAGTTTTGCTAGTTAGAATAGGTCTTTGCTTGGCTGTTTCTGTTAGATATTGTTGGCCGAGGAGCAGTGTGGTACAGTAGGCTTTTTACAAGTTGGAGGGCTCCAGGGACCCCAGATTCTACTCTACTTTTGAAGAAAAGAAGCTTTTTACATGAAGTGTCTTAAAAAAAAATCATTGTGCTGGGGCTGGCATTGTGGCATAGCCAGTAAAACCTCTGCTTGCAGTACTGGCACCCCATTTGAACACCAGTTACTATGTGATATCCTGGCAGATGCAAGGCAATTTTTGTATGGCATATATACATTTTTAAGATTAATTATTTTTGAGCCTGGCGCAGCAGCCTAGCTGCAGCGAAAGTCCTCACCTTGAATGCTCTGGGATTCCGTACTGGTGCCGGTTCTGATCTCAGCAGGCCTGCTTCCCATTCAGCTCCCTGCCTGAGGTCTGGGAAAGCAGTCGAGGAAGGCCTCAAGTTTTGGGACCCTGCATCTGTGTGGGAGACCCGGAGGAGGTTCCTGGCCCTGGCTTCAGATTGGCTCAGCACCGGCCATGGCAGTCAGTTGGAGAGTGAACCATCGGACGGAAGATCTTTCTTTCCTCCTCTTTCTCCTCCCCTCACACAAGTTGGGATCCCTTATGGGCACTGGCTAACCCCGGTGTCCTGCTTCCCACCCAGCTCCCTGCTTGTGGCCTGGGAAAGCAGTCGAGGACGGCCCAAAGCCTTGGGACCCTGCACCCACATGGGAGACCCAGAAGAGGCTCCACTTTGAATTGGCTTTGAATTGGCTCAGCTCTGGCCATTGCGGCCTCTTAGGGAGTAAATCAGTGGATGGAGGAGCTCTCTCTTCCTCTTTGTATCTGTCCAATGAAAATAAATTTAAATAAAAAAGAAGAGCAGGATTTGTTAAGGAAATTAATGTTATAAAAAAGTTAATGTGGATTTCGGTATTTATTGCATCAAAATAAACTTAAGATTTTAACTGCATTTTCAACAATATTTTTGAAATCTCGTATTTGTGGTTCTTTTTATTGAAGATATTTAAAAAAATTTTTATTGGAAAGGCAGATTTACAGAAAAGAGGAAAGACAGAAAAAGATCTTCTTTTTTTTAAAAGATTTATTTATTATATTTTTGAAAAGGCGGATATACAGAGAAGTGCAGAGACAGAAATATCTTCCATCCGATGGTTCACTCCCCAAGCGGCCTCAACGGTTGGAGCTGAGCCAATCCGAAGCCAGGAGCTTCTTCTGGGTCTCCCACGTGGGTGCAGGGTCGCAAAGCAGGGTCCTCGACTCTATTCCCAGGCCACAGGCAGGGAGCTGGATGGGAAGTGGGGCCGCTGGGGTTAGAACCAGTGCCCATATGGGATCCTGGCACGTTCAAGGCGAGGACCTTAACTGATACGCTACTGCGCCAGGCCCAGAGAAAAAGATCTTGCATCCACTGGTTCACTCCCCAAGTAGCCACAAAGCCAGGGCCAAGAGCATCCTCTGGGTCTCTCACACTGGCGCAGGGTCCCAAGACTTTGGGCCATCCTTGACTGCTTTGCCAGGCCACAAGCAGGAAGCTATATGGGAAGTGGGGCAGTTGAGATTAGAACCAGCACCCATATGGGATCCCAGTGTGTGCAAGGTGAGGGATTCAGCCACTGAGCCATCGTGCTTGGTCCTATGATTCATTGTATTATTTGGAATTCTCCAGGATAGGTAGTTTTGGATAAATTTTTCTGATCATTTACAATCTGCTCTTAAGGTCATTCAGGGGTTACTACCATGGTGTGTAGGTTAAGCCTCCACTTGTAGTGCCAGCATTCCATATGAGCTCTGGGTCAGGTATCAGCTGCTTTGCTTCTGTTCCAACTCTCTCTAATGTGCCTGGAAAAGCAGTGGAGAATGGCTTAAGTTCTTGGGCCCCTACACCCATGTAGGAGACCCAGAAGAAACTCTGGGCTTCTGTCTCCACAACAGCCCAGCTCTGGCCATTGTGGCCATTTGGGGAGTGAACCAGTGGATGGGAAAGCTTTCTGTCTGTCTGTCTGTCCTTCTTTCTGTGTAAATCTGCCTTTAAAAAAATTATGCTCATTCATGGAAGCTCCTATTTTTTTTTAAGATTTATTTATTTTTATTGGAAAGGCAAACATACAGATAGGAGAGAGACAGAAAGATCTTCCGTCGTTGATTCACCCCCAAATGGCCGTAAAGGCCGGAGCTGAGCCAACCCAAAACCAGGAGCCCGGAACCTGTTCAGGTCTCCCAGGCAGGTGCAGGGTCCCAGGGCTTTGGGCCGTCCTCCACTGCTTTCCCAGGGCACAAGCAGGGAGCTGGATGGGAAGCAGGGCAGCTGAGACATAAACTGGTGCCCATATGGGATCCCGGTGCTTGCAAGGTGAGGACTTTAGGCACGAGGCTACCACGCCAGGCCCGAAACATCTATTTCTTCATGAATATTTTCCCAGTTTTGCTAACAAGGTGCATAGGTAAGCAATTCAGGCCATGTTCTTACCTTGTGTTGCTGCCCTTCCTTGAAGCTGTGTCCTAAGTAAAAGGATGTTAAAGCATGTTTTCTCAATTTTTAACATTTATTTATTCATTTGAAAAGCAGTGTGAAAAAGGGAGGGAGGGAAGGAAAGCGAGGGGGAGAGGTATCCATTGGCTCACCTCCCAGATGCTCGCTGGGGCTGGGCCAGCCAGGAGCCGGGGACCCGTCGTGGTGTGGTGGCAGGGGCCCCAGTGTCTGGGCCACCGTCCACTGCCTTCCTGGCATGTAGCAGGGAGCGCATCAGCAGTCTGCAGAAGCCAGTGCCTGAGCTGGCCCTCTGACAGGGAATGCACGCGTGCCCGTCTGCTGCTTTGGTTCCTCGACTAATTCTGTTGGGACGTGGGTGTAAGCAAAGCTGTGTGACTTGGGCTCCCCTGTCTTTCAGTGACCCGGAGCAGACCGCCGCAGCAGAGGAGACCGCAGTCATGGACGAGTCCCAGGCCATCCTGGAAGAGGAGAGCCCAGCCAAGTAGGGTGTTCCCCTCCTTCTCCCATGGGTGGGTGGGCTGGTAGCTCAGCCCTTGATCATATCACAGAGTGAAGGCGTTAATGGCTCATGGTCAAACTCATGATTAGTTCAGATAATGTGTTCAGGAGTCCTAATGATCGTGACTGGCTCAGATTCTAGTGTCTTGTCCTGTGCCCACAGCCTCTCTGCCACCGCAGCTTGCTCCTGTCACGAAGTCCCGTCTCTTCTCTGAGCTCTCCTGGCCCATCCTGCTTCTTGACTTCTTTTGCTCCTTAAACCACCTTGCCCTTTGAACTTCCCATTGAGCCTTGCGACAAACCAGTCTGTCTCTTGGGTGCCTTCCCTCCCCTGCTGCCCACACACCGAGCCTGGCTGGTCCCAGGGCAACCCACCAGGGGCCCTCACCCAGGCATGGCACCTGGTTTCCTGGGCTCACTCCAGCACTGCTGGAGTCTTTCCTGTCTCCTCAGCACCCTGCCCCTGTCCCCACTTTGTCTTGTCACGTCATCCTCACCCAAACATCTCCTGAGTCTGCTGGATCCTGTGTCCCAGCAGCGGGTGCCATCAGACAGAAACATGGCCCTGCCCTGCCCCACAACCCCCGCTCCTTGCCACCGTGGCAGCTCAGCCCCTGCCCCCAGTGCCATCCCTCGGCACGAGTAGGCACTTGTGGTCCATGCTGTACGCATGCTCAGTGTCTCCCTCGGGAAACCCTCCCCTCTTGACCCCCTGAGTCAGTGCACTTTCCCTCGTGTCCCCCATCAGCCCTGCTCCGTGCCCCGCTGGCCGGCCTCTGTCTCCTGACCTCTCAGCAGCAGCCGATTTGGCTGGCAGCTTTCCTTCTCCTGGTCTCGGGCTCTGAGCTAGGCCACTTCTCCTGCTAGTGTCTTAGAGGATTGTGTGCCCGCTGTGTCGTATCACTGGCACACCATCCCTCCAGTTGCACAAACCAGAAACCTAGGAGTTGTCCCTGGAACTTCCCTCGTCCCACTCCCTGCTTCCCTGAACCTCTGGTCTGCTCCAGTCTTGGGTTTGTGCCCGGTCCACCTGCCAGCTCCAGCTGACCTCACTGTGGCTCCCAGCCTGGCCAACCCGCAGCTTACTTACTGTACTCTAATGCCTTTCTGATCACGTGCTCCCGCTCCTCCCTCAGACCCCAGGGGCTTGTGGCCTTTTTCTACCCCTTGTCTTTAACTGTCCACTCACACACGGCTGGCTCTTTGTGAGCCTCCAGGCTCTCGGCCTTCTCTGGGTTCACATGTGGCCCTTATTTCATGTCCTCCATCGCGGCTTTGTCCCACCCCCACCCATGCCTGCCCTACAGCCTTCACAAGTGTCATCCCCTGCCACTGTGAGCATTCTACAGGTTTTTTTTTTTTCCATTTTTGTAAAATGCGAATAATAAGGAACCTATTCAAGGCTTGTTGTTGATAGTCTAACAATAATTCTTTGAACTGGTCACCCTGAAAGACCTGCTGGTGTTGGTGACTTGGTGCTGTCGTTGCTGCCTGCGCTGTCCCAGCAGAGCAGACCGGCCGTCTCCCCTTGTCTGCTGTCACTGCAGCCGAGTGTCTGGCGCTCAGAGCTGTAGGTGCTGCACAGGAAAGTGGCTGTGTTACCTCGGCGACACACTGTTCCGGCACTGCCTCATCACATTCGAAAATTCCCGCTATTTCCACTAACATGGTTCTAATTGTTTCCCAAGTTGAAATTAGGCCAGTCTCCAGGAACTCCATGTGATGGTTCGTATTGATTGAGCAGTCCAGCTGGAGCGGCCAGCCCAGTGCGCACACAGCCTGCCTGTTGCTCAGAGATGCTGGCTTGTGTGTCTAACGCCCTCTCCCCTCAAGCACACAGCGCAAACCGCAGGCATCTACCTCGAATTGGACACACTTCACGCCAATCATGTGCCCTTCCACCTTCTTGTTGTCACATAGCGTTCTGCCATCTGAGGGTGCTGTGACAACTTCTCGGGTTACGTTTCTAAGAAAAATCTTAGGTTAATCAAGGACTTTCTGTGTATCTATTTCTGTTAACTGCCACACTGTCTTCATGCCATTGAGACAAAGGGTCAGATAAAACACCTTAAGGTGACCTGGCCAGGTGCCGAGGCCAGATTTGAAGTTGTGGTATACACCTTGGCGCTGTTGACTGCTGTGAGCGGTGGGAATGGTCAGAAGTGGCTGTGAGGTGGCCTTGCTGCTAACAACAGAGGGGACGTGGGTTCTGTGAGCTCAAAGATTCCCTGCTCTTGCGTGTGGAGCAGTGGCTCCCTTCATTTCTTTAATCAATCGATTAACTTCATAACAAATACTGAATTTTCTTTAATATTCGTTATAGAGTGATGGGATGGGGCTTGCAGACTCTTCCGGGCCTCCGGGAGAGATGGAGAAGGGAGAGTAGAGAAAGTGGTGTGTGTGGTGGGGGGCAGACGACCTTAGGGGCGGGGACTGGGATGGCTATGGATGGTGCCTTGGTGTGGGCAAAGGAAGCCCTGGGGCTCACTGCGTAAGAGGATACGTAGTCTGGCTGTCCTTCCCGGGGTTCCTTGTTCTCTGTGGAAGGGCTAAGGCCTGCTGGTTACCCATTTCTGCCTCGGTGTGTCCCCAGGGCTAGGTGCTTTCCGTGGAACTTGGCCTGAAGGGCCATGCGCTTGCCTCTCGCCGCCCTTTCGAGAGGTACTTAGGTCTTCTGTTGCACCAAAGGAGCTGTTTGGCTTGTCTTGCTCGTGCGTCTTCTATGTTCTTTGTCCTTCTCTGCAGTCAGCAGCAGGGGTGGCCCACTCCCACAGCAGGTGCTGGATGTTCCCTGAGATTGGGGAGCCCATTGGTCTAAACACTCATGCAATTCAGGGGACCCACTTGCAGCCAGGTCACTGTACCTGGCTCAGGTTCTTATGTTCCTTGGCGGGTGCTGTAACAGTCTGGACAGCTGCCTGCCCTGTCTCCTACATGTATCTGTGGGTGTGTTGGCCTGGTCTGGTCTGAGACTATTCCAGAACCCCTTCCAGAACCCCTCAGTCCCAGTTCCCACAAGTGCTGGTGAGTGTGCCACTCTGCCCTGGCCCACCATGCAGCCTCAGCTCCCACATGAACCCTTGGAAGGTACAGTGGCCTAGTCAGGGTAACCCCTTGAATCCCTGCTAGGGGTCCCCAGACCTTCCTCTTCAGTGTAGCAGCAAGTGCCATGGGCCAAACCATCCCCTGTTCTACGCCTGATTCTTTGCGCCGGCAGTGGGTGCCCTGTCCTGGTCAAGGCAGTGCTCCAGAACTCCTGCCAGGCTGGCCCCAGACGCAGCCATTGGCAGGTGCTGCAGCCTGGCCCATATTCCTTTATTAAGTAATAGCTTTAGTCTCTTCCTTCCTCCCCATCCCTTCCTCTCCCTCTTTCCGTTTTTATTATTATTATTATTATTATTATTTAGATTTATTTATTTTTATTGGAAAGGCAGATTTACAGAGACAAGGGGAGACAGAGGCCTTCCATCTGCTGGTTCATTCCTGAAATGGCTGCATCGTTGGGAGCGGAGCCAGTTTCTTCCAGGTCTCCTGTAAGGCTTTGGGCCATTCTCTTTTGCTTTCCCAGGCCATAAACGGGGAGCCGGATGGGAAGTGGAACAGCTGGGACATGAACCAGTACTCATATAGGATCCTGATGCTTAGTTGTGCCAGATTTGCCAATTGAGCCATTGTGTTGGGCTTTTTGTTCTTTTTTTCCTCCTTTTTAAAATTAATTTATTTTTACTTCAAAGGCAGAGTTACAGAGAAGGAGAGACATTTGGGATTTACTCCTCAGTTGGCTGCGCTGGCCTGAGCTGAACCAATGCCAAGCCAGGAACATGGATCTTCTTCCAGATTTCTCCACGTGGGTGCAGGGGTGGAAGGCTTTGGGCCAGCCTCCATTGTTTTTCCCAGTAGCCGCAGTAGGCTTAGCCTACTATGCCACAGCGCTGGCCCCTGGGTTGGTTTATACCTTCTTGGTGCTTAAAGTGGCCCGCTTTCTTGGGCAGAGGGACTGTGTGGGAAATTGCTTCCTGCTCCTTTTAGTACACACATTCTCCCTTTCTGGCAAGAATACTGCTCCCAGCCCCAGGCTTCCTAGTCTGTGTATACTCCACGCTTCAGACTCGGCCAACTTTTCCAAGGATTCATAAACTCTAATGTACTTTAAAAAATTTATTTATTTTTAATGGAGAGGCAGACATACAGATAGGGGGAGAGACAGAGAGCAAGATCTTCCATCTGATGATTCACTCCCCAAGTGGCAGAAACTGCAGGAGCTGCTCCAATCTGAAGCCAGGAGCTTCCTCCAGGTCTCTCAGGCAGGTGCATGGTCCCAAGGCTTTGGGCTGTCCTTGGCTGCTTTCCCAGGCCACAAGCAGGGAACTGGATGGGAAGTGGTGCTGCCAGGATTAGAACCCATATGGGCCAGCGTGTGCAAGGCGAGAACTGTAGTCACTAGGCCACTTTAATATACTTTTAATAGAACAGAAAATGTAGAGACCGGGCCTAGGTGCCCCATCCAGTAGGAGCGTATTTCATTTTTTAAGAGGCTGGCAGACACTCCTCTATGGGAAGGTAGGAGCCAGGTCCACCTGGCAGTGTGGTGTTTCTGTCACCACAGCAGGCACCTGGCCCTGACCGGCGCTGCTCACATATTTTCACGCTATCTTTGTAAAGCTGCTTTAATGAAGAACTCTCATTTCAAGCTTCTCTCCTGTTTGTAGGGCATCCCCAACCATTGGCGGAGCTTGAGGATGTAACCACCCCCTCTTACAAGACAACGTGTGAGCTCAGCCCGGGTTTTCAGCTCACGTATATGGTGCAGACTTCTACCTAAAATTCCTTACGTTGGTTTCTCCCTCTCGCATCCTGGAATTCTTTCTTCTGCACACGAATCACCAGCGACGTGATTACACACGAGTGGCCACGTCTGTGGTTTAAAACTCTCTGAAATAGTTTCCCTTTGTGGTGATGGCGCTAACTTGGTATTTAGGTTAATTTGATTCATTTTACTTCCAAGTTTCAGAGACTGAATTTTAACTCAGATCTTTTATAATTATGTAAACTAGTAATATGTTTCTAAGTCTGGAAGACGTGGTATTTGCAACTAGTTTCTATTCCTGTTTCTTCCGGCTGTATATTGCAGTTTTTTTTTAAAAAGCTGTGTGTATGTATATATATATCTGTGTGCCTCCACACGTCTTGAGTGAATCACAGCGCCATGTCCTCCACCGTAGCCAGGAAGTGTGCTCATGCAGCATCCAGGCGTGGGCCTCAGCCCCTTTCACGCTTTAATCCTTTCAGAGTGTGTAATCCAGTGGCTTTGAGTGCTTTCGCAGCGGCATGCACTCTTGTTCCAGTGCATCTTCTTCCACAGGAAACCAGTCCTCCCCCGGCCCCCTCTCCGCACGCCTGCCCACTGCCGCTCTGCTGCCTGTCTCTGAACAGGGCAGCTCTCTGCAGCAGAGGGAAGTTCTTGCGCCTGCCTGTTTCACCTGGCGTTCTGTTTTCCAGATCTGTAGCCCGTGTCTGTACTTTGCTTTTATTTGCCAGAGAATCCCAGAATCCCATATCTTGTGTAGCCATGCATCAGATGATGGACATTGAGGCTGCAGTCACTTGGTACACGGCTGGGAATATCTGTCTGAGTTTTCACGTTCACAGATGTCGTTTCCCTTGGGGAAGTTGCAGCACAGCATGCCACGTCTGTATTAAGGCTTTTCAAGAACTGCCAGACTTCTCCCAGTGGACCACACCATTTACATCCTCCACAGTGATGAGCATGGTCTCCGATTCTCTGCAGCCCATTCAGACCTATTAAACGTCTTGGTGTGGATTGCTGTAATTCTTTGTGGTTTTGATTTACATTTCTCTGGTGGCTAACAATGTGGTCTTATTTGCTGTTTGTTTTTCTTATTTGGAAAAATATTCAGATTCTTGACTTCTTTTAGTTGGATTATTTTTTTCAACATGAAAAAATTAATTTGGGCCCGGTGCGATTGTCTAATGGCTAAAGTCCTCCCCTTGCATGTACTGGGATCCCATGTGGTCACCACTTCTAATCTCAGGGATCCAGCTTCCCATCCAGCTCCCTGCTTCTGGCCTGGGAAAGCAGTCAGTGATAGGCCAAAGCCTTGGGACCCTGCACCTGCCTGAGAGACCTGGAAGAAGCTCCTGGCTCCTGGCTTCAGATTGGCTCAGCTCCAGGCACTGTGGGTGCTTGAGTGAATCAGTGGATGAAAGATCTTTTTCTCTGTATATCTGACTTTCCAAAAAATAAAATAAATATTGAAAAATGATAAATAAAAATTTATTTGTGGGGCTGACGCCTTGGTGAAGTAGGTTAAACCTATGCCTACAGTGCTGGCATCCTATATGGGTACCAGTTCATGTCCTAGCTGATCCAATTATGATCCAGCTCGCTGCTGATGCACCTAGGAAAAGCAGCAGAAGATGGCATAGGTCCTTGGGCCCCTGCATCCATACGGCAGATGAAGCTCCAGGCTCCTGGCTTTAGATTGGCCCAGCTCTGGCAGCCATCAGGGGAGTGAACCAGTGAATGGAAGATCTAGCTCTCCATTTCTGTAAATCTACCTTAAAAACAAATTCATTGTGAATTATAGGTACAAATTAGGAATGTGTTCTCCCATTTAGAGTTACGTGGGTTTTCTTTTTGTTTTTTTTTTTTTTTTTTGAAGAGATTATTTGAAAGGCAGAATTATGGAGAGGAAGAGTGAGAGAGACTATTTGATCTGCTGGTTCACTCCCCAAATGGCTGCAACTGCCAGGACTGGACCAGGAGCCAGGAGCTTCCAGGTCTCCCAAGCAGGTGCTCGGGCCTGCACACGTGGGCCGTTCATGGTCGGCTGCCTTCCTGGGTGCAGTAGCAGCAAGTTAGAGCCGAAGTGGAGCAGCCAGGACTCGAACCCACACCCACATCGATGCCAGCATCACAGCTGGTGGCTTTTTCTCTATGCAACAATTCCTACCCATGGCCCTATGTCTTATGCCCAAATATTGCATTGTTAGCTCTTGTATGAGGTAAGGGTTGGTAAAACTTCATTTTTTTTTTTTTTTTGCATGTGGATATCTAGTTATCCTAGCAGCATCTGACAAAAGGACTTTGTTTTTTCCCTCTGAGTTGCCTATGGCATCCTGTTATTTATAAATTTACCGACCACTGATAGGAGAATTTATCTCTGAATTCTCTTCTTCTAATCCATCCCTACCTTCCATTTTCCTTTTCAACTCACTAATTTAAGGACATTTAGAGAAACACATTTGTGACCCTCTATACTAAAACTTCCATTCATGGTTTCTTGCATCTGATTTCAGATAGCTTCTCCTTTTTCTTCGGCAATTACTCATGTTGTCTGAGTCGCCATCTGGGAGGCAGTGCTGGCAGAGACGTATGACGCGTGTCCCTTGGGTAGTGACGTGCCCGTCTTTCACAGACCTCCTCGGCACAGGAAGTGTTAGTTGGCAACGCTGCCTGAGATCACGCAGTTAGAATGCAGACATGACCCCGCTGACATCTGAGCTGTGTTAGCACACGGCTGTGCTTTGAAGCACACATTTCAGTCCTGTTAAAATCCTTTATCTCTACAGAGTTCCTGAGTTGGAGCTACAAGAAGAAACTCAAATTCAAGAGATGACCTTGGACGAGTGGAAGAACCTTCAGGAACAGACCAGGCCAAAGCCCGAGTTTAACATCCGGAAGCCAGAATCCACTGTCCCCTGCAAAGCAGTGGTGATTCACCAGTCCAAGTACAGAGAGGATGTAAGTCCATTCAGCTTTTTATTGGAAAAGCAGACCTGGTTCACAGAGGACAGAAAGCTCTTCCAACTGCAGCCTCACTCTCCGAGCGACCGTAACAGCCCGAGCTGAGCCAATCCGAAGCCAGGAGCCAGGAGCCTCTTCCAGGTCCCCCACATGGGTGCAGGGTCCCAAGGCTTTGGGCTGTCCTCGACTGCTTTCCCAGGCCAGAAGCAGGGAGCTGGATGCAGTCAGGACACGAACCACTGCCCATATGGGATTCTGGCACTTGCAAGGTGAGGACTTAGCTATTGAGCCATCGGTCTTGGCCCTGAGATGATTTAAGCCTTGACGTGGCAGAGACAGGGAGTCCATGCTGCTACCGGGTTAGAAGTGAAATAGGCTTCTCCACTTCCGTTTAGAAGGTACAGCGGTAGCCACCCGAGTGAGCAGAGCATGTCATTTGACTGTATGTTTATGGTCTGTCCGGAAAGGAGTTGCAGCATGCTCCTTTGCTGCTTCAGGGAAAGGCAGAGTCCAGTGCAGCCACCAGGGGAGTGAGCGCCTAAAGGGCAGCTGCTGCTGCTTCTCCCCGCAATGTTCCTTCAGCTGTCACTTGGTGCCTGGTGAGCGTGGAAGCTGGGTTGCAGCTTCGTGCTCTGCGGTGCCTTCTGCATGTTGGGGCAGCGGCACGGAGAGCAGCAGGTAACCCCGGACAGCGCAGTGAGACCCCATCCGGGGCCGCTGTGTGAGCCCCTCACTGCACCTCGGCTGCTCAGGGGAGCCCTCAGGATTTGTCTTGTTGTCGATGTTGATTTTTGTATACTTGAATGGTAGCGTGACGGAAAGAGGCAAATTGATCTCCCACCCACTGACTTCTCCCCAAGTGCCCACAGCAGCTGGGCACTGGAGCTCGGCCAGAAGCCTGGAGCCCCACGTGTCATCTGTCCCTCACTGCCCCTCACTACTTGCTGTGTGTTTATCCTTCACCCCAGGGCGTGGGCCTCTGCTTGGTCGTCTAACACCTGTGCTGTATCTGCTCTGTGAAGGGGGCATGAGTGTTGAACATGAAGCCTGAAGCAAGCATAGGACCCAAAGAGACTGATGTGCTCCTGGATGCTTCATTCCACTTGCTCAGGTTATTTAGTTTTTAAAAAGTTGTAGGAATGGGACCCACCGTGGTAGCCTAGTGGCTAAATCCTCACACCGGGATCCCACAAGGGCAGCAGTTTGTATCCCAGCAGCCCTGCTTCCCATCCAGCTCCCTGCTTGTGGCCCGAGAAAGCAGTCAAGGACAGCCCAAAGCCTTGGGACCCTGCACCCACACGGGAGACCCAGAAGAAGCTCCTGGCTCTTGGCTTCAGATTGTCTCAGCTCGGACTGTTGCAGCCACTTGGGGAATGAATCATCGGATGGAAGATCTTCTCTGTCTCTCCTCCTCTCTGTGTATACGACTTTCCAATAAAAAAAAAATGTTTAAAGCAAACAGTTGCAGGAATGGTTATCTTCACAGCACATGGGAAATCCTCATCCGGGGTCACTGACACGCTTCCTTCCTTACCCAGCGCTGCCTGGCTGGTTTTTAAAGACAGAGTAACAGAGTGATAGAGAATCTTCCATCCACTGGTTCACTCCCCAAGTGGCCGCAACAACTGAGGCTCGGTGAGGTGGGAGCCAGGAGCCGGGAGTTTCTACATGGCTGCGGGGACCTAAGCACTTGGTTGCTCTCTGCTGCATTAGCAGGGAGGTGGATCCGAAATGGACTCGAAGTGCCCTTCGTCAGGATGTTGTCCCTAGCAGCAGCTTCGTGTGCCGTGCCGCGGCGTTGGCTCCCGGATGTTCCTGCATCCCCCTTCATACTGTACGCAGAGATTTTTTAAAATGTGGGTGAGCTCTGTGCACGCACAGCCAACAAGCGCAGTGCCTTCTAGAACGTCTCTACGCTCTGACTCAGAAGGCACAAGCTCCCTCTCACTCTGGGCGGGTGACACTTCTTTATCAAAGCAGTCATCGTAAGCAGATCAACAAAAGCAACAGAATTAATCCTTGGAGCACAGCAAGATGCGCTGGCTGCTACTCATGTAGCAGCAGCACATGTCAGATCCTGCCTGTTGAACTGGCGGCTGTTTGGTTTCACTGGAAATCCTTGTGAGCTCTGAGGGATCTGGGTTCGAGACCACTGACAAGAACAGGTGGTGCCTCTCCTTAGCCCAGCCCTTGCCCAGGGCCAGCTGGGGGTCCCGGGGCACAGTGCCCCCTTGCGGCTGTCCAGGGCTGTGTGGGAGATGTCATTGCTGTGTTTGTTGCAGATGGTAAAGGAAGACTATGAGGAGGACTCCCCTGTTTTCCGGAAAGCTGCCAACGACATCACATCCCAGCTAGAGATTAATTTTGGTAACCTCCCTCGTCCAGGCCGCGGAGCCAGAGGTGGCATCCGGGGTGGCCGGGGAAGGGTCCGGCGCCCAGAGAACTGTGCACCCAGAGCTGAGGTGGCGGTAGGTGTTTGCGTCCGAGTCCTGGGCGGGTGGGCAGGGCCCTGAGGGAGGGATCGCAGGAGGCCGCTGGGCCCTGTGCCATCCGAGAACTCCAGGCTAGGCAGAGTCTGCTCCAGGGCAGGACCCTCCCGGTCCCGGGTTCTGAAGGACAGGCCTGCCTTCCTCCCTGCCACTGCGTCTGTGCCGTCCCTCAGTGGACAGAAGTCCTGTCTGCTCCGGCTTGTCCTCAGTTACTGCGGCCGTATTCTCAAACTCCTGCAGCAGTGAGGACTGGGAGCGCAGAACTCCCAACTGGGGCTCACAGGCCGACAGAGGCCCAAGCACTTGAACCATCTGTCACTCGCCACCTCCTGGGCACGTGAGCAGGAAGCTGGACTCGGGACTGGGGCTGAAATGTGACCCTCGGGTCTCCTGTGTCCCGGGCTGTCCACGGTTCCCTCAGGGCTGAGCACAGGGCTTAGTGTGCAGTAGGCGCTGTGTAGATGCTCTATGCAGGTAGATGTTCTTGTGGGGCTGTCAGTGCTGGGCCAGTGCCTATGGCTGGCTCTCCTGGGTACACAGGTGCCCAGTTGGAGAAAGGAGCCATGTGCGAAAGGGTCACTTATGGTTACTGCCAGCCATGGGCCTCGCCCACTGCTCACTTTCCATGTCTGTGTCCCCCCACCTGCAGAGAAGCTTTTCTGCCAGGACCTTCTCTCCCACAGACCCGAGCTCTGCTGCTCCATCACCTGGGATGTGGGTGGTGTGGGCCCCAGGTCCCAACATGCAGGTGACCCCTGGCCCCAACTCCTTGCTCAGCGTGCACTGTGTGCCAGCTACATCTCTGTGCTGGGTGCAGCAGCAAGGCCGTGTGGAGGCAGGGGCCCCTTGGGCAGGAGCTGCGGGAAGACGTGCCTTCGCTGCCAGGCGATGCCCCTGTCATCTGAGGAAGCCACCAGGGGCCTGGGACTGCAAGCGCCACTGACCTCAGACCTCCCTTCTCTCGCAGACCCACGACGTGGCTCCCAACCCCGACGACCCTGAAGACTTCCCTGCTCTGGCCTGAGGTGCCCAGCTGGCGGTGCGGACAGCGTGCACCAGCACTGGCGAGGCTGTGGGAAGAGAGCCGGACTCTGACAATAGATGTTGCTTTTCCCCGGCGAGCAGGGATTTGGTGCGCTTTGTTAGCTCCGAGTGGTGTGGGATGTGGCCTTTCCCATCCGGGAGGGACAGCTGCTGTGGGAAGCAGGTGCAGGCAAAGGCTCGGGGCACCTGCCTGCACGCACACTCGCGGCTGTCCCCTAGCGTGGAGGAGACAGGCGTGACCGGCCCAGCTTTCATAGCCTGACCCTCACAACACAGCTTTGCACCTCGGCCTCAGCAGGGACGCTCCTCTGGAGTGCATTTAAGCAGTGAATTCGACGTGCTGTTGTGCGGCCACTGGCGAAGCAGGCAAAGTACTGAATTAAACTACCTCGTGGTGTGTGTGGGTGACACACACTCTGTGTGGGTGTGCACTCAGTGTGTGGCTGAGGATGGAGTCCGTGAGTTTGATGGGTAGCCCAGGACCCCCGCCTCCCTTCCCTCAGAGCCCCCTGCTGCGGGACCAGCCCAGCGGGCAAGCATGAGCAGCAGCCCTGTGCAGGCTCCCCGCCCCGCGTGGCCCGTTCTGAGCTGGTCCTCTTTACCGGGAAGTTTGGGACTAAGCTACCCATCACCCCGAGTTCCCCACAAGATAGCAGAGCTGAGATGTGGGGGCACAGTATGTTGCCTCCGAGCCTAGGGGCGTGGGAAGGGCTGGGTCCACCCACCATTTCCCACCACTACCCTGAGTCCTCCCAAGTGGCAGAGCTGAGATGTGGGGGCCTAGCATGTCCCCCCACACCAAGCCCAAGGGTGAGGGAAGGGCTGGAAATGCCCAGTATTTCACTGAAGCACCTGCTGAAGCCACCTGCCTGTTCTCATGGTCATATGCTCTTGGCAGAACTGGACCTCAGCCCAGGCTGTCCTTTTCCCCCACCCTCCTTTGCTTGCTCCACTATCAGGTGGCCTTGAACTGAAACCCATGTACAAATAAAGGTTTATTCCCCCCGGTGTGCACGCGGGAAGCTGATTCCTCTGAGTTGCGTCCCACCCTAGCGAGCAGCAGAGCTGCCGTCCGTGGTGGCCTGCCCTTGATCTTGTCTGTGACCGAGCTGCTGGGTGCTAACGGGCAGTAACGGTATTGTTTAGTCTCTGCCCGTGGAAAGTCTGGTGAAGGAGGGTCAGAGCCCCTGGCTTTCATTGTGCCCTTTCTAGATGGTTCTCCGTCATCCACACCCTGTGAGCTCCAGCGCAAACCCCAAAGCCCCAGCCAGGGCAGCTGTTATGGGTGGTAGGGCAGTCCCTGAGGGTGAGCCACCAGGAAACCGCCCTCTTCCTTTGGGCCTTCTTGTGGCGAGAGGGATAAGTCTCCTGCCACCGTTGGGGCCACCTCTGCCCTGCCCACAAGCCTGTGTCCCCCTGCCCCTGCCCCATCCCGTGTGCCAGGCTTGGCCCAACTGCATCCCAAGGGCCCCTTGTTGTGAAAGACTGAGGAAGGCAACAGGAGGCACTACAACGCCTTTATCAGATACAACTTGGATAAGATGCATCACCTTCTGGTAGGCGCTACTGTGCACGGAGGATGGTGGGCATCTGCTCACACCCCCTAGGTCAGGGTCCGGCTCTGGCTTTATGCGGGTGGTGTCGAAGACCTCTCCGTGCGCGTGGCCATGCCTCCTGCACCTGTAGGTGACCCTGGGCTTGCCACTGCCCGCACAGGCCAGCTGACAGAGGTATGTGCTGGGGTCTGTGTGATGGATGTGGAAGAGAGGAAGGTGTGCAGAGTATCATTCCTTTGCAGGCAAGGCCGCAAGGAATGTCCCGCTGTGTGGCAAGGCCCGGCGGATGTCTGAATGCAGCTCTGCCTCCCTTTGCATGGACACCGGACAACCCCACTGAGATTTCTGTAATCTATTTAGGCATTGTCTGCCTCTGCGGAGTTACTGTTAAATATCAGTGGGAGCTTAGAAGCTGATGTTGCTGTTGCTGTTTTTTAGCCAAAAAGCTGTTATTGCTGTTATGGCTGCATCCTGTGGCAATATGCTAATCAAGGGTGCTAACCCCCCCTTTTGAGCCTATGCTAATCAAGGGTGTTCTGTCTTCAGGTGTAGTGGGAATCTATTCTTTTCCTCTTTCTTTGATCTTTTAGGTCCCTTCCTTCCTTGACTGTCTCAAGACCAAACTGTAGAATGAGAATTGTGGTAGGAATGTGTTACTGATTGATATGCACCATCTATTGAAAACTTTTTCCCAGCCTTAGGTGAAACAAATGGCAGAGTTATCTTTAGAAACACCCACTTGACCATGACGTAAAAAGTCTGAGCCAGAGTTTGACTGATTTTGTATAAATAAAGTGGACAGCTTTTGTGTGTCGTCCATTATGATGATGAAGTCCTAGTGGTCCGTCTCTTTCTTTTTTTTTTTTTTAATTATATGACACAGTTTTATATGTACTGGGATTCTCACCACCCCTCCCAAAACCCTCCCCCCCATGGTAGATTCCTCCACCATGTTGCGCGACTCAGTTCAAGTTCAGTTGAGATTCCTTCATTGCTAGCATATACCAAGCATTGTGATCCTCATATTATTGCCCAGATAAGTTCAACAGCTTTTTGGAGAGACCTTCTCTGGTCTGAAGGTAGAGCCAACAGAGTAAACCCAATCAATCAAAAGCCCCAACATTGACATTTCCCCATATAAGGTACATAACCGTTATAGGAGGGGTGAGCAGAGAAATGTTCAGCATCTTGGTGAGGTGTCCTTGTTCTGTGTCCTACCTAGCAAAGCATGTTTGAGTCTATACTGACCAAGCTTTCCTTGCTGTTCCTGTCTATTCAAATGTGTGTGTGTGTGTGTGTGTGTTTGGAGGGGGGCTCTGAGCAACCCTGACAGTCATTGCATAGAGGGTGGAGACCCAACGTTGGAACTAAGTAAGGACAAGAGAAAGTTTCTTTCCTTAGTCCTGAAGGGAGTTTACTGTTCTTTTGATTCCGAGGACCACTCTGGGTTCCTGGCTGTTGTTCCGACGTCCTTGGATCCCCTGAGGAAGATTTCGGGCTTCTTTCATCCCGTGTAGTAGATCCAGTTCGGGAGGGATGCCCTCTGAGTTCGCAGGCTCCGAAGGTGTTCCAGTTTCCCGTGGTCTCTTTGGTAGTTGGGATGCAGTCCTTGGTGCCCGTATTGATAGTCCTTGGTGGGGTTTATGGAGTCTGCAGGTGTGGGATACAGGCCTCTTCCTGTCCTCCTGCTCCACTCTGGGGTCAATCCTTGCTCTGTGCATATGTCGTCCTGTTGGTAGGTTGTCAGGATTGCTCTTAGTTCCCCCTGTATGTCTTTGTAGTTTAAATGTTGTCTAATGTTGTTTTGAGCCTATTACCAATAAGTTACCTTTCATTTTCCTGGTAGGTTAACCTCTCTGTCTTCCTCACACTTTCTAAGGCTATGGAAGATTTCTTTGCTCTCTGCCCCATTCTTGATGAACACAAGGTTTTGAAACTGTAAAAGGTTTTAAAATTGATCAATACACTTGGGTTGGGACAGTATTATTCACAAGTTTTATCTGAGGAAGATTTACTGTCCTTGGGAATCTTTACGATTAATTCACGTCCCTGAAACACTGTAGGTTCAGCTAGGAGCTGTCTAACCATCATATCTACTAATGAAAATCCTAGAGTTCCCTGGCCGGGCGGCCAGCAAGCAAAGCCTAACGCCAGATGGCGCACTGGCCGGCTGCAGCTGCAGCTCATGTGTGATGGGCATGGGGCGGCCGTCCCATCCAGCGTCCTCTGCGTCCAGGCCCGCTCGCGAAGGTTTAGGTCGCTGGGAGTCCAGCGACCGTCTCTTTCTTTCTTTGCACCCCATCCACACACCCTTCGCGAGTTCCGAACTCAGCTGGAGCTGGACTCCGGCAAGTGGCCCCTGAACAGGGACTCGACGAAGGTAAGTCTTTTCTTTCTCTTTGCAGCGTGGATAGGACTTCACCCAGGGTGCCGCAGGCCCCCTGACAGAAGGTCAGGTTAGGAGGGGTGAATAGTCAGAACGTATATTGAGAAGTTGTGTACCCTCTGTGCTTACAAATGGGCCAGAGTGATTCTAGTGAAAGAAGTTTATATGCTGATATTATTAAACATACCTTACATAGGAAGGGCATTAAAACTAGCAAGAAGCAATTACTAGAATTTTTACAATTTGTACAAAAAGTTAGTCCGTGGTTTATTGAGCAGGGCACTTTAGAATTAAACACATGGGACCAGGTAGGGAATGATATGAAAAGGTGGTGTCGGAGTAATGGATGAGTGGGCATGCCATGCCATCCTCTGCATATGCCATTTGGAACGTTTTACAGCAGGCACTAGATGTGGGACCTGAGCCTTATCCCACGCCTTCAGCTCAGCAGGGAGAACATACTCCCCTTCTTGATCCTGAGAAGGGAGGCTTAGGCCTTAGCTATAGCTCAATGGAAAGTGTCTGTCCTGAAGATAATGTAAAATATTGTCAAACTGATCAGGAAGGTTTAACAGATGAGGAAGAGGATTTTTTTAAACCAGAAATATTTAGATCAGGAGTTAGGGATTGTGAAAAGGGGCAAATGGCTGAGTTACATGATAATAGGTCTCTTGCTGTTGATGATAAGCCTTCAAGGTATTCTGCTAAGCCTTGTGAGCCCCTTCCAGCAAGACCAGATCCAGCAAAGATTGGCTTTAGGGGGGCAATACAGCAGGCACAGAAGTAAGGTGATTTTTTTCTGTTTTCCTGTTGTCTGTGAATGGGATGAACCTGAATGGGAACCGTTGCCTCATAAGCTTATTAAAGAACTAAAGCATGCTGTCTCTGGCTGCGGGCCAAACTCCCCGTACAGTATGACAATGGTGGAGGGACTAGCAGCAAAGTGGATGATGACACCTTATGATTGGTTTCAGGGTTGCTAAGGCTTGCCTCGCAGGAGGAAACTTCCTTTTGTGGAAAATGGAATATGAGGAATTAGTTAAGGCAGAGGTGAAGTCTCGGAGATCTGTGAGGTGCGGCAAACTTTCTTTTACCTTAGACATGCTTTTAGGCCAGGGCACTCATCTTGGCGTTGCAGAACAATTCACTCTGCCTAAGGAGACATTACAACTTATCTCCTCCCTGGCATTAGGAGCATGGAAATGCCTGCCATCTCCAGATCAAAAGTCTCCAGGTTTTGTAAATGCTAAGCAGAAGGCTGAGGAGCCTTTTGAAGACAGCTACAGATCTCATAGTTAAACAGCTAGCTTTTGAGAATGCTACTCCAACTTGCCAGACCTTAATTCAGCCAGTGAGAAGGAGAGGAGATTTGTCAGACTATGTTCGAGCTTGTGCTGAGGTAACTCCATCTTGCATGCAAGGGTTAACTATTGCTGCAGCTCTTCAAGGTCAAACTGCTACTCAGATTTTAAAGAACATAAGAGGCAATCGAAGAAATAGAAAAAGAAACAATTGCTATTCCTGTGGTGAAGTAGGGCATTTCAGCCACAGCTGTCCTGCCAGAAACTCATCCCAAAATTTCAAACAGGAAAAAACTTATATGGACACTCCTAAACCCAGTTTAAGTATTCCTCGCACTGTCTGTTCACGGTGTGAGAAGGGATTTCATTGGCAAAAGGCTTGTCAGTCTGAATTCCACAAGAATGGGACAGTTCTATTGCCTCGCAGTCTATCTAAATTGAGTAAACAGTCTGTACAGGGTGAGATGCAGGGAAACGAGAGATGGGCCCTGTCCTGGGTCCCCCAAGTAATGAGGACATGTATGGATATTGTCTCTGAAAGGTACAAAACTAAAATGATGAGTGCTGCATTAAGCAATGGTTTAAAGCAAAATAGATCTAAATGTCATAATTGTGGCAAAATGGGACATATGTGGAAAGATTGTAGGAAACGAAATACCCAAAAATTTGGTGAATGGGTTATGGGCTATCTAAAGGCCTGTGGCAACAGTGGGACTTTCAAACATCCTACTCACCTTGCAAGGTTTCAAACCACTGCTATTCAGAAGCAAATGAATGCTAAGTGTTCTAACTGTGGGAAACCCAGCCACCTTCCAAAACAATGCCAAGCAACACCTCCTTTAGCTCAAAAATGTGGCACTAATACTGTTAAGGATCAATGCCCTAAGATAAATTCTAAATGTCACAGAGGTGTACATTGGGCAAAAGTATGTAAATGTAAATCTAAAATTGATCATGATGGCCAGCGCCTGTTGTCAGGAAACTCCTGGTGGGGCCAGTCTCAGGCCTTGAACAATCAGGGGTTTAAAAGACAGCAATATTTTACCCAAGCTGTGCCTATAGAAGAGTAACAGACTTAAAGTCTGATATTGATTATGGAAATGCTAATTAAAAGTTGGTATCTTCCTTGGCAATTAATTATACTACCTACTGTTCATACCCCAACTGGATGTTTGTGACAACAAGGGTCTTTAGAGTGGCTGCATCTCCTTTCTATGTATAAAAAGGTTATTACTCCTTATTGTGCTTTGGTCCCCACCTTAATTACTAAGAGATATCATAGGAATAGGAGCCTTTTTGCAAAGATGTAAATGAAATAATTATTCCTTATAGCTCTTAACAGCTTAGTTATCTAATATCCAAGGATGAGACATGACAAATAGCATTCTTAACCCTTGTGGGTACAATTTCACACCATTTAACTATAAATCTCCTTGTTAAAAGTCATCCGGTTATATTTCAAAAGATTTGTTCCTTAATTTCTTTGTTTTTAACCCTTTTTTGTTTCCTTAACCTGCTTCTTTCGTCTTTACAGATGGGTCTTCTAACAAAATAGTTTCTCTAATCATAGATTTTGAAAATATCCGTACTGACCAATGGAAAGAACCCAATTTCCTCTTAAAATTTGGAGGAGGGAATGCTTTCATTTTTCCACAGGTCATGGACTTGCTGATGTGGATTCCTGATCGACTGATTAGACATCCTTGTCCAGTTTACATTTCCACCCACTTGCCATTTCGCAGTGGCAAGCAGCCTCTACAGAAGTTCCTCCCTCTTCCCAGCAACTTCAGGGTTAAACTCTCTTCTCTCCAGCAGGTACAATCACTCCCTGACCTCCTCCCCCTCCTCTCTGTTAGGATACTCAGCACACAGGTGCAGTTTCTCCAGGACCTTTCACTTTTTTTTCCTTTGTCAAGCCTCCCACCTCCAACCTTTTTTAGCCAAAAGCGGCAGGGTAGGAGATAAACTAAGCTGGGTCCACAGAAAAATATCTAGTATCTTGTACTTTATAAACAATGTTGGTACAAAATTAACATATCTTTTAACTCTATTAAATTTTTATCTTGAATTTTGAATCTTACAAATGTAACTCTTAAGGTCTTGTTTAAGGCATACCTTTATAAATGATGCATTGACACCAAACATAAATTGATATAAAAGTAACATCTAATCCATTGTTAAATTTTTCCAGGTATGGGAATCACCCATGTGCTTTTATCTGCTAGTTGTTATATTTAGATATATCGTCTTTAAAGTACTGTTTGCAGCGTTTTCTCAAATGTTCATCATTGCTTCATGGAATTGAAATCTGATCCTCTGTTATTACAACAAAGCTTTGAAAGCACATATTATAACATCTCCTGTTAATTGTTTTTTTAATCTAATTAATGATTAAATCCTTCTAGTTGGCTCCAGTGAACTCCAGACCTGGCTTGGTTGAAGTGTCTCAGCATATAAGATTCTATGTTGAAGTGATCTTTGTGTTTTCTGCCTTTCAGTATGTTCACTGCGCTTCAGATTGATAAAAGTTATGTACTTATTTTATAGGTATTTAAAATGATCACTTAATGCCAATAATTACATCTCATCTATATTGTGTTATATAAAGAGATTCTATTTCAACTAGATGTTATAAATCTTGACATCCTTGATATGCATTTTTAAAATTCAGAAGTTTTATTTAGTAGATACAACTGAGTAGGCATTTGGGTTGTATTAAATATACTGTCAGATGCCAAGTGGGGTAAAATTTTATCATCAATATATACTACAAAATTTTTTTTTTTTTACAGAAGTCTAATTCAAATGTCTGTATTTCAATTTGAATTCAATTTCAATTCATTTGAATTTCTAATTCAAATGTCTGCTGGAGCTGGACTCCGGCAGGTATGACTGTTCCCTTTGCTGGCAGGCCAAGATTTCAGCAGGAATGGGTGTGGACAGACATGAAGAGTCTGACTTGCCATGCTCTTTGCATACACTCATGAAATGCCTCATTAAATCATCTCAGGGGAAGCAGGTTAAGTTGCCGTCTGGCATCCCGTACAGGCACTGGTTCAAGTCCACGCTGCTCTGCTTCCTGTCTAGCTCCCTACTGCTGAGGCTGGGAAAGCAGTGGACGGCCCAGGCAGCTTGGCCCCTGGAGCAACCTAGGAGGAGGGTCAGTGCTTTTAGCTTTGACTTGGTCCAGCTCTGCCTTTTGCAGCCATCTAGGGAGTGAACGAACAAGAGGGCCCGGCGAACAAGTAGAAGAAGGCCCGGCAGCGTGGCTCAGTGGCTAACGTTCTCGCCTTGACCGCGTCAGGATCCCGGTTCTAATCCCGGCAGCTCCACTTCCCACCCAGCTCCCTGCTTGTGTGGCCTGGGAAAGGAAAGCAGCCGAGGACGTTGGGACCCTGCACCTATGCGGGATATCCGGGAACAATTGCCTGTGTAACTATCTGTAAATAAATAGATATCATTAAAAATATATGTCTAGTCTTGGGGGTCCCTGAAAACAGGGACATCTTCCCCCCAGAACATGGGGGGAAACAGGGCCCCTGGGGACACTGTCTCCCTGTTCCCCCATCCCTTGCCAACAGCGACCTTGCATGGACGACAACTGGCTGACCATCCTGACCACCCTTTGCGGGCATCATGGAGCATGCATGTACTTCCTCCTTATGGATGTTCGAGGTCCTCCATCCACCTTTTATCCTTTTATTTGCTATTATATATTGAATGCCTCGGTTAGAAGAAGATAGGCAGTGTTATTATCAGATAAAATGACATCTCCAAGAATTTCACCTGCAAGAAAAACTTGAACAGATGCACTGGGGGGGGCATGTGCAGAAGATGTTCCTTACAACATTAGTTGTAGTAATGATAGTTTGAAGAAGATTTAAGTATTTGTTAAAGGGAATGCTTAGCTAATGTGTAGAATGTTCAGATGGGGGCACTAACCAGGTAAAACAGACGGGATCTACATATGTTAACATGAATGTAGTTCAAAACCATAGAGTCATGAAAGTTGTAGAATAATATGTCAGCGTGACATATCTTTAAAAAAAGCATTTGAATTTTTTTTTAAATATGGAGTGCTTCACGAATTTGCAAGCCATCCTTGCGCAGGGGCCATGCTAATCTTTTTTTTTTTTTAAAGATTTATTTTATTTTTATTGGAAAGGCAGATATACAGAGAGGAGAGACAGAGAGGAAGATCTTCCGTCCGATGATTCACTCCCCAAGTGAGCGCAACGGCCGATGCTATGCCAATCCGAAGCCAGGAGCCTCTTCCAGGTCTCCCGCGCGGGTGCAGGGTCCGAAAGCCTTGGGCCCACACGGAGGGGCCTATCGGGGGCTGCAGCCGCGGAATTCCTGCTGGGGTCATTGGGGCAGCTACACGCCTGCAGGTGGCATGAACTGCTCTGGGCACTGGGAAGGCCCTCAGCTGCCAACAGCACCATGGCAGTGTGCTGCTTGAGATTCCTGCCACCCTGTATGTGTCTGGGTGCTTTGCCCAGCCCCAGCCCCACGCCCAATTCCAGTTTCCTGCTCATGGGAGGCAGCCCTAGGATGTGGCAGGTGGCGGCTTGACTAGCCCAGTCCCTGTCACCCACCTGAGACACGCAGTCTCCTAGCTCGGCCCGGTCCGAGTCTGGGCAAGGAAACCAGTGTGTGTAGGAATGTTCCCTTTCCATCTCTCCCTGTTTGCGCACTTTCAAGAGGCACTGCCCTAGTGAGGTTAGACCCCAGGCAGTGTGCCAGTGTAGTCCCCTAGAGGCCCGGCCGCCTCACACCCCCTGCAGGAACCCTGGCTGGCACCCCAGTGCCTCCCAGTACCCACAAGAACCAGGGAAAAGCATTCCAAACACCATGTGCCGAGAGGCCTGGCACGAGCCTGGGGCAGGAGGCTTCAATTGCACCAGAAGAGAACATCCCTTGGGCACCGGTGTCACCCTCCAGAGGCCTAGTCCTGACGGAAGCCGAGCCAGATCAGCAGCCGCTCCAGCAAGGTGATGGCGCGGGACAGCCAACCATCGCTGCCAAGGGAGGAGACAGATCAGCCCCCAGCAGCCTCCCCACCCACCAGGCAAACCCAGCACTGGCCAGGCCTGGGCAGCAGGCAGCCTCCATGCCCTGGGTCCTGCCCCTCCCAGCGTGCTCCAGGGTGGGGCTGGGTCCCTAACCGAACCTGCTCCTGGGGATGCAGATCCCAGGCCTAGGGAAACACCCAAAGTAGCTGGGCCAGGACCTCGCCTTGCAAGGATGAGTGTTCAACCCCGAAGCCCACCCTGAAATGGCAGGGGACGCTGGCACTTCCTCCTGAACTAGTGCCTCCGCTCTCGGGAGGGTAACAAGGCAAGCACCGCGTGCTGCTCCGAGGAGGGCCCCGGCTGCAACTGGGGGCAGGAAATGCGTGTGGACATGTGCAGGTGCCAGACCACGCCCACTTCTCTGAGGACTTTTGGAAGGAACTAGCCGAGCAGGAAAGTAGTCCCCTTTCTTCTGATGACACACCCCACCCAGGTGAGGTGATCCCATCACACCCTCCTACAACCCCTCCCCCACCCACCGGACCACCAGGGCCCCTGCGGCTGGGATGGGCCCAGGGCAGGTGACAGCCCTTACCTGGGCATCTCACCGCTGGCAGTGTAGCCATCCTTCAGAAGCATATCAAAACCATGCAGACTTGCTGGCAAAGAGAGGAGACACGGTCAGAGCCAGGATGGGTTGGCAATGGTGGCAGAGAGGGTGTCCCATCTCCCTGCCAGCCCAACTCCCCAGCAAGGGAACCAGGTAGACAGCCTGGACAGTGCCCAGAGGGGGCCCATCTCATAGCCCTGCAGACTGAAAGGTGCATGGTCTGCCCACACAGACTTCCAAAACGCAGGACGCAGTCCTGCAGGGGCGTTACACACCCACAGGGGTGCCAGCTCAAGTCGCTGCTGCTCCATTTCCCATCCAGCGCTCTGCTTAAAGCGCGGAAGGCAGAGGACGAAGGCAGAGAGCTTGGGCCCCTGCACCCATGGGGGAGACCCACATGGAACTCTGCTGGCTCAGCTCTGCGCTTGCCGAGTTAGCAGATGATCTGTCTCTACCTTTTGAATAAATTCTTTTTTCCAGTTTGCAAAGCAGGATTTGTTTAGGAAAAAAAGGGGCAAAGGGCTCCTGCTGGCATGAGGGGGCTCCATGTGTCCAGTGGGGGAAAAAGACACCCAGACCTGCCATAGTGGCAGGAGGCGGGAAAGAAAAATCCGAGTTAATGATGGAGATGGTGTCTCTTACGCACCATCTCAGGAGTTACCCAAAGGACAAAATTTTAAATAAATTCTTAAAAAGAAGTTATGGAAAAAATAAAAGATGCCTATTTGGGTGCAGAAAAACTCTCAAGTCCTTGCAGCTTGTTTTCTGGGTGAGTCACGGGGCTCCCAGTTTAGTGGACTCAGGTTTAGGGTCTACTCCACCTGACCCAACCCATAGAGTAGCAGGCGGCCAAGCCCTGGTGTGCACCCCGGTGCTCCTGGTGCGGGATCCCATTCCAGTGACACCAGCCTGGCCCTGGATGCAGCAGGCAGCACGCATCGAGGTCCCCACACAACTTGGGTCCAGAAACTCCTTTAAGCCTTTACCCCTAAGGAAAGGATCAACACTGCCAGGAATCTGCTATCAGAACATTCCAGCAGAAAGCAAGTGAGGTGTTGAAATCTACCCCTCACCGGGGCTGGGGGGGATGGGAGGGGACACACACAACACAACACAACCTAGATGGCGGCACACTCGGGGAAGGGCACCTGCCTGTCATGGTCTCCCTCCTACATGAAGTCCTCCCACCTCCATAGCTTAACGCAGGCATGCATGACAGGATGGTAGGGAGAGATGCCCCATCCTCCGGGCCATGGTCTTCCTCCACATGCCACACACTTACCAGTCTGGTTCTACAGATGCAACAGGCAAAGGATCTCCACAGCCACAGACTGGGTGGCCGTGCTGGGTCAGGATGCACTTCCCTGTCACCTGCCAGGGTGTCACAATGGGACTTTGCCCAGGCGATGAGCTGCTCCCTATTATCTACAACTGGCTAAAATGCAAGATTTCTGACAGTTACATGCCATGACTCGCATCACCTCGTTAAGTCCTCACGCATGCTGCTTAGGTAAGAACTCCTACTTCCATTTTACTTCAGATGCAGAGGGGGTTAACAAGGTAAGGTGCAGGAAATGGGGGGTGGGCATACGCCAGCGTGGCTCCAGATGACAAAGCAGGGGGATATCCAGGGCCAGGGCTCTCTGTGGAAGCTCCCCACCTTGCCCCAGCCATGCAGCCCTGGCAGCTCAGGCCCCATGGTGAGGAGCAGCTATGCCCAAGCAGACCCATCCTAGCACCCAGAGGCAAGAGCCACTGGGTCAGGAGGGTTCGGGAGGCAGCCGTCACATGCAGGATGTGTGAGTCGGATCCTGCTAGGATGCTAAAGAACTCAGCATCCCTACAGCCAGCCAAAGCCCAGCTCCCCAGAGGGTGTGCGCAGAACTCAGAACAAGTGCCTGTCCCTCCGTGGGATGTTGTGAACATGGAGTCTTAGCACCCTGCCCCCAGCAGAGGCCTCCAGGAGGGAGGGCAGGAAATGCAAAATCCTTGTTTACCCTTTGGAGTCCCGAGGAGGTGGGCCAGAGGTGGGCTGCGGGAGGTGACCCCACAGCAGGAGCCCTCCCTGGCTCCCGGCCTCTTCTCTGAGCAGGTGCTATAACCCCCCAAGTCCAAGCGCTGGCTGTAGCTGCTACAGGAGGAGAAGCTGCCAGGCAGGCCCCTAAGTGGGTCAGAGCCCCTGGACCAGGTCAAGACGCCTCAGAAGAAATGTGACCCATGACCCAGTGCCCTGTTTGAACCTGCACCCTTCCACTTGGATGCACCCAGAAGAGCTTTCAGGGGAGGATGCCGTCTGCCCAGCGCGGCCCTGCCGGCTGTCCCAGCCGAGAAGGGTCTGCAAGGAGAAGCACCAAACCAAATGACACCTTGGTTAACTCTTTTAATTATGTGGTTGTAATTATACAATTTGCACTGTTCAACATTTTATATAAAACCGGTAACAATACACAAGAATTCCAAATGCAACAATACGTATCAAACTCCATAGAACTGCAAAGATTCCAGCCGCTGTGACGCTTAGTCTTAAAAATACCTCCAGGAGAAGGGACATCACATAGCCAGGTCTGTCTCCGTTTTATAAAAGCAGGATTAGAAATATACATTTTAATACAAAAAAAACCTGAAAGGATCAAATATGGATTACTCAGTTACATTCTAAAACTTGTAAGAATCTGTACACGAGTGCACATGAGGGAGACGTCTGCAAAGAAGTCCTATAAAACGTCGGCACTCCCGTCAGAGGACCGCACTGCTGACGGCGAGGACCGAACCGGATGGTTAAGGAGCTGATTCCCCACACACTACGGGCCATTGTCGTGTTTCCGCCGGCAGGCAGCAGGGGGGGCTCGCGAGCAAGGGGCGCACAGTGGAAGATAATTAAACGCGAACTTTTCCTAAGGGTGGCTGTTCGCGATGGGCACTGCTTTTCAAAATCCAACTACTGTTTCTTAAAAAAAAAGAAAAAAATGCACAAGAGAATAAGTGGTGGCACTGTTTCTAGAATAAACAGCAGCAGAGTGCATCACACGTTTGTCGAAACTCGCGACCCAGGTCAAGGGCAGGTTCCAACTGGGGACTCTGTACACGTTTGTCCGGGTTCAAGTAGAGGTAGATGCACCCCCCACTCCCTACAACCTGCTGGGGAGAGGGGTGGGGAGGCAGTGGGGGAAGTGGGGTGGGGAGGCAGTGGGGGAGAGGGGTGGGGAGGCAGTGGGGGAGAGGGGGGGGGAGGCAGTGGGGGAGAGGGGTGGGGAGGCAGTGGGGGAGAGGGGTGGGGAGGCAGTGGGGGAGAGGGGTGGGGAGGCAGTGGGGAAGTGGGGTGGGGAGGCAGTGGGGGAGAGGGGTGGGGAGGCAGTGGGGGAGAGGGGTGGGGAGGCAGTGGGGGAGAGGGGTGGGGAGGCAGTGGGGGAGAGGGGTGGGGAGGCAGTGGGGGAGAGGGGTGGGGAGGCAGTGGGGGAGAGGGGTGGGGAGGCAGTGGGGGAGAGGGGTGGGGAGGCAGTGGGGAAGTGGGGTGGGGAGGCAGTGGGGAAGTGGGGTGGGGAGGCAGTGGGGGAGAGGGGTGGGGAGGCAGTGGGGAAGTGGGGTGGGGAGGCAGTGGGGAAGTGGGGTGGGGAGGCAGTGGGGGAGAGGGGTGGGGAGGCAGTGGGGGAGTGGGGTGGGGAGGCAGTGGGGGAGAGGGGTGGGGAGGCAGTGGGGGAGAGGGGTGGGGAGGCAGTGGGGGAGAGGGGTGGGGAGGCAGTGGGGGAAGTGGGGTGGGGAGGCAGTGGGGGAAGTGGGGTGGGGCTGGCTGGAAACTTCTGGGAACTGGACAAGCAGAGAAGGAGGGGGCACTGCGTAAGGAAGGCTCCCTGCCAGAGGAGGGCCTGAGGCCCACCACACTGCAGGACAGCATGAAGCCCAGCTCCACGGACACTCCTCCCCTGGAATGGCCCTGCCTCGGTGGCCTGAGTCCCCCAGACGCTGCTCAAGTAGCCCCGGGAAAGCTAGGACATGACCATGACCTCAAGGGCCAGGATCCCTCCTGCCATTCACGGTGCCCGGAGATGTGACGTCATTGGGAGGCTTTCCCAGTGGGTGCCATGGGGACTGCAATGCTAGCCGGGAACTCGAGCAGCCAACACAGAAGGTAAACCCTCCACCCCAACACACACACACACACACACACAGTGCTATGGAGAACAGTAAAGCTCCCAGGTCCCACTCGTGGCCAAGACCCCGAGTGGCCTATGGATTGCTTCTGACGGATACAAAGGCAATGGTCTGGGGGTGGGGAGCTTGGCTTTCCTTGTCCCCTGGAGCACGTGGGCAGAGGACGGCCCCAACGGGAGCTAAGGAAAGGAAGCGGACCCTGAGATTTCTATGTATTATGCTCACTACAGCCTGCAACTCAGCGCTGCCTCTTGGCACAGCTCTGGCGAGGGGAAGGTTCCTTCCTCCCACCCAAACTGGTTCCAAATGACGCAGAGCCACGGCAGATCTGTGACCTGGGGGGCGAATGCCAAGAGCTGGCACCACCTCACTGACACAGTGCCTGGCGGGGGGTGGGGGGAGGGCCACATACCAGGCTGACCCTGGTCTCTGCCAGGCAACACTGCCTGGCATCACATCAGCAGCCTCTAACCTGTCCATCCCACTCAGCTTGAGCAACGGACCGGCCCGCGAGGCCTGCACGGTCATCGGGTCATCATCCCACATTCCCCACACCCGGGCAGGCCACGGCTGCATTACACAACTAAATCAACCATTGCCCCTTAGCATGGAAGCAACCGGACATGGCGGCACAGCCTTCCTGTAGTAGGGACCCCGGCTTTTTTTTTTTTTCCTTAGCAGCAAATAAACTGGGAGTTGTGCGATTGCTTTGTCACAGCCCTGCTGCGTCCCAGGGGGCTGCGCGCAGAAGGCACTCTGCATGGTGGGGTTCCCCGACCCAAGGCAACAGTGAGATCTCTTCCCACCAAAGGCTGTGCGGCCGGCTGCAGCCAGCTCACAGGAGGCGAACATCCCACGGCGTCAGAGAGAACGACGAAACCGCAAGGCAGGAACAGTTCTGTCCGAAGCCACGACTGTCCGGGATCACCGTTTCCAGCAGGGAAACGCAAGGGCGGGCGCGGAGAGACGCGGTGTGAGAGGCGGCCCTGCCGGGCGCCGCTGTCCGGCTTGTCTCCCGAGTTGCTGATGGAAGGCGCTTGCTCACCCGCTCTCCGGAGCAGAAGCCGACCCGGACGCCAGGACACGCGTGCTGGCTTCCACAGACGGGGTAATAAAGCACTTTGGTGGAAGACGAGCAGCTTGGGGCATTTCACGGAGTTAATGTCCCCACTGTGCGACAGATGCACGAATGTGAAATTGTCATCACATTCGAGAAGCATCGCCGGGGGCCTCCGGTCTCCCCCAGGCCGGGGGCCTGCCTGATTGCCATCGCAGGACACACACACACACACACACTCACACGCACGCACGCACGCACCCACGCACACTGCACGGGTGGGCGGCAGCAGGGGACGCTCTGTACCCCAGAGGGCCCACGTATTTACACCTGAGACTGAATTCACAACAGCTTTTCTGCAGTTCCACGTGAGCTGAGGCTACAGAGCTGGGCGCTTCTTCAAAGCGCCCGCTCACCAGCCCAACTCAGCAAGTCACGAGTTCGATTCCAGCTCCAGCGGCCGCTGTCTTCACTGAGATCAACTTCTTAGGTGGAAAGTGCCTACGGCTGCTGGAACTGTTTTCATCACGGAGGAGCTGTGCCAAGTCTGGTCACGGCTTGCTGCTCCCACAGCCGTCCTCCTTACTTTAGCGCAAGACTGTTTTAGTCCTTGAAATGGAGGGACTGAAGGAGAAAGGAAAGGAAAAAAAAAAAAAAGGAAAGAATTTTACCATGAAGGTTCTGGAATGTTCCAGAGGTGGTCACCCGAGACAGGGAAGGCAACATAATAAAAAATACCAACATGCTTTTAGAAAACCTACAACCGTGTGTAACCGTTCCAGGACAAACATGTCGGAGGAGACAGAGAAATGTCCACAATCAAAGTAAAGACATGGAAAGGAGAGGCAGCGCGGAAAAAGGGCTCAGGTCTGCAAAGCCGATCAATCAATAAATCAAACGAACAGAACAAGGAAAAGTGCAGGGGAACGGATGGGCAGCAGGACAGTGAGGTACCAGCATGCCGCCACGGGCGCTTGTCGCAAAGCACTCCTTTTCCTTCTGTCCCTCTGCGGAACCAGGCTGTGGGAAGAGTGGAAAGAACAAGCCGATAAACAAGTGCGTCACTGGCCGAGTCCAGAAGCTAGACGCCGCTCAAAAAAAAAAAAAAAAAAAAAGAAAGAAAAGAAAAAAGGGCGTTTTCCTGCTCTGCTGAGCGGGCCCGTCTGCAGGGTCACGGCCCAAATGGGGACCACCGAGCAGCCAGCCAGGCCTCCCTCCCACCCTGCTTTAGGATGTCACACTTCCAGAAGCAAAGGGGTGACGGGAGAGGCCCTCGGTGGCTGCAGCATCCGAGAAGGTCGCCTCAGAGGTCCCGCCCCCTCCACCAGCCCTGAGGGAGGCCAAGTCAGCGCGCTGGAGGCAGATAGCTGGAATTTCATAAGGGACATTAATTTTTCGCAAGATCAGCGAGAAGCAGCATGTATAAAACGTCTATTCAGAGAAGAGAACATTCTGGGACTCCCACACTGATGTGCGTTTGCAGTTGGCGGGCAGGAAGAAACAAGATGAAGGCCCACGGGGCAGGCGCTGTGAGCTGGACTCGAACTACCCGTGCAGCCAGCACACGTGACGTGGGGAGGTGGTGAGAGTCGTAAAGACCAGCTCAGCCCAAGAATCGAGGCAGCCGGGATCGGAGGCCAAGGGGAGACCCTGAGCAGCCCCCTCTGCCCCCAACAGCAGGAAGAACAGGATAAGGATGGGCCCTGGCTTTTGGCACCTGCCATGGAGATGTGACTCAGAATGTGAAGTCACTTCCTTAGAAAAACGGATGAAGTTATGAAAAAAAAAAAAAAAAAAGACTGCCCCCCCCCCCAAGAAACGCATCCCCCCACACGTGCGAAGACAGCAGGGAGGCAGCCGGCTGCTCTCTGGACGCGCTGACGTTTCAAAGAGAAACCTGCAAGAGGATGCAGAGGGCAGAGCGGGCACAGCACCTCTGCCACGTCCCAGTCACGCAGCAGCTCAGCTCACAAGGCCGGCGACCACACACAAGAGCGACCACTCTGACACGAGAAGACGCCAAGGACTGCCTCCTCCAACACACACCCGAGTGGGCACTGCCAAAATTCCAGGGAAAACGAAACAAGATTTTCCTTTGGGTCTAGATCCAGGAAGATGTGGCTGGCATCCATTTCCCATGAACTTTTTGAGTGCCAGGGCTTGTTTATTCCTTCACCTCCCCTGCCCCAAGGAGAGTCTTTCGTGTTGGTGCCAGCGTTCTCCAGGGGCGAAGGGCCTCGTAGCAGACCGCCAGAATGCACACAGGAAAGGTCAAGGGCCAAGCTCCTAGGACAGCAACGATGCAAACAGACAACAGATGAGCCTGCACAGACAGGGTCCCCCACACCCAGCAGTGGGCCACCTTGGCGTCCTGGGGGCCTGCAAGGTGTGTTGTTTGGGTCTGCCTTCCCTTTAGTGCTGCTGTTCAAAGACTCCGAGTATGTTACGATGACTCAGCACTGTCACAGCTGCTCCAAGGATGCCGTAGCAACAAGGGAAACTCCCTGGTCGCTCTCAAGCAAGCAAGACGAGTCACACCCAGCAGGGTCAGAGCCGTGCCTCTGGGCTGCACCTGACTCCCGTGGGTTCCTGCATGCACGTGGGGGCAACTTCCTTTCAACATCTGTGGGTGGGGAGCGACCGGAAGAGGTCAGACAGCAAGGTGGCTCAGTCGCCTCGCGTTCTGCCAAGTCTTCGCTCAGGGTCCCATGTGGCATTGCGAGCTGCCTTTTCAAAGGCTTTCGGTATCTCTTCTAACTCTGCCAGGTGCAACGGGCAACCAACCTGATCTAGACCTGTCCAGGGGCCTCAGCAAGCTCACAAACTCACGTGCCAAGGCTGACGTGGGGTCAGATCCTCCGCGGGGAACTGGATACGGCTCGACAAGCCAGATCCAAGTTAGTCAACTCTTCCTCCCTCTAACCTAACAGCATGAGCCCAAAAAGTGCAACGATGCGTGCAAGACGCGGGGCTGTGGAGGAAGGCCGAGCCCGCAGACCTGGGGAGCAAGGGCATTCCCTCGGGGCCTGCCAAACACACTCTCGCAACAGCACGCTCGGCATCTGGAATTTTAGCACTCCTTTCTTTTTTTTTTTTTTTAAGTCCCATTTCTCTCGTTATAGAAAAAGCAGAAAATGAGAAAGCAATCTAGAGGAATTCTGTCCCCAGACATTCCTGCCAGTCAGAAGCACTGCCAGGACCCTGTCATCTTTCGTATTTCTGTAAAGATATTCTCAAGAGGAATGTTTAGGATTCAAGAGCGTATGTGTCTACGATCCGTTCCTGACAAACTGGAAATCCTCAAGTCACGAGGGTCTCCTGCTCACGCAAGTGTCAGCGCGTGGGAAAGTACACCAAAGAATGAGCAAAGGCTGGGGCCGCCCACTGCCTGACACCCACAGAGCATGTGTGACCAGGGTGGCTGTGGTCCGGTGGTGGCCACCTCTGCTGAGAACCAACTCAAGCCTGCCCATGGGGCATCCGGTCCAAGGCAACCAGGACACTAGGCAGGACATGACGAAGCCGGGAGAACTGGGAGGGCATCCCACGTCCGGCTGTGACCCCTTCAGGCCATGTGCTGGGAGAGATCAGCTGGCCCACCGTGCACACACAGGGCAGGGACCCACAACTCCTAAAAGGAGGACTCCTCCTTCCACTGCACACTCCCTCTAGAGGGACCTTCTTTTGGGGTACCTTGAAAGAAAACGTCCACTTGGCTCGTGAAGAGCACTCGTGGTCAGACAGGCAGTCCCTGGTCACTGCTGCCTTCCGGTGGCAGCCGAGGGCCAGTAGGCCAGGAAGGCACTCAACACCCCAGCCAGCATGCCTCCCCCAGAGAGCTGGGGGTTCCTTAAGGGAAACCTCCAACAACGGCACACTCCGGCTGGCCCATGCCATGCCCTGCAGAAACCGGAACGGAGCAGCACACGCTGCAATGCTTTCTCCGACCACGCCGGCCACGGCAAAAATACACTTGATTCAAGTCCTGGTCCCAGGGGCTCTGCTGCCTCCAAGCCGCACGTCGCTCTGCCAGAGGCAGGATCTGGAAAGAGCGACTCCTGGACCGTGTCCCAAGAGCGGGGCCCTTTCTCACCTTTTCAAACTGCTCCTCCTTGAAGCAGACCTGGTGGCTCTGTGAGCAATGCCAGCATTGCCAGGAGCGTCAGGTTCAGACGGTTTACGGCTCTGAACACTGGACTGCAGAATTACTCTGAAAACAGTGGGGAAAAACAGGATTACAGTCACTGAAACACCGTTCACGCAGCAGCCGGGAGAAGCAGGGCTCGTTGGCACTCGGGTGCACATGGGCCTCCTGAAACCCACATTCACACTCAGCACCTGGGGAGGCCCCGGGAGACGCCCAGCGTGCTCTGGCCTTTGCATAGGTCCCCAACGAAGAGAACCAGCAGCCGAGCCGAGCTTGGGGTCCAAAGTAACAGAAGTCTCAGCTTCCCAGTGGTAAGCAACCACACACACACACCACAGAGGAGCTCCAAATACTGCAGAACATTGAGCCTGACCTCACACGTCTACCCCGCATGCGCTTTCAGGGCTGGCCCTCTGGGCGATGAATCAGTATTAATTTTATAAATACTTCAGGAATTTTAAGTATACTCAAGAGTTTTGTCTAGATTACATCTATTTCTTGATTTCCTAGTACCACTAAAGTGAAAGTGAAACCAACAGAATCTGGTTAGATTTGTCTGAAAACGCTCAGCAATGTTAAGGAACGGATCGATGCCAATGGCATGGAATGGCATGGCCGTCAGGACGGACTGCCCGGAGAGCAGCCCGGGGTGCAGGAGAGCCTTAGGGAACACAAGCTCTTCAGGTTTAACTTAGGGAAATCAGAAAAACACGTTTGAGATGCTAGGACGTTCTTGAAGAAATAACAGCCGGAAAACCCAACTACATGCACACATTTACAAATATCAGCTTTGATTTTCTCTAAAAGCTTTCATCTGCCAGACTAAACATAGAAGTGAGAGTAACAACTACTTCATAAAAGTGGAAACTGCAACTGAGCGAGTAGACCTGCCCCGTACGCCCGCATCACCCACGTGTTACTCAACGATCAACTGCAAGTCATCAGCATGCACTGAGGAGTGTGGTGCTAAGGACGCACGCGCAGACACTGCCTCCACGTGGATGCCAGTCTGTGTCCAGTGCTTTCCTGCTCAGGTGCCTGGGAAGGCAATGGAAGCAGCTCTGGGGCCGTGGACGAGGCGGGTTCACTTCTTGGAGTCGCTTGTTCTGAGGGAGACGCTGACGATTCATCTCTGGCTGGCATCTGGGTATGGCCCTCTGCCCAGTGCGAATGCCTGGTGTAATTCCAGCGTCTTCCGAAACCCAAGGCCCTGTGCCTGGCGGCAGTCCCCTCACCCACTCCTTTACCTAGGGGCTCCCTTAGAAATGCTGCCCCCACTTGCAGAGAATCTGAGGCCACTGATGGCTGACAGGCACAGGCAAGTACCACGCCGTAAAGTCAGCTACATAACAGGCTGGCACTGTGATGTTAGGAAGGACCAGCATCCACAAAAGGGCACCAGGTCAGCTCTCAGCTGCTCCACCTCCATTCCAGCTCCCTGCTCAGGCGCCTGGGAGAGCAGGGAGGACAGCCCCAGTGCTTGGGACTGTGCACGGACTTGGAAAATTCACAAGTTCCTGGCTCCAGACTTCAGCCTGGGCCAGTCGTCTCGGCCATTGCAAACATTTGGGGAGTGAACCAATGAATGAAGATCTCTCAGTCTCTGTGTAACTCTGCCTTTTAAATCACTCACACAAGGAAAACACAAGAGACAGTCCATTGCCCATGTGGTGATTCCCAGCTCACCAAATTCAGTAGTACTGGAGTATTTAAATACTTTTTTTTTTTTAAGTTTTGTTTAATTGCAAGGTCAGATATACAGAGAGCAGGAGAAACAGAGAGGAAGATCTATCTGATTCACTGCCCAAGTGGCTGCAATGGTTAGAGCTGAGCTGATCTGAAGCCAGGATCCAGGAGCCTCTTCCAGGTCTCCCACCAGAGTGCAGGAACCCAAGGCTTTGGGCCGTCCTCAACTGCTTTCCCAGGCCACAGGCAGGAAGCTGGATGGGAAGTGGGGCAGCCGGGAGTAGAACTGGCATCCATATGGGATCCTGGAGCACCCAAGGTGAGGACTTCAGCTGCTGGGTTACCATGCTGGGCCCATTTAAATACTTTTCAAGAAAAGAAATTATCACTATATCAAGCAGCCATTCTTAGGTTAGTAGGAAGCATCTTTTAAAAGCTATTTTTTCCTCTAAAAATTAGCACAAATGAACATGAAATAATTTAAATCTCTAATGGCAGATAACCCTGGAACTTTGAGCCTGAGAGAATGACAGAAATTCAGAGTGCATGGATCACACCGGGGAAGGTTCTAGATCTTGTGCTTAGGATAGGCAGCCGTCCGATGTGGGGACTGCATCAACAAAGCCAGTGCACCTAGAAGTGACCAGGGACAGCCCGATGAGATGGACACAGCTGCCCTTCGTGGGGCGTGCTCACCCCTTCGCCCTCCGCGGAGTAACAGCGCCTGAGCGACCCACCCCTGGGTCTTTCCTGAAAGAAATCTTCAGCCCGACGCCTCTGTCGCAGAGACCGAGGGCACACACTCCTCCCTGTGGTATCTTTAGGGACCTACCACCTCAAAATGCCTGCTGCTCAGCAGGGAAGTCACCAGGGCCAATTCTGCACTGTTTATACTGTCCCCAGTGTCAGGGAACAGCTCTCTGAACAATGGGCCTGGGCACCTCACCAACAAGGCCAAAGGGCTGTCATGGTGGAATGTTCCAGGCACGCCAGAAAAGGGCTGGCAACTCCTCAGACAATGCTTCCTCGCCTGCCAGCAGCTGTGAGCAACAACAGTAAGCCAAAGCATCCACCTTAAGCAGTAAGGCTAGGTGCCCGGCACGGTAGCCTAGTGGCTAAAGTCCTCGCCTTGCATGCACTAGGACACCATGTGGGTGCTGGTTCATGTCCTTGCTGTTCCAATTCCCATCCAGCTCCCTGCTTGTGGCCTGGGAAAGCAGTAGAGGATGGCCCAGAGTATTAGGACCCTGCACCCACGTGGGAGACCCTGCACCCATGTGGAAAGAAGCTCCTGGCTCCTGGCTCCGGATCATCTCAGCTCCGACCACTGCGGCCACTTAGGGGGTGAATCATAGGACACAAGATCTTCCTCTCTATCTCTCCTCTCTATATATCTGACTTTCCAATAAAAACAAACAAATCTTTAAAAAGAAAGAAAGAAAAAAAAAAAAAACCCAGTAAGGCCTGTTTGAAACAAAGTAACTTGTGGAGGGAACTCCAAAGATTGCACCTGCTGACATCATGGCACCTGATACAAGCTTTTTGATCCCACATTTTAGAGACTTACAGAAAGGAAACCAGCCTGAGAGAGCATGTTTAAGCTTACACCGGGAGAGGTATCAGAAGCACAGAGTGCATTTCCACACGTTCAGAACTCCCCACACTGCGAACATCTTGGCCACTTGGAACACTGTCAGAAGAACAAAGCCACGCAGCGTGCTTCAGTCAGAATAGGTGAGAACAGTCTTACCGAGAGGAAAAACCGCCTCAGACAAAGCTACATCAGAAACACAGCACTCGTGAACAGGCAGCGACAGGCCTGTATTTCAAATTTAGTCAAGAAAACACCATGCAGGAGAACATATCTGAAGAGGTATCTTGAATTTTGAAGGATGGAATCTGCCTGACTTAAAAATCTTTCTCCGTCCTAGAAAAACACTCAGCAGAGCCACATCATGCCAGAGTTACTGCGACAGAATTTTGACTTTGGAAGAGATCCTGGAAATGAGTGGCTTCCACAGGCCAAGTGGGGGCAAGGGAAGGAACTTTGAACAAGTCCATGCCGCTTCACGGTCACCGTGGTCACTGTGCAGGTGAAAGCTCGCACCAACCACGCTGGTCCGCATCGGCCCAAGACCTGCTTCTGTCGGGGCAAGCAGCAAAGCGGAAGCAGAGGGCGAGCCAAGCCCAAGAGCAGACGGGAAGCGCGCACGCCTGGTCCCTCCCCTTCCCCGCTCACTGGACAGAAGCCTGTGTCACCTGCAGGGCAGCGGGGGAGGACGCGCCCCCACGAAGGGGAGACCTGGCAGAGATGCTGTGGGCGGAGAGCCACGCCAACCTGGGAGGCGGTCTTCACTGGACAGCAGTGTCACGAAAGCAGGTGTTAGGAGCAGATGATGAGTGGGAAAAGCCCTTGGGATGGGCAGACATGCAACTCAGATGTCTGAGTGCCCAAGATCACTGAATGTGAGATGGCAAAGAGGCTCCAGCAGCATCCTTACACACAGACGGCTCACAGCAGGCACAGATTAAAACCACCTTCCCCTCTGTAAAGGGCATGGCGAGGTCTCCCCTCCCACCACCATCCCGTTCTTCGGAAAGAGTCAAGAAAGCTAAGAGAGCCGAGAGTGGCCAGCGCATGCACTGCGAGGAGCACACGGGAGCACCGACAGGGAGCACCGGGAGGGGAAGGGGGCGGGACACTTACACAGCAGCTCGCTGCCACACAGCTCTCATCAGAACTCGGGATGGCTACTGTGCTCTGAAACCATCGAGACACAACAGCAGGATGGGAAGTATGTGGTCACACACAATCCACCAGATGACAACACTACACAGTGCAGAGGTCAGCACCGCTAGGGGGCATCTGGAAAGGGGTGAAGGGGGGAAAGACACGGTTCAAATCGGGAAGCCAAAATCAGCACCGCATACAATACCCCAACAAGCCGCAGGGGAGCACCCCAGCCCTCCAAGGCCTGGGGCAGCTGGGGTGAGGGTGCAGGGGGCAGGAAGTGAGCAGGGGGCTGCTTCCGCGGGGACACAGAGGCTGAGTTCCATCTCTATCTAGGTGGCCACTGCCCCTTCCTCACTTAACCCGACGATTCTGAAATCAGCCCTCAGTGAGTCCAATTCTTCAGAGAACACAGGGCATGCACACAAAGCAAACTCAACCAAACCATGGAGGAAAATGCGACAAAATTCAAACAACGAAGGAAGCACAGAACAACACCCAACCAACCAGGGCACCGCCGGCCAACGAGCAAGGCTGTGGGAATCAGAGCTGCAGGTGTACACGGCCCAGCAGAGCAGGGCTGCTCCCACGTCAGTGCAGGGACACGGCAACGCCTGGAACACACCGAGACCCGCATACGCCACACAACTGAGCCCCATTTCACTTGGCGGCCCTGGGCATCTCCCTCGCCTCTCGTCATTCTTATCACCCTGACTTGGGTGCCGCTCTGAAGAGGAAGAGTGGCAACTCCTTGTGCCCATCGCCCTTCCAGATGGTCAAAGGCCCATCAAGCAGGAAATGACTGCCCTGGCTGACCGGGCTGTCCGTCTGGACGCCCTCAACGTCGCTGCGCTCCTCCACAGCAGACAAGGATTAAGCTAAAGGCCGGACCCAATGGAAAACCTAACCTCATCCAGCAACTCACACACACACACCATCTCGTTCAGAAAATCCAGGTGCCTGGATCTTATTTCTCTGGTAAGGCTCATGGCACTATAATTATTATTTCTAACCGCTGACTCAGACATCCGTCTAGGGGGAACTTTAAGGGATTTTCCAGGGCAATTGCATTTCTTCCCCCCCCCGTAAGATGTAATTCTACTCTCTTTAAGTCATTTTATTTAACAATCAGCATGCAAAAAGACAGGAGCAAGGCGCAACTTAAAAACTACCAGATCAGTTTCTGCAGATAGTAAACTAGCTGGAAAGGCCTGGAAATCATTCTGATGGATCATTCCGAGGATGCTACGCTATCCTCACAGGAGCCAGGATCAGACTGAGAAAATGACTGTTTTACCATTCCCAGCAACGTAAAACTGTCCCCAAATACTGACCTTTTATAAAAGAGAAATGGGGAAAGGCATTGTGGCATTAACAGGTTATGTTGGTACCTGCAATGCACCCAGCCCAGATGGGCGGTTCAAGTCCCACCTCCTCTACTTCCACTCCAGCTCCTTGCTAATGTGCCTCAGAATGCAATGGGAGACTGGACCCATCACCCATGTGGGCCACTCAGATGATGCTCCTGGCTTCAGAAAGGCCCAGCCTGTCCAACGTGACCGTGTGCAGACTGAGCCAGCCTTCTCTCTCTAACTCTACCTTTCCGATAAATAAACTTCCCAAGAGAGGGAGAGAGAACGCAGTAGTTGGGATGTTTTGTGAACTGCAACTTCCTCCTAGTATTTCCGCTGCTTGCGTTTCTCTCCCCTTCCTTCCGAGTATTTTTCTGCCACAAGTCACCACTCTCAAAGCAAGATAACTCGCCCATCGTAACAGCTGAATCAGCACTGGAATACAGGGGAGGTCACAAACCGAGCTTAGATTGAACTGAGATTTAAAATCCCAATTTCCCAGCCACAATTCTTGTGGAACCCTCCCAGGGACCTTTGTTTTTAAAATACCATCAGAGACAGGGTAGGGAAAGATGGGGAACTATGAACTGACCTCCTCTTGGAGGGCCAAAAGAGCTACCAAAAAAGAGCAAAGTGGCAGCTGTTCCATTGAGGACTGGAAAAACAGCAGCCGGGCGACCACTGAGCTGTTGGATGCTAAGAGGCAAGGAATGGGGTTTTGCTGTGACTCACCAAAACCCCCACAGTTAGCCTGGAAAAACGTTGTAATCTGCTTTCTTCTCCAGAAATGTGACTTAAAAATCCATTCGCTGTACATGTGGAGAGGAGGCAGTTTTGAGTTTATTCTCTTGTTTCTTCGGTCACAACTGCAGAAGGGATCCTGGCTGGCTGCTGTTGCATTTTTTTTTTTAACCTGTACCATTTACCTTGACTTGAACATAGGCCCAAAGGACTCTGGTACCCGGGGTGGTGTCCTTTACTCTAGTAAGCGGTAAGGTGGAGTGGACTGAACGAACGCTGACCCTGGCCAAGGCCTACCCACCGTGGCCTTAGGACCTGCTTGCACCTGAGCGACAAGGCTCACTTCTGACTCTGAACCAGCTGGGCCTCCCAAATCCGGGAGGAACAGAATCCTATGTAGGCTTTGCTTGTGATTCTGAAGTTATTAACAATTTGAATCTTGGTTCTATTTTTGTTATTTGCAGTTTCCACACTTAACTAGCTACAAGAGACTTCTTCTAGTCTCCAGTTTCCTGGGAAAGAAGAGCGGATAATCTCAACTCCTCATTTCCGAAGGTATGGGACTAAAAAGAGGGCCTGGCGGAGACTCCCAAAAGCCTGCTGAACTTGACTCTTCGCTAAGCAGAGTCTGCAACCCCCAAATCTAATGCGACTTCTGAAGAGAAGGCAACAAAATACTGACAGCCCAACGGATGGAGGTTCTCCAAGCTCCAACTCCGGGGCACCAGCTCAGCTTTATGGGCTTGCAATTCGAAGGGTGGTCCCTGCTCTCACGGTCTCTATGGCACAGGTGAATGGTCCAGAAATGCAAGGCCTCAGGCCTTCCTCTGGTACTGCAAGGCATAGTGGAGTTTAAGAAGCACAGCTCAGAGCTGGCCGGCTTCCTCTGTCAGGGATGGAAGCCCCCCCCAGGACGATAAGCTGGAGACCACAGTACTTCAAAATGAAAGCACGCAGGCTGGGGGACTTGCATCTCAGTAAAGCGATAGGGCAGGCTCATTTTTCAGCTGATAAATTTTATGTGGCTCCCCAATGCTGCTATAAATATCCAAGAGGCGCTCAGCCAAAAATAGATCCCCCCACCTTTGACTTAAATGAAGTTAAAAACAAAATGGCATTTGGAGTTAGAATTTTCTATTCCACGATGTACTCACACAGAACAAATGACACGCAAGGCACCATTTGTAAGTGTCTGAAGTCAATAATGAGGCCCTTAATTCACATTCATGGCCCTTGATGCAGAAGAGGTGGACTCTCCGTGTTGGGTGTCTTAAGACCCGCAAGGACACAGGTCTTAAGTTACTTCTACTTTGGCACTTCACAGTTTGGGGACACAACCTGTGTCGAGCCACTTCCCACTAAAAGGGAAGCCTGCTCTCTCATCATGTTATGGTCAGGTAGTTACCGCAACACCCGCTGCTCACTGAACAAAATGAGCCATCTTCCTCATCCCTCTGCCCTCTGAACAAGCCGCAAATGTGACTCCTATGTGAAAAGGGAGGCTTCTAGAAGGAAGGGGTCCAGGGGCACCTCCTAGACCCTGACTCTAAGCACTTTGATTTTGGACCTGGCATTATATCAGGTCTGAACTAACACGAACGTATCAAGGAAGCACCTGTGATTACTGCTACCCCCGCCCACGCTGCCACCCCACAGCAGCAGGCCATCCAGTCACGGCTGACTCGACCTGCTGGTATCAAAGCAAATGTCCTGGGGCAGGCTCCTGGCTTAGCAGTTTCGCCTCCACTGAGGATGTCCAGGCTTTATCAGAGTGCCGAATCAACATCTGCCCCTCCGGCTCCCTGCCAGCGGAGACCCCGAGATGCGACGGCTTGGACTGCAGTACCATGGGTCCCCGGCACTCACGCGGGCAGCCTGCATGAAGTTCCTGGCTCCCAAGCTGGTCTGCCCTGGCAGCATTTGGGGTAACAACTCAGTGGGTGGAAATGTTCTCTCCCTTTCAGTCTGCTTTTCAAATGAATTAAAACAAAAAAAACTTTTTTTTAAATATTAAGGGGGGAAAGTATCCCAAATAACCTGGCACATGATAATGAATTTGCAGCCTGTGCTCAAGTCTGCTACACCGATGTTACACCTGCTGTCACTGCCCTGAGTGACAGGCGGCCCGTGCTGGCCAACCATGGAGAAAAGCACTGTTACTATTTGGGGGCTCAAGGGGTTTCCTCAGAGGACCCGGATAAACAAATCCAGGGGAGCCGAGCGCTTTCTAGGGAAACACTCCTAAACTTTAAAACAACTAAGGGAGAAGTCACTGCCAAGTGGCAGTGGACACGCGGCTCCACGGAGGAACACTCGAGGAAAATGCTGGCTGGGGCGGACACACACACACACACACACTCTGATCAGCATCACCAATCCCGTGAAGGAGGCCAGACTCACGTGAGGGGGATGGCCTTGGTCTTTGGCTGTCTTCGGCTCTTCAGAACCCGCAGCCTGTCGCCTTGCGTCACGCCGTTCACGCCGTCGTCATCGCTGTACTGTGTAGGCAGAGAACACTGCACTGGTGACACGGCAGAGCACAGCAGCCACTTGGGCAGATACAAACTCACTTTTACACACCCCAACTTCCTGCTGGGCTGCCTTCCACAGCAAGCTACAGGTCCCAACTCCAGACAACCGGAGTGGGATCTCACAGAGACAGGGAGGGAGGGAGAGAAAACCCAACAGCCTCTTGTCCTGTCAAGAGCCACAATGGATTTTTCACGTCTAAAAACATTCTTTTTACCATTACCGCCTACTTACCACCACTCAGCTGAGTACTGCTAACTCCTACACCCTTGGTTCTAAGGACAGACTACTGGTCCCCTAATCAGCTATGGGCAAGTGAGATAAAGAGCAGAGGCAGGACAGCACTGGGTCCCCCTAAAGAGCTCCTGTTCCCATTCTCTCTCCCACCCGCACCTCATAACGAAAACGTTTGTAGTCTAACAGACACATAATTTTCTGTTAACCATTTTTGACTGTCGAGTTCCCAAAGAGGGTTGTATGCATAAAAAACTGTGTGACGATATTCCCTCAAAATGTGCTTTATTGCTCCGGTCTACAGCTCTCTCTATTCCCTACAAGGTCCCCAACAACAACATTTCAAGTAAAAACAGCAGCGTGGCGGGGGTGGTTCCATTACCGGTTCTGCTTCTTGCTTGTCTCGGTTCTCCACCCCGTGGATGGAGATGTCATCGACGGCAGAGACCAGCCTGGAGAAGGACGTTTTGTGCTGCCCGTTCTCCTGCCCGCGCAACTTCTCACGGAAATAGTCGCCTTCCAGCCACAGGCTCGTTTGCTTCCTGCAGCGTGGAGATAGCAACAACACACGGCTTTCCAGAAAGACACACACACACACACACACACACACACACGGCCTCTTCCTACTGGACTCTCAGAGGTGAGGGCAGGCTGACCAGTGCAGGGGGACCACAAGAGCCCCCCATTTACTTACATCACCAGGAACTGCTGCTGAGGCCCGATCACGGAACCAGGCCTGCAGATTCTGAGCCAGGCAATGGTCTCGGCTGCCGTCATCCTGTAATGCTTCATGATGTAGCAGGCTATCAGAGTGCCCGTTCGGCCGAGGCCCGCTAGGAAAAGAAACACATCAGTTCAGAATTCCATGGAGTAGATGGTAATTACAAAAAAAAAAAAAAAAAAAAAAAAGGCCCATGATTGTACTTCCCCCCCAAACCATCTTTGTACGAGGATGAACCAGAGTTTAAGAAGCTCAGGTGGATGGATCACAACACCCTAGAATTCCAATTCAGTGCTCAGTAGCACAGCTGGGATGCACAGATTCTCGATGCTTCCCCCACCCACATGATTCTGTATGGAACCAACATTAAGAATCGCATTCTGAGCGGGAGTGCTCAGTTAAGCGGGGAGTGCTCCATCCGGGGCATTCTGTTGAGGGTGTCGCCATCTTTACAAACATGAATGCCTGACAGCTGGCAATGAACTCTCACATCCCACACCACGGTCTACACTACTTTTCATATTTACCGTGCCACAATTTTCCTCTTATCTAGGCTATTATGACCCAGTCCTATGACAGACCATATTCCATGTCAACACAGAGCAAAGCTTGAGACTTTTTTCTACTACACAAAACAGGGATTTTTACAGAGGTTACACTGAATCTGCACATCCTAACAACCTTAATTCATTCAATTTCTGACAAATACTGTCCTTCACTTTTGTCTTAGCTACACAAATGTTTACATCTCTTTCACTTTGTTGCTAGTGTAAATGGAACTGTGCTTTTTCAGCCTGTTCATTGCTACACCACAGAATCACAATTGCATTTTGCCTGCTGGTTTTGTACCCAGCGATTTTGCTCATTTCATTTTATTTCATTCATGCTTACCTCATGCATGCATGTTTTAAACCGTTGTGCCTTTAGGATTTCCTACAAGAAATCTTATCTAGCAACATGTAATTTACATATTTCAAATTTGGCTTGTCACTGTTTTGCTGATTTGCTATAGCTACAAATTCTTTTTTTTTAAATCGCATCACTAACATTAGCTTTTCCTGTCTACTTTCTTGGCAATTTCTTTTGTTAGATTTTATTTATTAACTTCAAAGGCAGAGTAACACCGATCTTGCACAAGCTGGTTAACTCTCCCCAAAGCCACAAAGCCACAAAGCCACCCAGGCTGGGTCAAGTTGAAGCCAGGAACCGGAAACTTCTGTTGGGTCATCCAGTTGGGAAGCAATCTGCTGCTTTCCCAGGGCCACGAGAAGAAAGCCAGACTCAAACCATCACTATGAGGTCCTGGCTGTTGTGGGAATTCAGGGAACGAACCAGAGAGTGAAAGATCCGTCTCTAGATATCTCTCTTCCAAGTAAACATAACAATTTTTTTTTAAAAAAATGAAGTATTTGTCCAGTAAGCTGACTCTGAATGATATATTTCTTCTTGTCTTTAGATATCTATTTATTTATTGAAAGCCTGAGTTTATGAAAGAGAAGGGCCCTCCTATCCACTGGTTTACTCCCCAGATGGCCAAAATGCTCAGGGATGTGCCAAGCTGAAGGCAGGATCCAGGATCCAAGGGCCAGGAGCCTGGATCCAAGGGCCAGGAGCCTGGAGCCAAGGGCCAGGAGCCAGGATCCAAGGGCCAGGAGCCAGGGGCCAGGAGCCAGGGGCCAAGGGCCAGGAGCCTGGAGCCAAGGGCCAGGAGCCAGGGGCCAAGGGCCAGGAGCCTGGAGCCAAGGGCCAGGAGCCTGGAGCCAAGGGCCAGGAGCCAGGGGCCAAGGGCCAGGAGCCTGGAGCCAAGGGCCAGGAGCCAGGATCCAAGGGCCAGGAGCCAAGAGTTCCGTAGAGGTTTCAGGGTCCCAGACACTGGGACCTCTTACACTGTGCTTCCCAGGCCTTTAGCACGGAACGGCAGCAGCCTGAACATGACCAGGAATCCATTACCAGGTGCTAGCACCAGGCAGCGGCTTTCACCGCTATGCCAACACTGGCCCCTACTCCCACTCTTCATACTTACCTACCTAACAAGCAGAAATCCACAACCATCCCACTTTACTGTACAATACTGAAAAAGCATGAATTAGCTAGAAGAATATTTTTAAGCACTATCCCCTCTTGTAGCTGCTGCAAACAGAAAATCCTTACAATAACATCTCCACGGAGACAAGTTTCAGGTGTCATGCCGCGGTTACCCAGTAGACATTTGAGGAAACAGTGAATGTGTTCCGTGGTGGTAACACATAAAATGGGGGTGGGCGTTTAGAAGCATTCTTCGAAAAATGCAGGCACCCCCACGCAGCTCAGCCTTCACACCGGAAACATACCTTTGCAGTGAACAGCAACGGCGCCCTCGGCATTTTCACAGATATCCAGAAACTCTTTGACAATGGCTTCAGTAGGGGTGCTGCCATCCGCAAAGAAAAGGTCGTGGTGGTCAAAGCCTGCATCCGTGAAGCGTTTCGCATCATACATCCTCTTATTCAGGCGAATAACGGTGCTGACGTTGTGATTCTTAAAATACGGAATGTACGTTTCTGGAGAATGTTGGTGGTAACCTACATAAAGAAAGGCACCAAGTCTTACCCAACTGGTAAGGGTAACAACAGGTCGTCGTTTCATCTGTAACTAGAGAAAAACACCATCTGGACCGGGGACTGAAGACCAACTCAATTGCAACTGGTAAACACACACACCCCACTCCACATCCCGCCCCCCGCCACCAAAAAAAAACACAAGAGAGTTAAAATCTAGGCAGATAAACAGAATCGACTACACTTAAACAATTAAGATCTAGTCAAGTTAGTTTAATTCTTGGGCCTCTTTTGAAGAGAACAATACAGAAGGGATCCTTTCAAACCGTCCCGTAGATTCCCCTACCACTTTCAAGCCTGGATCTTGCGTGAGGTCCACAGAAGGCAATAAACCGGCCTGGTATGATCCAATTCAAATCTCCATTTTCTGCTTTCTGCAAAGGGAAAACCAGCACAACGCATTTTTAGAAGCAATCTCCTCCCCACCTCCCTTCCAAAGACGGAGTTCCCTAAAAGTCTTTGAATCGGTTTGTCTCAGCACCAGGCTGTTTATACATGAGCACGAGACGGGAATGTCACACGTGTCCTGCTCCGTGTATTGACAGGAAACAGGTCACGTGACAGCACCTCTCCGCTGGTACAGTCAAGACTTCGGAGAATGTATTGACTGCTGCCATCCCAAACACAGTCTGCACTTGATCTGTGTTCCAAAGTCATCTGATTGGCTGAGTCATTTCCCATCTTATTCCCCACTGTACCTTTCCAGGATAAAGAAACTCCAGGATTGGAAACTCCCCTCCTAAGTTACTGATTACATGGAAAAAAATGTATCCACTGACGTGCCTGTCTTTTCAATATTTGCTAATGTTTCTATTTACAGGACTACATCTTTGCACCATTTTTATACCTATTTAATAAGAAAGTAATCAATTGCACTAATCACCTAGGAAATTCAAATTTATGAGACTACACAGATCAGAATAAAATGAATATAAAGAAAAGAAATAAAAATCTAATAAGCTAGATACATTTCTTCCTGTTATGGTAACAGTTATTTGGATGGAATTATCTTTATCAAAAACAAATACACCTCAGATTAAAGCGCTGAAACATTTCTGAATAAAATGGAAAAAGGACTCTTTAAAACAAAACAGGGACCCACACGGTAGCCCAGTGGCCAAAATCCTTGCCTTGCACGCAGTGGGATTCCGTATGGGCGCTGGTTCTAATCCCAGGAGCTCTGCTTCCCATTCAGCTCCCTGCTTGTGGCCTGGAAAAGCAGTTGAGGACGGCCCAAAGCTGTGGGACCCTGCACCTGCCTGGGAGACCCAGAAGAAGCGGAGGGCTCCTTGCTTCGGATTGGTGCAGCTCCAGCTATTGCAGAGCAAATCAACGGATGGAAGATCTTCATCTCTGTCCTTTTTCCTTTCTGACTTTCCAATTAAAAAAAGGCAGGGAATGCTTAATGCTAGAGGAAGAGAGAAGCTGTGTTTGTGGTGGGAGTTGGGGGATGACAGATAAATTAACTTAGCATTGGGGTGTTCAGATATGTACCCCAAAATGAGTAAGAAATATTTACCTGTCTAAACAGGTCTCAGAAGAGTTAAAAATAGGGGGGAAGTGGACATTGTGTGACCAATGAAGAGACACTAACCCCAATTTCCAACAGGTCAGTGGTCTGTGGCCTATTGGCTACCTAAACAGTTTTGTGTTTTGATGGTTTTTCATTAAAGATTAAAAATAATTGTGGGTGGGTACCTTCGCTCCCACCCAATGTCCACGGCAGTGGGGGAAGCAACTGAGTTCCTATATGACTAACAAACCTAAAGGTTTCCTTTCTGCTCCATGAGAACAAATTATTGCTTGGTGTTGACAACTGCCAACTGGTGTTCTTAGTAGCTTTGCTTTCCTAAACGAGACAATGAATTTAAATGTTTACCTTCAAAACATAAGCATAAGAAAAAGTCATGAAGCAGAAGGGGGCCCAAGTGCTTGGTCCCCTGTCACCGACGTAGTAAACCACATGCAGTTCTAGGCTTTGCCCGGCCCAGATCCAGCTGCTCAGGTTTTTTTTTTTTTTGGTAAAGGCAGCTCTCCAGAGAGAAGGAGGGACAAAAACAAAGCTCTTCCATCTGCTGGTTTACTCCTTAAGTAGCTACAACAGCCAAAGCTAGCTGATCTGAAGCCAGGAGCCAGGAACTTTCTCCAGGGCTCCCACATGGGTGCAGGGTCCCAAGGCTTTGGGTTGTCCTCTTCTGCTGTCCAAGGCCACAAGCAGGGAGCTGGATGGAAGCAGAGCATCCGGTACATGAACCAGAGTCCATATGGGATCCTGTTGTGTGCAAAGGAATTTAGCCACTGGGCTACCACACTGGACCCTCCCTCTGTAACTCCTTAAAATAAACGAATAGAGTGGGTAAAGGTGCTCAGAGTAGATGTTAAGTGTCATCACTGAAGGTAAAAAAGGTAACCACGTGGGCGAAAGGGTATCGTAACTAATGTCACTGGTACTAACTGCATAAATAAATACATACCAAAGCACTAATTTATACCCTCAGACAGACACAATAATTGCTTGTGAATTATGCCACAAAGCTGGGCGGTCAGGGGTGGCTTAGGGACTTACCTCATAATGCTCATATTCATCAAGGTTGAACGTGTTGAAATCAAAGAAGCCGTACTGCATCGCCTAAAATCCAAGAGAAAGCTTTTAAAATAAACATGGAAATAAGATAACATTTTGTGACACTCTAGAAAACTTATGACGCTATTTTACATGAAGTATTCCTCAGACATCAGGACTGTACCTTATAGCTAACTTCCAGGTAATATAAGAATTTAAAATAATATTTTCAATCCGAATTCAACAATCACCTTATCCATACACAATTAGTCAGGTCTTCAAAGTAACCCCACATCACTGTATTACCACCCACCTTGGCTGAAGATGCGTAAGTTTAAGATTGAATTACAACACACAACACATTGGTCTCTATAGAAACAATAAAAAGGAACAAGACCATGGGCCGGTTTTTTCCAAGCCCACAGACATTTTTAAATATGTATCTTCATTTGCAAATTCATACGGAGTCTTCAATTTGAGGATCTCTATTCCCCTAAAGACACCCAGACATCAATACTAAAATGTAAGCTGAGGGCAAGAAAGTATTCCCTCCACGAGAAACTAAACTTTACCCTGTGCTGGAGCCATGCTGAGATCTAGGGCCTGAGCGTGCTAAGCAGCAGAAGGCAGACCTTCTGGGTCAAGGACAGAGAGCAAGGCCCTTTAGAAGGTCCTCTCCTGCTCGGCCATCAATGAAGCCAGATGGGGGTGGGAGCAACAACTGTGATCCACAAGGCAGTCTTTGTTGCAAAGGGAGAGAGGGGTGAATTTATAAACCCAGTTTTCAAAACATAAAACCACTGAAATATGAGTAAAAAGACGGCCAGAGCACGGAGCAAAGACTCCTCCTTTCACAAAATAGTTATTTAAATACTCATTTCTAGAGCAAATGCATGATACATGTTATTTCCTTAAATTAAAAAATGCTCAAATCGTGGTATCTGGACTAGAGATGTCCCCTAAAAATAATGTTAAGAGAAGGCAGTTAGCGGGCAATTCCCACCTCGCTTGGCATTGCACAAGGCTAGCCACAAAATCCCGACATAACCACATTGATGTATGTTGCATACATGCAAGACTCTTCAGCATCAGTCACAAATACAACAAGCTTAAACTGCTGACCCCTAAATAAAAACACACACACTCTGGGGAGTGGGATGAGGCAGGGAAACCATCCTTGACCTCTCAGACACCAGCTAACCAACCCCTGGGGGACAATGTGTGACTGCAGCCCAAGCAACAAAGAGCAAGTGCTGTGTGGTCACCCAAGCCCCTCAAAGCTCTTCTGACAGTCAAGGTGTGTACACGCATGAGCCATTCTCCGTTGTTAGCCGTAGGGCAGGAACCACAACCACAGAACACACAAATCAGAGATAACGTGGACCAGTCATCTGTCCTCGGTTTTTCTTTTAAATCCCAACATAGTGCGTCAATTCTGTATCTAGAACCAATGACTGAATCTAGAAGCCAATGATGGAAAGGCCTTCTTACTGTCCCATTCTCTGAGTGGCTTCCCATTCAACTCATACCAGCAAGTCCTCAGAAATTGTGACTACAAGGCTTTCTGATTTGGTGTCCAGGTGCCCGCTGGGAAATGGAGGACGTGTGCCCTCAAGGCCTGGAAGAAATCCTCACGTCCAGGCCTCTGGAGGAGGAGAGAGGTCTCCACCACACTGGGGGCAACCTTGGGCACTCACCTTCTTTACCGCATGGAAACAGTCAAGCAGTGTAATATAGTAATTGCAACTTCCATAGGCAGCGTCTCTGAAATTCCGAAAGCAAGGAAATATGTAACTCAGATTTAGATGTCCTGTAACACACTCACCTCAAGATGTGGCTGAGTAAAATTTACAACCAAACACATGCTCAGAAAGCACTGCTCTAAGGGCAGGCTCCCAACACCCCGTGCCTTTGGCTCCACGTTAAATGGTAAGTCCCTATTAGCAATTTCACAGCAGTTCCCACAAACACCATTCCATGGACCTGGGGCCATCATGACCACTTCATGCAGTTCAAATGAGCTGTCATTTTTTTGGCTCTAACAGGTCCACTTCATCTTTAATCCAACCAATCAAGAACTTTTGTCCTTGGCTGGATGGCAAATGAAACCAGGAGGACACGAACATGGGTCCATATGATATTCCACTGCTTATAAGGATGTGTCTTATATATAAGCCAACTGAGCCATCGTGCTGGGCTCCAGATGTAAATCTGACCACACACCATTTTATCTTTTTAATTTTGACAGCTTCTCTCCTCAATTAAAGCTAGAAAAGATCTCTAGCCAAACTACGACCCAATTTTACCAATAGGTATTGGCAATATCTGAACAGAAGGTTAACAAATGGCTAGTGTGGTGGTGGCGCTCAGGGCACAGGCCTGCCTAGCACCATCAGCTGAGCCCAGCTGGCTGGAAACATTCATTCTCACGTCCCCTAACTCAGCCGAACTAACTGCTCCCGAGGCGGTGCCAGGTCCTCGCCCAGCGGCTGTAACATTTCCTGTTCATCAGTTTCTTCCAAGAGAATCTGAAACCTGTATTCATCCTGAATCCCGTCTCTTCCTACAAAACTGAATAGATGCAATTAAAACTCACCGGTTTAAAAACTTTACGAAGTCGGACTCAAGCTACTAAAATATTGCTAATTAACATCAAAAACGTTATTTATTGAAAATAAAAGCTGTTCTTACTAGCGATACTTATATTTATCTTAAGCAATTTAAATGGCAATTATTTCAAAAATATATAGCCTCTTTCAACATACTCTCAGGGTTTCATTCATTCTGGTTGGTCTACTTTCCAATCTGTATATTCTGCAAAACAGTGACGTAAGACAAAGCACTGGACTTGAAAAATTTAAGTCCATCACAGGCTGACAACTTCAGTAAAATATAATAAATGTGAAATACAGTGTGTATACTGCTACAAACCCAGAACAATACAGCTTGATAAGAATGAACTACCAGAAGTAGTAGAGACGGATGTGAAATACAAATCCAAATTCTTACATTTGGTTCCAATTCTCTACAAAACAACTAACTTCTCATACCAAATTTCTTTTTTTTAAAAAAAAAAATTATTTATTTTTATTGGAAAGGCAGATTCACAGAGAGAAGGAGAGATAGAAAGATCTTTTGTCCACTGGTTAACTCCCCAGGTGGCTGCAAAACTCAGAGCTGAGCTGATCTGAAGCCAGGAACCAGGAGCTTCTTCCTGGCCTCCCAGGCAGGTGCAGGGTCCCAAGGCTTTGGGCCGTCCTCGACTGCTTTCCCAGGCCACAAGCAGGGAGCTGGATGGGAAGTGGGGCAGCCAGGACACAAACTGGAGTGTACATGGGAACCCTGCAAACGCTAAACAAGAACTTTAACCACTAGGCTTCCACACAGGGCCCATGGTTTTACTTATTTTTATTAGAGAGGCAAATTTACACAGAGGAGGAGACACAGAAAGTTCCTCCCTCCGCTGGTTCACTTTCCAAATGGCCGTAACGGCTGGATCTGAGCTAATCCGAAGTCAGGAGCCAGGCGCTTCTTCCAGGTCTCCCTCAGCATAGGCAGGGAGCTTGCAAGGTGAGGACTGATTCATGAAGCCACTGCACTGGCCACACATTTCAGCAACGTTTAATACAAGAATGGCAGCGAGCAACAGTTTTTGAGACTTGTATTTAAATGAACTCCAAACACATTCCATGAATCCATGTGAAGTGTGCGAGCGGACTCCTGTTTCAGGACCTTGCGTTAGAACTCTAGAAATGGTATTATCAAGGCTCACCATCATCAAGAGGAGCTCTGCAGAACAAAACCATCACCCACCTCAGATAACAGAGTCCTTAAGATGCCCCATGACTCAAGAGGAAAGGAGGGGAGACAGTCACAGCACAGAAAGTCAGGCCGCCGCCTGCAAAGGCTGTATCCCTTGTGAGCACTGGTTCAAGTCCTGGTTCTGACCTAGGTTGCTGCTAACGTGTGGGAGAGCAGTGGAAGACGGCCCCAAGTGCTTGGGCCTACACCACTCAACTGGGAAGACCCAGCTGGAATTCCCAGCCCCTGGATTGAGACTGGCCCAATTCCCAAACGTTGGCGCTTAATCTGATGAGTGAACCAGTGGGTGGGAGATATCGCTAACATTCTACATTTCAAAAACACAAATACATCTTAAAGACAGAGGAGGAGAGCCAATTTCAAATCCCTTCTTCTAATTTGCTGAATCGTAAACATAATCTTCAACATTACATAGAATATTTCACAGTTGGGAAAACACATCCCACAGCTCCCCTGTGATAAAGCCAGGCAGAGCCACACCTGCAAAAAGCCAGGCCATGAGAGTTATGTGTGGCAGCCACAGAATCGTTCAGGATCTGATGTCCTTCATCAGGAAATGTGCAACTAACTGGTACAGTCTTATCAAGTCCTCCGAAGCCTTCTGGCCCTCAGCCTTCTGAATAAGGCAGTCTCAACAGCAACAAAGTTTTGAGTGGAAGAATGGTGCGGTGAACCAGCAAATTCCGTTCACACATTTGTTACCCTACGTATGTAGATCACACAGCTAAGTGTTTTGATATATAAGCAGAGAAACTTTTAGGGCTGTATCTGATGGACAAGAAAAAGTATTTGCCTTCAAAAGATTTCCAATTCGATCCCCCAGTGAGTGGGAGGAGGGTGGTAGCTGTGCGTCTAAGGCATGAGCACCCACCACCCACCTCAGCTGCCCGACAGGCTCTTTCCAGCAGTGGGGCTGCTGGCTCTGTCCTACAACAAAGGGGCTTTGTGCCAGAGGAGGCAACTCTGGGTTATTAGGAAAACCTAACTCCACAGTGCTAGCTCTGCATCCTAGGACTCTAGCTAGCATTCTTTATCCAATTACAAGGCCTAGTTCTAATAAACAGCTCTCCACCGGCAGGGACTTGCTGCCTATACCCAATAATACTCTCAGGTATACTGGCTATTTTTCTGGAGACATTTTGAGTTTGATAATTTGCACTTAGCAGGCAGAGGCCAGGGACCACCACTCCTCAACGCCTTTCTGAACCAGACAGATACAATACCGTCATTGCTGAGAAATCCAAACGAGATCCACAGCATTATTCACACACAACCATCCCCCCGCCATCAAAAACTGCCAGGACAGTTCATCTGGTGCAATCAATCAATCTACCACATCATCATTTTTGTATTTACCTGAAAGGGATATAGGACGTATCCCCAAAGATTAATATTCTATATGCATCTTCTGGAGTTCTCCCCAAATATATAACCTGTATTTGAAAAAAAAGAGAAAACGCCATTTACTTGTAATTGAAGGTACAGTGCTGACAGTAAAGCAGAGGTTGTACAATTGCCAGCCAAGCAGCGGAGCCTAACAGGGGCTTTGCGTCACACCCAGTGCGTCCCTTCTGTGCCTGGGTTTGGGGGCTTTCTGGAAGAGTCCTGCCCCTTAGTGTCACATGCCCCCATTGAAACACACACAGCACTCAGAAAACAGATCCTTGGAACGCAGGCATCTCCCTCCCACTAACAGTCCCTGAGCTGGCAGCTCACTGCAGCGTGGACTCTGCAGCTGGACTGTGGTAAGGTGGAAACACACAAAAAAAGCAGAAGAGATTCTGATGAACTCCACCACTCATGGAAACGCAAGGTGCACAGTTCCTGGAAACTGCATCCGTTTCCGATTCTCATCTGTGTCTCTTTGGAATGATGTCTACAGAGCAGGCGTTGTGATAAAGCTTGCTTCTCTTTGCAGTGCTGCCATCCCTTGCGGACCCCAGTTCCAGTCCCAGGTGCTCCACCTCCAATTCAGCTCCCTGCTGAAGTGCTTGCGAAAGCAATGGAAGATGACCCAAGATGACCCTGCACCCAAACCTGGGAGAAGCTCCGGGCTTCAGCCCAGCCTGACCCCACTGTCGCAGACACCTGGGCAGGGAGACAGCGGAGGACGGAGCTTCCCACGCAACCCTGCCTTTCACATAAATTCATCGACTCTTATGAAGAGAAATTTAAAAAGTCATGTTTCACATTCACTTGCTACAATACCCCTACGCACACGTTGAGTATCCTTCTGCACCAGAAGTGTAGTTCACTTCCAACTCACACACGAAGAACAGGTACACTGCACGCACCAGACATGGCATGGGTCACTTTACCACCGTCAGGCTAAATTCTGAGGCTGCTTTAATACATCTTAAATTTTACTAGTTAAAAAAAAAAAAAGTTTTCACTGAAAACTTAATTCCCAGCACTGAATCTCCATCCTTAGCACTAACCGTGTGAGCTGTCTATTCCAACTGCAAGCATTCTCGGGGAAAGGACTTGTGTCATTAAACCCAAACCTACCTGTAAGATTGTGTCAAGAGATAGCACTGAACATGGGCAAGCATTTGGCCCAGCAACTGGGAGGCCAGTTAAGACACGTGTGTCACGTACCCAAGTGTCCAAGGTTGCAGATCACGTCTGAGTCCCGAGCCCAGCTTCCTGCTGACACAGCCTCTCCGAGGCAGCAGGGACAGTTCAGAATCAGGGTCCCGCCGCCCGGATGGAAGGTTCTGACTGCCTAGTGCCCTGCCCAGTCCAGGGACATGATGGAGTGGAACCAATCTCTAAGTGATTTAATGACATCTCAGGCAGGTATTCGGTACAGCACGTAAGAGGCCACCTGGGACACCTGTATTCCATTTCGAACTGCCTGTGCTGGGTTCGAGTCTCAGCTTCCCACTTCCCACTTCATGCTAAGGCATACGCTAGAAAACAGCAGCTGATGGCTCGAGAACTTGGGCCCTGCCACCCACCAGGGAAATCAGGATTACAGTCCCAGATCTTAACTGCCACCTGGTCTGGATGAGATGCTACACATGTGAGGAATGAAGCTGCAGGTCTGAAAGATCTCTCTGTCTCTACACATTTCTAGCTCTCTGCCTTTCAAAGAAAGCTTGTCATCTTCATAAAAATGACAATGTTCTTAGAAATTAATGAATTCATATAAATTTTTCTAAATCAAAGATCTTTTTTTTTTTAAGACTTATTTATCTTTATTGGAAAGTCAGGTTTACAGAGACAAGAAGAGAAAGAGAGAAAGATCCTCCAACTGCTGGCCATTCACCAAGTGGCAGCAATGGTCTGAGCTGAGTTGATTCGAAGCCAGGAGCCAGGAGTTTCTTCCAGGTCTCCCATGTGGGTGCAGGGTCCCAAGGCTTTGGGCTGTCCTTGACTGCTTTCCCGGGCCACAGGCAGGGAGCTAGAAGGGAAGCGGGGCTGCTGGGATATGAATTAGCACCCATATGGAATCCCAGGGTGTGCAAAGGGAGAATTTAGCCACTGAGCCATCACGCTGGCCCTAGCAAAGTTCTATGAAGACATACCCTAACAGCAGCCATTAAAGATTTCCACAGGACATCTCACCAACCCGAAGATTCCTAACTTCATCTTTAGGAAGAATGCAGAGGCAGGCAATGGGCCCCCGTGGCTGAGACACCCACTTCCTGTGTCAGGCTGTTGACGTTGGAAACCCAGCGTCATTCCTGCCTCCAGCTTTCTGCTGATGCAGGCGGGCAGGCAGCGCTGATGGCTCCAACGGTGATTCCTGCCACCCACGTGCCACTGTTATGCCATTTCTGGCTCCCAGCCCTGGCTCCAGCTGGAGGCCCCCAAGGGCATTTAGAGGGCGAACCAAAGGACAGCTGCTCCTTTGCTCGCTCACCTTGAGATTTTTCTAAAGGAAAAAATATGAAACTGTACAGAAACTTTAGTCACCGACAGGAGCGTAGGAACCCACAGGAAGATGGATTCTGAGAATAGAAAAGAGTGCTTTGTTCAATACGACCTGATATCAAGCAAATTTTTAAAAAAGTATTCCTGACTCATGTGCAATTTCTCATGCACTCGCTCTAAGAATAACATCTGTAGTCTCACTGCACAGATTGTGTTTGTGCACTGTGCCTGTCCCTGCATCACTCACTCTGCATTTAGATCTCGCACGTCAGCTCATCTTCCACTTTTATGTTACTATTGTTTACTTGGGGGGGGGGGGGAAAACAGCTTAAAATGACTCCGTGAAAGTTAAAAATCGTCTTCTCATTTCTTTCTACTCTAATGTGTCTCCTGTCTAAAAACTTACACGAGACTCCCCCTCCGTTTGTTTTTTTTTTTTTTTTTCTTTTTTTTCCATTCCATTTTAGGACTGCCTGGGCAAATCACTTGCAACGGGAACCAAAAAAAAAAAAAAACCCTTTAAACTAAAATCAAGTTTAAAGGTTGATCTTGAAGGTCAAGCAGAGTTAAGCACAGGGACTGATTCATTTGCATGTCTGGAGGCATATTCATGTCCCTTGTACACACGTATTTAAAACAAACTAATCAAATCAGACCTGAAGCTGTCTGAGATTTGTAAAACCTTCTCTCAGATTATATAACTTTTCCCTGAGCACCAATTTAATTTCTTTCTACTTAAGACTGATCCTTTGGTTTCTTCCATGACTAAATTTGCAGTGGTATTTCCTTCTAACTTTCACAACAATTGTGATCCGTAATGCATTGACTGACCCCGGGGCAGCTTCAGCTCACAGGCTCAATTCAAAAGACAGGAACGACGGAACATTTTTTCCCACGCGGAAAACAAATTCCTAGTGATGAACTTTGCAAGATTAGACATATTTAAATCCGGTGAAAGAACAAAAAAATAATATGAGACACACTTCTTTGTTGTTCCGTGAGATAAATGAAGAGAACTGTACGGATTTAGAATCTATGTTCATAACAGCAAACAAAGTTTGGCTGAGGTTTATAATTTTTGCATCCTGATTCCAAAGCCTTCCCAAACGCAATTATTCAGAGTTTGTTATTTATGAAGAAGCCCACGCATGACTTGAGAATTAACATAAATTCTCCAACTAGTAAACTCCAATCAATCAGTAATTTTAGGAGCGATCACACTCCTCTGGCACTTTTTCACTTGAAGAGTTCTCTCAGATCTTGTGCATTCTCGTGGGAAGTTAGGCACACACACACAGAATGCCCCCTCCAGTTCCACAGTGACATCTAAAAACAGGAATCAACAAATGGCCAAGAGATGATAAACAGCTGTCACAGCCAGCTTCCGGAGCAGCCCGGAAATACCTGCCGGCGTTTTCGGGCCTGCACGATCTTTCTCCTCCCTGTCACCCCCCACAAGGAACAGGGCACAGCTGTGTAAACCCGAGGGTGGCGCAGAGATGACAGCGCGTGACTCCTGAGGCTGGATCACACGGAGCCGGGGCCTCCTGCTCTGCTGCCTCTGGAGCTCACCGAGGGAGGCAAGCTGTCCTCCCGGGAGGACGTTCAGGACAGCCGGTCAGAGACTGACTCCTGCTGACCACACTCAAGTGGCAGGGCTCAGCAAGGAGTCATTTTCTAAGTGGGCCCTCCAGCTGGGCGCCACCCAGGCAGGTGCAGAGCCAGATTCACACAGGGGACGCTACTTAGCACACCCAAACCACGAGAACCATTTGAGATCAGGTCAAATGTGCCCCAAATCCTTGTGTTTGGGGGTAACGAATATCACATCCCACAAACATTAAAAACAATAATGAGTTCAGGTTCTTGCAGGTGGCTAGCCAAAGACGTGGCTTAAGGAGCAGTAGGAAGGCCTTGTCTCTCCCTACACTAAGAAACATCTCCCAGAAGCCAATGTTTTGGCCTATAACAAGTACAGCCCTCCATTAGACTCTGCTCTGCTTATCAGGACTCTGCTAACACACCTAGGAAAAACAGCAGACGGCCGAGTGCTGGGACCCTGCACCTACATGGGAGATCCACAGGAAGCTTCTGACTCCGAACGGGCCACTGTGGCCACTTAGGGAATGAACGAGCAGATGCAGAACTCTCTGGCTCTCCTCTCCCTCTGCTTCTCTAGTTCTGACTTGAACGAGTAAATAAGGAAGCAAGAAAATTCCCTCGCAGCCAACAGTAATCCCAGACCAGCAAACAGAATACTGTGGGAGCAAACAGGCAGACAGTCAGCAGTTTCCCAAAGTCATGATGCAAGACTCTCTCTCCTCTTGCTCAACACCTGAGCCGGCCGCTCCCAGGACTCCGCACCGCCCCTCTTGCCAAGAACTGCACCTGCCAGCCCAGCCTCTCGGAGAACAGGAACGTCCCGCCCTGATCACCTGCCCTGCTTCAAAACCTACGAGGTGCCCGTAGGCAAAGGGCCCTAACTGGATCACGCATCATTTCCATCGACAAGCCAGGCTTCAAATAAAAACCTCATTCTACATGTTTCTTATTT